GCCATCTTTGTGATCTAAGGTAAGGTGCGAGGAAAAGTAAGGGGGAGGGAGTCCGGTAGGTTAAGATCGGGAGTGCCGTGCTTCGGTTTATCAAAGTAATGGCGAGGACCATTGTCCGGCGGTACTAATCCTGGACATTGGACGGCAATTCCAGCCTCCCTGCTCGACTGCCAACACGAGATCCAAGCCGGCAAGGAGGGCGGAGAGCCTCAGATGAGGCCATCTTGCATCCAGGCCCGGGGGCCCCATAGTCCTCTCAGCATTTCCCCGCACCGGTTCAAGTTTCAACTTCCTTATTGGGAAGGAGAGTTGTCCGGATTGGGAAGCAGGATTTCCTAAGTTGGCACTAAGGTAAAGCCGAGTGAAATACTTTTATGCTTTGCAAGATACTCGCATTATTCTGCCCGATGCCCTCTGAAACACCTTGACTGGGTCAATTAGATGGTGTCCCAATTCATCGACTAGTCATTTGACAGCAAGTGAGAAGATCAAGAATGGCCACGGCAGAGGTTTTACGTAACATTCCACAACGGCAGAGGTCTAGAATTTTCTGTTCGGAAGTTCTGCATGTTCTTTGAGGACAGGAAAGACTTTCCACAGACATTGAAGAGCTAGGCTCGGTGGTGTTCTCCCCGCTTCAATCTTGGATGCCAGACGTCCTCAAAACTCCGTCGGTTTAGTGAGTCTCCTAATTCACTGCTTGTCGGTGACAGTCTCCTCCGAAACCGGGCTATGACTGCTTCTAGGAGAATCTGCTGGCAAATCAAGGTGCAGAATCTCGGCTTCATGGGTCGGGATGAACACGACGTCTTTCTCGGCTTCATAGTTGGTCTCCGTCACGTATTTCCCAATATAATACAGTACTGGCAGCGCTGAACCGATTTGAGCTACAAATTGAGCGATGCTTTGATGTCTGACGAGTGGTGTTAGTGGCTTCTGGAGATGGTGCACAAGAAAATTTGCATACTGAAGAGAGACCGTGCCTGATGCGGCGACACCAAAGAATGCAGCTATACCGGAAGCTGTTCCTCCTTTTAAGAGGCCTGCATAACGACCAACTCTCATTGGCTCGTTCGTGATGGTCATGACCAGCCTGGGAAGCATTAGCAGGCCAACGAGCTCTAGACTGAAGATTGTCACTTACCACGAGATGAACATGGGTACAGAGGTGACGCTCAGTTGGAAGAGCTGGAAGATGACGAAAAAGCCGGCGAACCCAGGATCAGTCCAATCCACTCCATTAGTCTGAGTGAATGTCCCGCTCGGGCGTGTGTACATCCATCCAAGCTCTCCCGCATAGGCAGCCAGGAGAGTGATGAACATGTATGCGAAGCCCAGATACGCTCGTGCTTTCCTGGATAGCTTCTCCGTGTCAAGGATCATCCGCATGGACATGAAGCCGAGGATCTCGAAAATGGCACCGATGAAGACACACAGAGATCGAGTCCGAAGGTTGAACCAATAAGCTGGGGGCAGTTTTTAGCACATGGCTTCACTCCTTCGAAAAATGGACTGGTGAGAATTGAACGTACCACTGATGGTTGGCTGGAGAGTGACGGGAATTTCGCAGTTCAAAAGGAGTGGAACAACCAACAAAGTGCGAACGTCTTTGAATAGCATGGCAATACCCTTGGTCTCATTCCACCACGATTCATGTCGAAAGACAGCAATAGGCTTCCCTTCGTGCCGGACATCCTCGGGCCTGCAGATGAACCAGGCCAGGGCCACTCCAAGCATCATCAGTGATAGAAAGATGGCATAGACTGACTGTGGTGTAACATGCACCGTGGGATCGTCGATGCTTACACCCATGACCACGGCGGCACCCACAAGAAGGCCTGCTCCCCCCAGACTGTTTTGGATCATGAAAAAGGTCCCTTTCTCATGCTCGGGCGCATATCCAAACGCGATGAAATTGGACACTGTCCAGAGAAGTCCGGCAGAGAACCCCACGACCGCACCGCCGATAATAGGGTATACTTCTGAACTGGTTTTCGCCGGGCCATAATCAAAGTACCATAGGCCTGAGACGTAGAATGGATATCCAAAGGCACCGATCTGCGGGCCGTAGGTCAGCCTTGTCTTTGACGCAGGAGGTGAGGGACAAACCATAAGGGTATATCTGGGTCCTAGGGTATTCAGAGTACTCCCACCGAAAGTCCCTGTCACTCCAAAGACGCCATAGAACACTGCGGCGACGATGTTGTTGACATGAGCCGCATCGACCCCTCCTCCACCCGCTCCGAGGTTGAGCACCGCTGCGTAGATGCCAACGGCGAAGAAGAGGACACCGCCAGAAATTGTATTCTGCGTCCTTGAACTGTGGAAACTCTCGTCAGCTCAGCAAGCAAGAAGTGGTGAGAACATTCTGACCTGTACCTGTTCAACTTCATATTCATGATCGCTTTATAAGGGAGTCCTGAGGCAAAGGTCGTCGGGCTGCGTAGTCTGGCTGAGGGCTCGGTCTGACGAGGCAGCACAGGTGTTTGTTTATATGCTCAACCATCTCGCTCTCGGCGGCCAGGGGGGACTACTTCCACAGTAGCTTGGACCAGTATCTTTCCAATCCCCGAGTGGCACTGTGCACTCTGACAGAAGAACAAGATTGGGCTCGTTCAGGCTAGACGATCGCCTAGGCCATTCGATTGTTGGTCCACATCCGCATTACCTCGCTCAGGCACGGAAAAGCCGGACCCTATTTCTTATCACACGCGGGAAAGCCTGCAAAAGCACGACGGGAACGAGACAATCCAGGATAGGGAATCCACTCATCGAATTGCCAAAATCTCTGAGGAAGTCCCACAATTGATCCATTTCTATTCAGGAGAGGGCTAAGCCTGTTGTCGGCAAAAGGGTCTTCTTCCAGACGGAGCACTTGTCGCCCATAAAAGCTACCTGTGTGAAGCGGTTGCGCCGGCTTCAGAACGTAGTCGACTCTCACTTCTCAACAACTGGCCTGGACAAGCAGCATAGGGACCAGTGACCACGCGTACCGAAGTCGCAGCCAGCTAAAACACGTCTACACGTCTGTCTACTGGGCAGTCGCTAGACCCTTGTGCCATGGCGAGCTCCTCTCTACATGGACCACCCTTCCGCGCAACACAGAAGCTCTCCAAGAGCCCTGTCATAAAGTCGGCCTGCTCAGAGTTTACCCAGATGGTACAACAGGCTACTAGGACTGGCAACTCGACATACGGAGCGTTTGACGCAGAGACAACGTCATTCTCGATCGAGTTCTTTTCAATGCATGAGAGTCAACCATTACTTGAGCACCATCACACGGCGCCGTCACTGGTGCAGAAAGCAGGTGCCGATGTAGTTGGGCCGGACAGCATCTATCGGATAGCGAGCATCACCAAAGCAGTCACTGTATTCACATTCCTTGCTGTGGCTGGTGATGTTCGATTCAACGATCCTATCACGCGATATGTTCCCGAGCTGCGAGACGCCGCCCGGAAATCCGATGCCGCCCTACATCCCATAGATGACACCGCATGGGAAGATGTCACTATAGGCGGATTAGCAAGCCACATGGCGAGTATTCCGAGAGATTGTGCGCTCTTCAAAAACCACTTCCCCTTGTCTGATCCCAAGAGGCTAACCTCAAACGCAGTATCGTTGGTTGGAGAATTGGCGTACAGGGGCCTCCAGGAAGAGAACTATGGCCTGCCGCCTTTGGAGCATACAAAGGTGCCTCCCAATGGAAACGAGCCCAGCTGTGGGCGAGCGCAGTTTTTCGAATGGTTCACCAGACGGCATCCTATATTCGCCCCCAGCACGACCCCTATCTACGGCAACGTTGCTTTCCAACTGTTGGCCTATGCTCTCGAAAACATCTCGGGCAAGCCCTATTCTGTTCTGCTAGAAGAGAAAGTGCTGCGACCCCTTGATCTGTCACGAACGTCGACCACACCTCCGCTGGACAAGTCAGGATGTGTCATCCCTGGAACGCCGGCAAGCACGCTTTGGGATTACGATTTCGGTGAAGTAGGGCCGTAAGTGCTGCCTCAAGTCATGGCTGTCTGCTAGGCCCAGTAAGCTAACCTTGTGTGGTCCAGGGGTGGGAATCTCTACTCCAGCCCAGCGGATGTCTCGAAACTTGGACGGGCGATCCTTTCATCATCCCTCCTATCGAAGGCTCTAACGAGACGGTGGCTCAAGCCGGTTGCCCATACTGCTGACCCCTACTACTCTGTGGGAGCACCATGGGAAATCCATCGTGTTACTCTACCCGTCACCAACCGAGTTGTAGACCTATACGCCAAAGCCGGCGCGTTCGGCTCCTACACTTCCGAGCTGATTCTGGTTCCAGATTTCGACGTGGGCCTGACCGTGCTGGCCGCTGGGCCCCCTTCGAACCGCATCGTGCCCATTCTCAGCAACTTATTCTCAGGGATCCTGGTTCCTGCTTTGGAGACGGCGGCTCGAGAAGAAGCCAAAAATAGCCTTGTGGGTACTTACTCTTTCAAGAGCGCTGACGGTCTGGAATCGTCCATCACTCTCATGGTAGATACCACAGAATCTGGTCAAGATGGTCTTAATATCAGTCGCTGGGTGAGCAATGGCCGGGATATGATGCACGTCCTAGCTGATCTGCTTCCACCATTGTTTGCAAGACCCGTCCAGGTCAGGCTCCATCCGACCAACAACGTCGAGGACGTGCCGACAAATAATGGGCACGCCAAGATTGGATATCGTGCGTTGTTCGAGTTTTCTACTGCTGCAGGTGATAGAGGGCCATTTGACAGGTCGGTCATGTGGTATTATCTGGATCAACTATACTGGCAAGGCACCGCATTGGACGAATTCATCCTCGAGGTTGACAAAGAAGGACGTGGTTTCACTCTCACACCAAGGGCACTGGGAGTGGTGCTGGTAAGGGATCCTCTGCTGGGACCCGAGACTGTTTTAGGATGAGCAGTATGTAAAAGGCCCAACTAGGGGCACGGGCCGTTGAACCTTTAGAAGTCACCAGCAGCCCAATCGATCTGGAGAGATGAATTATGGATTATCTTTACTGATCATGCCTTTACCCGATATTTGTGCCAGAGCGTCATCATGGCTTTACCCGATATTTTGGTGCCAGAACGTCATCATACCTCGCCCCGAGGAGTGTTGTTTCTCCCAAGAGATGCCACAGCAAGGACCTCGCCCATAACGCTGCCTCCCTGACCAAACGAGTGTTCGGTCTGTTGTTCAAATCGATAATGCTCACCTCCAGATACGCCCATCCCCAAAGTCTTCTTCTAAACTCCATGTCCGTCTTGAGATCTCAGCGAATAGCCATGAGAGGCAGTCGTGTTGGCGGCAGGCGGGCTTGGATCAGAAGCTGAAGATCCATTTTGGTTTCCACCACGGAAACCTTCCTGAGCGGCCTCGGCCTCTTCCAAGATCTCGTAGAGATCATCGACAGGGATGAAGATGACGACAGCATCGAGGTCCGGGTATTCTTCTGGGTTGCGAGAGTATGCGAAGTCTTCGAGCGTCAAGCGCAGTCCAGCTTGCGGGTCGGGGTTCTTGATTCCAGACACGCTGCGAATCTCCTAGACGAAAAGGTCAGATTAGAGACGTTGACGGAGAGGGTGATAGAACTCCTACAGTAGAGTCACAAGCAACAGCGATATTGTCTTGGTTGAACACGGCCCTCCAAACGTAAACTGTCGCACCTTTTCTGGCAGAAGGATTGACGTCAAAACCAATGACAGTGCGGATTCGTCCATTGCTACCCCGAATGTATTCGTATGCGAGCTTTTCTAAACTCTTCGTAGTCTGCGTCCAAGCTACTTCGATGATCAAGCTAGGAAGCCAGGGACGGCGACTCCGATCGGACAGGAATTGAGCATCCGGTGACCGTCTTTCTTTCTTGTCTGCCACCGTGGATGACCGAAAGTTCAGGAGTGAGGAGCCACCGAGGGAGGTAGGCAGCAAGGCAAATTCCCTGGCAGAGTGAGAGTTGTCATCTCTGGCCGCAGCGTCCGCGAGACCCTGGGAGATCTTCATTGTAAGTCTGCCCTTGATCCATTCGTGTCCTCCGCCTGCCATTCGGAATACGAGGATCTCGTCGGCTTCAGAGTAGTCGTACCTAAATTATGGTTAGCAGGATCTCCTGCGTTGAGTCTTTTCAGAGGATAGCAAGTGGTACCGGAAATTTTCGCCACAAAACAACCCAAGTTGCTCCAGCTTTTTGAGCTCTTCGAACTGCGGAGGTGCCAAAGGGAACTCGATGTAGTCTGTCGTCGCCGTGAGCGAAGGTGATTCGGCCCATTCGAGGACGTGCTTAAGTTGGGGGTCGAGCGATGGTGAGAAGCACGCTGGGGAGACAGCAGACCACGGTTCTACTTCGTCTCCCTCTGAGGTGGCCGACCTTGGGTTGGGCGTGTTGAGCAAAAAGAGGGCGCCGTCAACATTTGCACGCTCCCCAGAGCCCATGCCGCGCCCAACACCATAACTCTCTGGTATATCCATGGCTTGGGTTCACGATCACAGATTAGATGGTGGTCTTGCTGTTGGTTTGTGAATAGTCAGTCTTGTGGAGAAGTTTGGAAGATGCGGAGAAAACAAGCACACACGATAAGATATACGGAGACACAAAGAACTATACCTGCACATATCTACGGCGACGCAGATGGTGGAATGTGCATATATCCACGAAGAACCAAAACGGAGGCTCAGCACATATCAGTGGGCGGAGTGACAATGGTAATATTAATGCTAACCGTTAGCTCTTTTCTGACGTGCTATCTCGTCTACCTCATTGTGACTCTTCTTTTAATGGCCATTCACAGAGACATGCGTCTTTGTCACACTGCTTGCTATGATGCTCTACAATGCTCTTGGAAGAGAGCGGAGGAATCACATGACCAGCTCCGACCTCCTCTCTGCTCCTCTTCAACGCCAACCCATATGGTCAAAGACTCTTAAATCCTGGCTGGATAATACAACATATCACTTCACTTGACTCGTCCCTGTGAGCTTTGATATCGGCCCGGACACGTCACTGCTCTTCTTTTCACACAGCCACCCGCGGCTTTGACCCTAGACAACACCGTTATTTAAAGCTGTGTGATCCGACATCAGACAGCCTTGATGAGCATAGGCCGGCATCATTCTGATCCCAATCTAGATTGAACTGCGAGCAGTTTCTACTCCTCTTGGCACAAATCCCCCCTGAAATCTGATTTGTTCGATCACACGAGCACGTGCTCGGTGAGAGGGATTTTCTTCTGACAACACACCTGCGGTAGCCTTACGTCGGATCATCGTGGCATTTCTCATTATCACGGAGGTTGGAAGCCGTCATATTGTTGCATCGTTGGTATCGCAGAGAGGAGGTCTCTTGCCGATGGCACGGCAACATATCGTCTTCCATGGACCGCTCCATAGGAGGCTAGTCGCTAAAGCTTCGACATCAGAGGTCAAAATCAGAAACTCTGGTGGAGACTCTACCGTCAGAACCCCGTCGCAATCATGGCAGACCCTCTCAGTGTTGCTGCCAGGCTGGTCGGACTTTTGATGGCAGCTGTAAATGTCTCAACGATGTACTCAAGAAGGCGCGCCATGCTCCTGATGATTGCAGAAGGTTGAAAGCTGAAGTCGCCGACGTTCATAATATCCTCGGCCAGTTACAATTTTTCGTTCTGAGTGAAGCGCGCTTCCAGGTCGCGAATCTCACTGCTGATGGTCAATCAAGTAGTCGCAACCTTGTCCTCCTGCGTGCTGATACTTTCAGTGATCTACAAGTGTTCGCCGAAAGTCTGTATACAGTCCGAGCCAAGAATGAGCATCCTAGAGAGAGTACGCTGGATTTCAAAAGAGGCAGAACTGAAAGCAGTGCTGAGCAGACTCTAAACGCACAAGAGCTCGCTGTCCTCAAGTTGATACTCAACATTCTCACCTGCCTGCTCCAGATCGAAGCCGAGAGCAAGTTTGATCGACTACAGCTGTATCTTTCTCGATTCAAGACTCAAGAGATTCTGGGCAAGAAGCCAACACTTGCGGAAAGGCTTGTCGTGTATGCCACCCTGCAACGAGACACCTAAGTTGAAGGAACTCACCCACAGAGGAATGGCAAATCTGATCCAGACGCCTCAGGCGGCAACAGTTATCGCCGTCGACCGAACTTGAAAGCTGAATCGACTCCATGACGGGACTTCCGGATGCCGTGAAGGGTATCTGATAAAGCGCGACGCTCGTGGCTTTGCTTCTGAAGAACTGTTGATGAACTCAAGATTTTATCGCCAAGAAGCTCAGAACAAATTCTGATGCCTTCTCCATTATCAGCTCCTCGACGGGCAGAACGGCATGATGGTCGATGTTGAGGGGTCTTAGTCTTTCGGAACTATCTCACATTGCTATTCTTGCGTTGCCCATTTATGCCACAGACAATATGACTTCGAACTGTGCACAGCGAGAAGACCCGCGGGATCTTATCGTCGGAGAACCCAACCTCTGTGCGCAAACTTTGCTCAAAGGAATCACTCACTGGCAGTCCGCCCTCCTCGAAAGGGAATGAACCAACTGTCTACTCACACACACTTTAGCTAACCTTTTCACGATCCGAGAGCCTCGGTCAGATATGCCACAGTTTCCATTCCGGTCGCCGCTGAGCAGAACGTGGTCCGCCTCCTGATCAATTGCTACACCAAAGCGAACAAGTGTCAAACCCGGGATGATAGCCATCGATGGGGAGATATTTGCAAGGGCATGTCTCTTCAAAACTGAAGTTCGGCAACAACATAACAAAAGCCGCTTTTCGCGGGCACGAGCCCTGACGCATGAACATGGTCTTTTGATCCGTCCGTTCTTGCCAAATACTATTTTAAAACTGAGTGATGATATCCAATATTGGGTCTTGAACCAGCTTTCTAGGGAGCCCGGCTGCAAGCTACATAATTTTTCCAACGAACGTGGTTTGAGAGATTGTTGTCCCAACGCGGTCGATAGCGAGTAGTAAGATACAATTGTAAACTGCAATGAGTGAGATCCTCTGTCGTTCCCCACTGGTTGCCCATACAGCTCGATGGCACAGATATGCTAGAACAGCTAAAGCTGATGGTATTATTGCACTGCTGAATAGTTCGAATGAGTCATACGGCCAACAATAGCAGTAATACGGCAGCCGAGATCCAAAGGCATTGATTGCCAATATTCAATGAAAAAAAAAATACAGAAGCAGACCAATGTTGTTCCCCTGGGCTCTCTCTTGTCTTGGAGATTTGTTCAGGATTGGCGATGCTGGGTGAGGCTCACCGCTGTGGACACCGAATTCGCAGTCACATTCAACTACTGTTGCCGTGCGTGTCTTCCGGTACCAGTCGCAGACTCACAACTCCGGTTATGAGCCAAATTAGAAGCCCCTTCACCGTTGACCTCACACAGAAAGTACTATACTATAATCTGGGACTTTGAAGACCATGCTCTTACCATCGGGAGGGTACTGGATCTCACAATGCCTAGACACCCATGCGCCAGCGTACAATACCTGAGTACCTAGGTACCATTTCTGTTTATCAGTTCGGGGGATCAGGTCGTTCTGTTATACGTGGAACGAGGCCATATCCACGGCGGAAAGCGCGACACGAAAATCGCTACAACGGGTTTAGCTGGCCTTTTTCGAGACAGTGGCGCTAAGCTGTTTTAGTAATGCTTCAGGCCAGGTTTGGACTAGTCATTCTAGTTTCTGTAGGTTCACTGGGAGGTACCATCCGACGCCTGGGAACGCAAAAACCAAACCGTGTGCCCTGGCCGAAGTGTTTCTTTGACAGACACCGAAAAACGTGGTATCTACGGGACGGCGAATCAAGACAAACATTCGTGAGGAGAATGGAGACCACCCCAACGGTAGCAACGAGGTCAACATCCAGGCGTTGGCAACGATAACAAGAACTAGCAGGGGTCAGCTGGAACCTATCCACCAGTAGTAAACTAGTCATTATTCAAAGTCAGGCTGGACAGCGTCGAGGAAGCGAGGCAAAGGGAGTAGGGGAATAGTATCGCCAGTGCTTGTTATCCAACAGAGAGTCGATTTCTCAGTCACTCAATCAGTCAGGTTCCAATGATGAATTCTGTTCTTCAATTTTGGACGTTCTTGTGAACTTTACTTTCCGTGCATTCGAAGGACTCCGCCTCCGTGGTTTAGAGGCTCAGCCTCCGTTCTGCAAACTCATTCGCAGGATCCCAACCCTTGTTGGCGATGGGTATGTTTCTGGACTTCGAGACATCTGGGAACCTGTTATATGGTGGTTGGGCACACCGCCGGCATTATGGTGGCAGAAACCTCTCAGATGTTGATAGCAGCCTCGTCGTGGATTAGGGACTTTTGGAATGGTGCTAGCTTAGAAAGGTAGGCATCTCCGGCCGCTTGAAGTGAATAAGTGGCATTGCGTAGCAAACTGCAATGTCGTAAAAGCGGCGAGGCGGCTCCGCAATTGCCAACGACACGTGAGCTCCCACGTGATGAGCTCAATCCCATCATCTGCCAAGCAGCCCGCGGCCAAGTCCCGATTCCAAAGTTCTTGCTTTGGACCTGGTCGGAGGATGCATGTTGGAAACCCATTATTCGTTGCCTGCGAACCTGAAACCAACACTGAAGATCACAACGGTCTGTCATCTTAGCGAGTCCCTACAATGCCTGCCGACTGCAGTGGCCTGCACCGGCTTGTAGAAAAAATGACGTCAAATCTTTTCCAGGATCATCGACGGTGACATACCGGGTCGATCATCCGCGACATACTAAAAGGCTGATAGATCACTACGGTGCGAACCCCAGAACCTGTTTGTCCCCTTGCGCTTGGTCGCTCTTCCTGTCTGTGCAGCACTGATATCCTCCACCGCGCACGTAACATGTCCAAGGTCATGGGTGCCATCGCGAGTTTCCGCAACAAGATCTCCAACGGCAAACATGAGCTGGGTGACACGTTATCTAATCATAGTGAGAAACACCGCCGAGGAGGGCCCGAAAATGATGTTGCTCGTGTGATCGAACACGAGGTGCAGTGGTCCAGCGAAGATGAGGAGGAAGGCAGGGGAGAAACCGACCAGCTGGCCCACGGGGAGGCAATGAAAAGCCTAGATGATTTCTTGGACAACGAGGACCCTCCCGAGGCAAAGAGACACTACGGCAAACTGCCACTGATGCAATCTCAAGACGAGGCTGTCAATGACGACGTATGGCCGGCGAAATGGACTTCACTTGAAGAAGTCGATGCCAGCTTCATCGGCAAGGAGATCACCTTTCGCGCTCGGATCCACGTCGTTCGACACATGAGCGCAAAGCTAGCCTTCGTGGTCTTTCGCCAGCAGACCACCACGATACAAGGCGTGCTCAGCGCAAAAGACGGCGGTATCTCTGAGAATATGGTGCGGTGGGTGGAACACATGCGACCAGGTTCCATCGTGATCGTCAAGGCCAAAGTCAAAGAGCCGGAACAGACGGTCAAGAGCACAAGCGCTTCGCACGTGGAATTTGAGATTGAACAGATGCATCTGATCTCGGCGAGAACGGCTCCTGTGCCCTTCAGCGTCTACGAGGCCGACGCGGCAACTGACGGTCATTCTATCTCGGACAGAGTCAGGCTGGCCAACCGTATCATCGACCTGCGAACACCGTCCGCGCAGGCCATTTTCCGAGTTCAGTCGGCTGTTTGCAGGACTTTCCGACGCTATCTCGAGGACCGTGGCTTTCTGGAGATCCACACACCAAAGCTGCAAGGCGGCGCAACTGAGGGTGGAGCTGACGTCTTCCAGCTCGATTACTTTGGGCGTCCAGCATTCCTGGCTCAAAGCCCCCAGCTTGCCAAACAAATGTGTATCTCTGCAGATTTCGCCCGCGTTTTTGAGATTGGCCCAGTCTTCCGAGCTGGTTCGTTCCCTCCTCGCCCCTTATTTCTGATAATGGATAGCTGACATCGCCGCGCAGAAAACTCGAACACTCCTCGCCACATGACCGAGTTTACGGGATTGGACCTGGAAATGGCCATAGACAAACATTATCATGAAGCCATGTGGTTGATCGATGCAACGCTCAAGGAGATCTTCAGAACACTGTATGACCGCAACAGGAACGACATTGATACCATGAAACATCACTTCCCACATGATGATCTGGTCTGGCTGGACGAGACGCCGAGGGTCACATTTGCAGAAGGGGTCAAATTGCTGAACGAATCAGGCTGGACCAATGACGACGGAAGTCAACAATCTGAGCATGACGACCTGCCAACGCGAGCCGAACGAAGACTTGGAGAGCTGGTCAAGGAGAAATATCACACCGATTACTATATTCTCGACAAGTTCCCGGCAGCTGCCCGCCCTTTCTACACCATGCCAGACCCCAAGGATGACAAAATCACAAACTCCTTCGATTTTATGGTCCGGGGACAAGAAATCCTCTCTGGGGGACAAAGAATCCACGAGCATACGCTCTTGAAGGAGCGGATGCAAGCTCAAGGCATGGAACCCGACGACCTCAAAGAATATGTGCAAGCTTTCGAGTGGGTGGCACCGCCTCACGCGGGAGCCGGGATTGGTCTCGAACGTCTAGTCGCGCTCATTCTAGACCTGGGCAACTTGCGCTACGCGTCGCTATTTCCCCGCGACCCCAAAAGCTTTCCAGCGAAAAAAGAACCGAACCTGCGGCATCCTGAAGACAGTACGTTGCACCGTCCCAAGGGCTATCTTCAGCCACTTGAGAACCTGGTGGCAAATTACGGCGACGCAACAAACACTTCTTGGATGGACGAGAGGTTCCAGGTTTGGCGGGATGACAAGACGGGCGCAGCCATCGCCTACGTCCCCACGCACGACCGAGCAATCATTGCCGGAAATCCGCTTTGCGAAGTCAGCCAACTTGAAGACGTGATCGCCGCATTCCTGAAGTGGCTTCGAAAAGAAACTCGACTCCGGCCGCTCTTTATTCTGGTCGATAAGGAAATCGAAGAGGTGCTCGGCGACAGGCTGGGATGGAGGAGCTTTACCAACGTGGCAGAGCAGCGTGTTAATCTTGCCAACAACGAGCATTTGACCATCAGTAGCGACGTTGATCGGAAGATCAGGCACGCCTCGAAGGAAGGTGTGAAGGTGACTGAATACGGTAGCGACGTGCCGGAAGACGTGCGTCACCACGTCGAGCAGCGCATCAAGGAGTGGCAGGACAACCGAGAGGGCGCACAGGTCCACCTGAGCGTGATCACGCCGTTCAAGGACGCCTCGCACCGCCAGTATTTCATCGCCACCGACGACCAGGGCAAAATCCACAGTCTGGTGGTGCTCGCGCAACTCGCGCCTCGATGGGGCGTGCAGGTCAAGTGGGCACTGGACTTCCCCGGCGCGACTAACGGAGCCATCGAATTGGCAGTGCAGGCGGCGCTCAAGGCCGCCGCGAAGGCGGGCTACAAGACGTGCACGTTCGGCGCGGGCGCAACGGCCAAGCTGAGCAGCGAGCACAACGTCGGCGGCGCAAAGGCCGCCACGCTCGACTCGCTCTACCAGACCCTTGCGGCCAAGTTCAATCTGGACAAGAAGACCGGCTTCCGGACCAAATTCAACACCCTCGACGATCCGCTCTACCTGTGCTACCCGCCCAGAGGCCTGGGGCCGAAGGGTGCCCGTGCCATTGTCGACTTTTTCCAGGGGGAAGATTAGAGTCGGTCAAGGGAGGAAGGAATGGACGTTTCGCCTGCCGGTGAAGACGATTGAGGGTGCAAGCCACTCACTCAAATACCTGCACGGCGGTTGAATATTCCAACTCTTGCAAAGCAATATGAAGTGGTGCGAAATGAAGGACATGACAGTGAGTGACATGATCTCATCCTGCGTGGGCGAAAGGAAGCAACTCGCGCAGCTCACGAGGAGATGTTCCCAAGCCACAATAACAAGCACACCTCTTTACGAACAACCCGGAGGCGCACGCTGGAAGCTTCTTCCGCGCAACTGTAGTGCTCAAGTGGTAGATTTGCTTGGAGGGCACTGCGCGTACATCATTGCCGCTTAATCAACCCCACAGTTGGCCTGGATAATATGTCAGCAGCATTCTATATACACGTCCTATGAACAAACATACTATTAAACACGGAGCGCGACGCGGAGCCGCTGCCATTGAGCCTGCCTGGGGTGCACGCTCGCTGATTCTAGTCATTGTCGTTTAGGAGGACGGATCGAACATGTTAACGCACCTAGGGTTACGACGAGACGGAGAGATGGCTCTTGGAGGGCTCTGCCATGGTAGAGAGTGATACATATACATAGGGACATGGGTGAAAGGAGGAGTATGCTCTGCGCGGATTGATCCTCCCCGATACTATGCATCTTGCTCCGACTCGGATCTACCCCCTCGCACGCTTATTTCTATATTCCTGCAGTATCTTCAGAATCTCGTTCAATACCGGATCATGCTCAGGGTCGGTCTCGAAATCCTCGCAGAATATTCCGGAGAGCAACCTTTCTTCCCAGGACTCTCTCTCAGAAACAAGTACGTTATAGATGCGACCTTGGGAGAAAATGTAAGCGTTATTTCCATAGATGGAATGGTATTCTCTAGAACGATGTGCGAACACAACCCTCGCGATCTCTACTGCGGACAAGCTGGCTATATGGTGGTTCAGAAAACCAGCCATATGTTTGCCGACCGTAAATTCGGGATGGCTTTCGAGGATGATCTGCTGTAGCGACTCACTGGTAGAGGCGCCAATTTCCAAAAAGCGATCGAGTCCTGCAGGGGAACATTGAAGGAATTGTACACTGGGGGGGCCGGCCTGTAGAGTGATGTGAAACCTGAGGATATCGCAGCTGTCTGCCATTGCATTCATGGTCGAAGCTAGCGGTTCGTCCGGTTCGTCCGGTTCAGGATAAATTGTCCACTCCATCCCATTATCGAAAATGAGCCATGCCCTCAGGCCGGGCGCTTCACCTTCAATGCCACTCAAGATCCAACCAACACGATCCCCTCGTTGCTGAAGCGCTCCCAGAATGCTCGAGCTTGAGGCTTCATAGAGGGAGTCCAGTCGAAATTGTTGCCAGAAAGGGCGAGTAACACGGACGTAACAGTAGTCCTGACGCCAGAAATGATACAATGTGAGGTTTTGCGTCCAGGAGATGTGAGGCTTGAATATCGCAAGGAGGTCGTAGTCAGCTTTCCTGTGCACGTCTACAGTATAGTCGAAGAGTAAACTTGCATAGAAGCCGGACACAAGAGTTAATTCCTCCATTCCCAGCATGCTCAATTTTGCTTCCAGATATCGAGTCAATCCCCATGTAACGGCATAGGTAAAGACAACATTCTTGAGGGGTGAGAGATGTGGACATATTATCCCGAAGCGAGGTTGAACCTTGGCCAGTCGTCTATTTTCGACCTCGTCCCCGGACAGTGAAGGGGGCAATGCTAGTGGCCGACGCTTCTGGGATGTCACAAGGGCATGATCTATGACTATTGTGTCGAATTCAGTCCAGAGCGCCCAGTCTATTTCTTCAGCAGCCTCCAAAATTCTGAAGGGGGTCTCATGATTGTCATTGAGAAAGAATATGACCGCTGAAGCAGTCATCAAACGTCGGAAGGCCTCCTGCTCGGAGATGTTACAGGACCGAAGCAACGCAGCACCGCTTTCGCTGTCCACAAGGAAGTCTTGTGCGCTCCGATGGATGAAATGCGCCTCCAACTTTTTAACTCTGGCCAATGCTTTGTGGGCGAAGGTCTCGGGGAAAAATGGGTTGTGAGCTGAGTCGGTTGACTGCTCGATGAATTCGACGAGTCCTGCGCATCTTGCCACCACGCTGGCTTCAAAATTCTCAGCCACAGCATTCAAAGATGTCAAAAACTGCGCGTCCAGATTGTCAGGGAAGTTGCAACTCAACCTCTCCTGTTCCTGGGAAGCCACAAGCACATCAAGCAGGGATGCTTCCATACCCTTCCTGGTTGCAACATCAATTAGGCGCAGGTATGGCTTTGGGTGTTTCGCATAGAATTTGTCCTGCCGCTCAATTAAGAAAATGAACAGTTCGTTCATTTCACTCGGACATTCTTCAAGGCGTTGCTCCAATTCTTCCAGGTCATCTAGGTATGCAGCGGTGCTGAGTTCTTTCACCACAAGATAAGCCCATAGAAAAACGCCGTCAGCCCGACGGGCTATGCGCTCTGTAAAAGAAGCAGCTCTCGTAGTAGAGAGGTGCTTTCTGCAATGTGACATGATATCCCCATAATTGAAGTCCTGCAAGCGCAGGAACGGATATTGCTCAAGAGCGCGCTGAAAGAGATTCTCGGGTCGGCTTGAACAACAAATCTTGATCTTGTTGGAGCTCTGCGCAATAACTCGGATTGCATCGAGCAAAGCTTCACGTTCATTCGGAACCTCATCAAGCCCGTCAACCACCAAGCAATAATTAAATGTAGAGTGATCAAGCAGATAGTGTAGCCACGACTTTAGTTCAATGTTTGTCCAAGATTGAGCGTGGGAGCCCGGCTTGACAAGGCATGCTCGTAGGCTGTCGGGTGCTGCATTGTCGACGTCAGCTTGAATTTTTGTCACAATATCCTTGTCCATGCCAAGGATCTGAAAGCATAGTGACCTCCAGAATCCTTCGAGAGATTTCAACAAAACCCTTGTGGCCGGCCTGAAAAACCAGAAACTGAGTATGCGGACAGGTTGTGGGTTTGCCCATGCTTCCAAATGGGCAAAGGCTCGGCGCCCAGGCTGAAGATTTCGATAGATAAAGCCCATGAGGCTGCTCTTCCCACTACCAGGTTTCCCGCTGATCCAGAAGATCTCTTGGCCAGTTCGAAGCCATTCGACGAATGCATGGGATCTTCCAGGATGAAAGCGATCCTCATCGTCATCGTTAGGCTCGTCGTCGTCTGTGGGACCGAATATCCAGCCGTAAGTCTCGCCGAAGTCGCCGACGCGCTGCTCGATCATGTTGCGTCGTTCATTCATCTCCGGAAACGCCAAAGCGTCGAGCAGCCGGGTTCTCAGTGCGTCGTGTGCTTGATCCTGTAAATACTCTGTCTGAACACCCTGCTTCTGAGCCGCGTCCTTGAGGAGGGACTCCTGGCCATCGAAGCGATTCATCAATCTGGCCTCTGACCCTTGGACCGTGGCTGGAATGTCTGTTGAGAGCATGCGCATGCTCTGTTCGAGCTGGGCATCTTGGCTGGTGAGACGCGCCGCCAAAACTGTTTCCGAAGCTTTGATCGATGTTGCAACATCCTTTGATACTACTTGCAATTTTCCCAAGACTTGGGTGATGGCGTCTTTCTGGCCATCGGATAAGGCTTTGAACTCGTTTCTTCGCGTCAGGTCGTCCTGACCAACTTTGATGTTGAATTGCAGAATCAGCATTGGAGACCTGGGACATTAGGACAAGGCGAGACTCTGGCTCTAAGACGTCACGCTGTGGAGACAAAGTGAACGAGTACATTCTTCTTGAAGATGCCATGATTGCGATCCAGCTACACAGCAGATGAGAGACAAGAACGGCCATCACCACTTACTAGAGATCTTTTAGAATGGCTGAACGCAAGGCCGCATCTTGCTGTTCCAGTTTCCTCCGGAGACTCTCGATGGTCCCTCTCTTGAAGATGGCCCTCAAACTCGTCTTGAAAGCGCTGCCGGTCTGCTTGTTGCCCTGTTTCTTGGAGAGCTTCAACTGGTTCAGCACCTTCTTGAGCTCAGCCGTGGTCGCCGCAGAATCGTCCACGATCTTCTGCAGCCGCGTCGGACGACTGGACGGTGTGGTCTTCTGGGCCTTGAGTGTAGCTTCCAGATTCTTGTTGGCAGCCGCAATGCCTTCGGCAGACTCTTCAATCTTATCGTTCTCGTCCAGCGAACCTCGCTCGTAGATTTCCCTGCACACACCGACCGCCTCGATCGCTTGTTCGACGAGCTGCGTGACGTTGCAGGCAAGGGCTAGGGCGCTGATGGGGTCCATCGTCGTGTCGCATGGTCGGTTAGCGCTCCACGTCGATGCCGGTTTTCCAAGGCGGAGGTGGTCATCCACAACGGCTATGTGGATGTTTTCCCAATGTCACAAAGCATTGCGCACTCCACGGAGATACGAGGGAGATTGTTGCAGGAAGATGGAAGCTCTTTGTTGGCGAGCATCGTGCCGTCAGGCTGCGCTGCAGCAGAGATTTCGGTCCTGCGCAGCCCCAGGTGCCAGGCGTTGCTGTCGAAGACTCGATTGGCGCCCGCCTGCATGAATAGCTAGCCATCTTTGTCGAGAGCAACAAGGGCTGTTTCACAACGCTTGTCGAAAAGGCCTGGACCGTGACTGCCGTATGTCTTCGAACTTCAGAGGTGCCCTGATTGCCCAGGTGAATGGCATGTCATGACCACCCGCCGAGTGGTGTGGTTTCGATGCGCACGGCGTAAGGTATTAGAAGCGAGCTGGCTGATCGACGTGGACTCCGAGCCCCAATGTCTCTCTACCAACCCGCCTAGTAGGATTTGCCCCTTACAACAGGTTTTGGGGAACAGCGGTGACTTTGGACCGTCCTCCAACAGTTAGAGTCATGGTAAATAGGACGGAACTCGCAATGTGGTTATAGTATATATACACAAAACATAAGCAAACCCTCTTTCATAAGCTCATTCAGCCACATCGTAATCTCATCCTTCCAGTCACCAGCTGCATGAGCGATTGTGCAATCCTCTCAGTGAGGTGCCTCGTCTTGCTGTTCTGCTCACCAGGAGCTAGGTGATGCAGCTAGAATCCCTCGCCAACCGCGATGTCCACCTCTCTCCGCTTCAGCCGGTCGATCTTCGGTTCCAGCACTCCCTGCTGAGGTGCCATTGCTTCCATCTTCCGTAGCAAACTACCGTCAGTGAACTCGCTCGTGGGAGTGAGATCAACTAAAGGCTTGCCTGGGGCGCCGCGACCTGATCGGTGCCCGCCCTGCGATCGACGACTGGCGCTCCGGGCAAGGAGACCCGTTCCAGTAAATGGTCCGTCTGTGTCTTCGCCGGTGCCATTCGTTGCTGACTCGACCATAAGCTTTCGCGGAAACGATGTAGGTGGAGCTCCTGGTGGCCTCGAAGGGAATTTCGGGCTGCCCGCTTTCTCGTCAATGCTCGGTCTCTCGGGTACGAAATCAATCAACGGCCTCTGGTCATCAGATTGTGACGCCCGATGCGCGACGTCCGACTCTGGCTTTCGCTTTCCCTCAAAGGTGGAACCGAAATCCAGAAGTGGTTTGAAAGAGCCGAGCACGTAGGGCAACGATTCTTTGGACCCCCTTGTCCCTGGTCTGCTTCCTTGCCCTAGCCTTTCTGCCGGGTCAGTCGTTTTCTGTTGACCCTCACCAAGCATGTTGACCAGGTACCAACTCCGCCACGAATGAACGGCATGATACCATCTGTCGGCGACCGTCTTGTCCTTGGTGCAGAAGAAGTGCGCGAAGTTTGCCCCGTCTAGGAACATGGCCGACTTCTCCTGGCTTTTCAGGGCAAAGCACAGCTTCTTAGGAGGCTTGAGCTTTTTGATCTGTCGGGCGGTGGGAGTATACAGGTCAAAGTCTGACAAGTGGCAGATGTTGGTGGAATCAATGCCACTTTCATTCTTGGATGTGGTGATCTGGCCGTCCTCCCTCAGTCTCAACCAGCGTTTATCCCATTTTCCAGGCCTCTGTGAATGGTAGATGTTTACTACGGTCCCGTAAGGTTGCTGTTTGGGAGCGTCTGCGAGCTGCAAGCCTGGGGCAGCACATTCACCTTCAGCCATGATGAAGACATGATTCTGTGTGTCACTGTCCCAGGAGTTCATCACGTCACGTATCCGCTCATATCTTCGCAGCGGTCGCTCTAGCCCGAGCTGAGAAAAGGACTCCAGCAGGACAGCCGTTCGAGGGTCAATCGGCTGGGACATGCAGAGGGAGGCGGAACTCAGCACGTCCTTGGATGTAGTAGAGGGTGTAATAGGGAGAGTAACGAGCGCTTCCTTACATTTGACGCTTACCCTCCGTTCTCCAGCGTTTACTGCCGATACTGGGGCATCGAAGTTGGGTTTAGGGATAGGTGCTTGACTATTGGTCTTCTCGTCGTTCTTACCGGCGCTGTTTGTTCTAGAATGACTTTGTTTTGGCTTCTGTCGTAGCTGCTCAACCGCGGATGATGCACGGCGGTGATGTGCACGTTCACCTTGTTTGCCGGAGGAGGCTTGTCCGCCTATGACTAATGTACGCGTCCTCGATTTGTTCACGTCAAGAACAGGGTCCGGTGTCGATGACGCTGGAGCTTCATACTGCTCATCAACATCTTGCTCACAGTGCTGGGTGTCTTCAGGTCGAGTGCGGTCCGGCCGTGTTCTGGCTTCTAGTCGCGCCACATCCTCAGCCTCTCGCTGCCGAGTCTCTTGCGCTAATTTCTCTTCCTGTTTTCTGCGCTTTTCCCGCTCGTTATGCCGCCGCCGGGCCTCCTGCTGCCTTAGCGCCCTGACTCGGTCTTGTTCCCCTTCCAAAAGCAAACGCGCTTCTTCCCTGGCAGCTTCGAGGGATCTCCGAAGCTCGTCCGGCGACGGCTCTTGTATACTCGACGTCAAAGTCTGCTTGCGTGGAGTGCTTCTGCCGGTCGTCGGCCTAGTCGTAGGTCGCGAGCCGCTGTGCTGAATGACCATTCGGCGCGCGCCGTTTTCTGCCTGTCCCGCCTGCCCATCCTGTTCAGACGCATCGTGCAAGGTCCGGCCTCGAGGTCTTGAGACCGTCGCGGTATTAACGCTAGGAGGCAAGGGCGGTTCGTTCGGTAATGGCGCACTTTGAGTCGCTGGTGGCCGCCGATGGTATCTCGAGGGTAGGCGCGTCAACGAGGTCTGTGACGTCTGCGGCAAGGGAGGGGGAGGATCTTGAGGCGCAGCTTCTTTGACAGCCGATTGACGAACTGATCGGTATCGTAAGAACTTTTGAGTTTGCGCGGATTGTGCGGATGGATTTTGGGTGTCGCCACTCATGTTGGCCAGCGTGTCGGAAGATACTATGAGGTGTATCTCACTGTCGGAATCTCAATCGAGAAGGGAGCCACAAAACCCCAGAAGAACGCCGCCCCGGGGAATTCGGCGCGTGAGCAGAACGGGAGGTGCGCAGTGCGAGGCGAGGCGAAGCGAATCGCGACACGAAGCGAGCATGCATCCGGCGCTTGTTTTACTCGTATCTGCAGGCCTCGCGTAAGTGGATGGTCTCTGGTACGGTGGGTGGTTGAAGTTTCTGGAAGTTGTGCCACGGCCCATGGCACACCACGGGGCGGAGTAACATTGCACCGCTGGATACTGGAAGCTTGTTGTTCTAACACCGGGGACTCCGCTAGGTCGGTGCTAAGCATCCAAAACACCGAGCTAAAATTACTAGTGCTTTGGGATTGCTATCTACAAGGTACGCATAACAGGGCCTTAGAGAGACTACACCGTAGTTCAGGGCTCATAGCGAAGATCGGTGTCATGAGGCGATAGAATATCCAGGGGAGAAACAAAGGACTGTTGCATCTATAGCCTTCTGAGCCAAGTGAAATTGTAAAACAAAGTACTGGAATTCGCAAGCTTGGAGATATGACGACTAGGTACTTTGTACGGAGGGATACCTCTCCATCCCTAGGTATTTTACCGAAGATGAAGGACGAGGTCATAAGAATACTGCACAAGAATCATATCAGCTCTGCTACCGTCGCCCAGAACGAAGCTTCGCACGATAAAACCTCGCCTCTGAGTTGTTGCTGTCTTCGACTTCTTCAGTGTCGGACGCAGACGGTGCATCACTTGCATCTTCTTCGGCATCTTCAAATTCTTCATCATCTTCTGGCGCTTCGTCTCCTGTGGACTCCTCGGCATCCTCGTATTCTTCGCCGTCGTCAGAGTCTTCATACCCCTCCTCATCCGAGGTTTCTGGGCCACCGATGGTCTCTTGAAATTCTTCGCTAAGCTCTTCCAATGGCTCTCCAAGTTCTTTCAGCGTCTCCTCGAGGACTGTAGGGTGGGCGACGAGAAGTTCTGTCAGCATAACCTGGAGTTGTACCACGGCGTCGTCAGAGTACTTAGGCTCATTAATTTGGCTGAGTACGACATCGAGCTGTTTGAGCCTGGCGCCAACTTCCTCGGGGTCATCTAGCTCGAGGAGTATGGCTCTGATCTTATCGGCCATAGCCATAACTTGGTCGAAATCGTCGTCAGATTTATGTTTGTCCGACAATCCAGTACGATACAGTACGGCGAAGCCACCCCAACCATTGGTCAGGGTTTGGCAAGATTCTCCAGCTACGATGCACCACCTCCCGCAAGGACTCCAATCAGCTGCTCTCGTCACAAACATCGCTTTGTTTTTGAACTGGAGCTTATCGAGTAGAATCTTCATATGGGCCTTGAGGGGATTGTGCGGATCGTCAACGGAATATTTTTCACGGTCCCGGGCCATTAAGCCAGCCTTTTCTGAGTTGACGATACGCCGAAGATCAGGGGAGGGTGACTGCAAGCTCAGCGCGGATATACCAGATATTGTCGACTTTGGCACGGTACTGGGTCTTGGTGGTTTTTGTTCGATGTCGAGAGATTCTTCGTCGATCTCTGTAGGGTCAATAACAGATCGCTCTCTGTGTTTTCCCGAGGTATCCGAAGTCCCTTCGGACTCTAGGGTGGCTGATCGAACCCGCTCACTCTCTGAGGTGTCGGAAGTCGTATCTTCAGTATTCAAGCTTGTAGAACGGTACCGCTCGGATCCCACAGCGTCGAAAAACTCTCCCCCAATCTCTATACTATCCAAAATATTTTCGTCAAAGTCTAGAGACTCAGAGGTCTCTCTAGCGAGCTGTCTAGTATTATGAGACCGCTGTCTCATCTCTAGAGCACTAGAAAGTTCTTCTTCGCTCTCCGAAGAGCTCTCATGCACCACAATGATTTGCGGTTCTGGAATAACCCTTTGGGATCGGATCGAGTCTGTGGTCACACCTGGATTGCATAGAGGCTGAAGCACAACGGGAGATTGTGAAGCAAGAGGCCATTCAACAGGAGGCGTGTCTCTTACGGCATCTCGAGTCTTTGTCTCCCTATTCTTAGTCTTTACTTTCAAACGAGTTGACCTTCTGGCTGAAGTTGCTTCTCTCGAATTATCCGGCCCAGCCGGAGACAGGGAAGGGGTGTGTGGTGTTGAAAGAACCGAGCTTTTGACACCTTTGCTATCTATCGCGGTATCCGAAGCGGCTGGAGATTGCAGTGCGGCGCGCGATGCAGAAAGAGGTGATACTCTGGCAGTATCAGTATCATCTGAAGCCGCTGGAGACGGGAGCAGGGAGCGTTGTGTCAATCGAGCCGATTTTCTGACAGGATCAGAATCCCTCGCGATATCTGTAGCAGCTGGGGATGGAGATGTAGTGTGCGGTGTTAGACGAGCCGATCTCTTGACAGGATTTTCATCTCTTTTGATGCGTGGCGGATCCTGGGACAGTTGAATGGCCTCAGTTTTGAGTTGAGGTGGTCTTCTGGCAGAATCCATGGGAGACATTGAACCACCATCTGGAGCATCTAGAGAGGGTCGAGAACCGTCAGACTTTGATGGAGACGGCGGTCTGCTTGAAACGGGTACCGTAGATGATAATGCTTTGCTGTCTGACACATTTGGGGTTGGTTGGTCAGCGTATGGTTTGGACCGGGTCGAACTTCTACTGTGAGTGGAATATGGCTGTGTTTTACTGTCTGACATATTTGGGGTTGGTCGGATAGCGTTTGGTGTTGGCCTAGTCGAGCTCCTCTTAGAAGATGAAAAGCGAAACAAATCGTCGTATTTCATTTCCGGCAGCGGAATGAGGGGTGGCTCTGGGCCAGTCGATCCTTGCAAAGGCATTGAAGGAATGACTGGCCTGTCAATTCTGATGTCCCCTAACTGAATACTGATTTGCTTTGACCTGGTCAGTTTTTTGACGGGAATTACAAGAGACTCTTTTTTGCCAACTTTCGTGTTCGAAGAAGGGCGTACAACATCTGAACCTGAAGAGGTTGATCGTCCAACAAGGGTCGAAGGAGCTGGGAATTTGACATCTTCAATTGCGCGAGTGAGAAGAGTCGGTCGTATGGTATCAGAAGACTCTTGCCTGGCGTCCCTAGCCTCTTCCTTAATCTCTGCCGGGCCTTGCTTGATCTGTATGGATCCGCATTTGATCACTACATTCTCGAGCTTGACGGTTGGAAGCTGTCGTTGTAGCCTCAAAGACCTCTTTTCAGAGGCCCCCCGAGGCACCTGGCGCTGTCGAGTTTGCGCTTTTGATGGAGGGTTGGCTTCAATTTTTGATCTCTTTTCTCGGGCCGGAAGGACTTTAAGTTTTGATGTCTTTTCTTGAACAGGGGGCACTTCCATTTTTGGTCTCTTTTCTCGGGTAGGAAGGACTTCAGCTTCTGGTCTCTTTCTTTTTCTGCCGCGACGTTTGTCGCTGCCGTCGCGTTCACCTGCATGACCCGCCAAGATTTGCTCAAGGTCCCAAAATCGAAGTTCGGAAGCAGCATTTCCATACGTGATCAACGGATGTAAGTCGGGGTATGCTGGCGAGGGCAACAGTAGGCCAAATCGAAGATAGAATGTGTCACTGTAGGGAGCGGCAAACTCCAGGAGTCGCTTGTATGAGGCGGTGTTTCGGAACTCGCTTGGGACTTCCCACCGTTTCGCACCATCCTCGTCCACGACTACTGTGCGCATAAACCCGTTGCGCGTATCGAGATAAATTGCCGTCTTTACAGCTGTCATTGGTGGCGGTGGAGGTTTTCGCGAATCAAAACCAGTCACCTTCCAGAGCACAATCTTGTTTTCGGTCGCAGCCTTTGACAGTATCAAATCGCCAAAGAATTTGACACAGTCAATATAACTGGAGTGCAGCGCCTTGGTGCTAAAGTGTGGGTAGTAGATCCACATGGTCTCAAAAAAGTGTCGTTTGACGCGCGCTGGGTCGATTTTCTGCCAGAAGGGGGAGCGAATACCAAGATCTGGTATAGTCCACACACAGATTTGGTGGTCGAAGCCTGCTGTGACCAAATACCGGCCGGTCTCGTGCCATGAAACCGTCAGCACGCCAGCCCTGTGTCCGTCTGTTCCTGAACCACAGCTTATGATCATAGGCGATATGCGGGGCACCTCGCATCGTCGCAGATCGAAAATTCGAATTTGGCCATCCTCCGAAGCAGTAGCGAAAATCCATGGGTAGAGAGGATGCACTGCGATGTCGTTGATATTTCCGTTGACATGCTGGATCAGAGGCTTGACAGTCTGTCCTTTGATGACATCAATCACCTTGATTAGCCCCAGAGCGCCCGCAATTATCAATAAAGGTCTTTGCGGATCTATGTAGGCCCAGGCGCAAGAATTCAGACCAAGAGATTCGCGGTTTCCTTGTACGTCGGGATCGGTCAGATGATGGAGGATAGTGACGGTACAACGAGTTTTAGCTGACAATCGACCAATGATAACCTCTCTCTGGCTAATCACGGCGAAGATGGGTTCGTCGCATGGAGGGGTAGAATATGGCCAGAACTTGACGTCGTAGAATGTGAATCGGTCTTTGCCGGGCTGGGTGTAAATGTACTTGATCTTGGGCAGCTCAAAGGCCTGTTTCTTCGCCCGAGTCCCCATGTGTGCGTTGTGTCGGAGCGAATTTCTGAGGGATTCAGTGCTGGATGAGCGCAAAAGGGGGATTAACGCGGCGATGCTGGACAGCTCTTGTCATCTCGCCTGAGAGAGGTGTCTGTTCGCCATTGAGATGAATGAACGACGCGTTGTGCTTGTTTTTACTTCATGGCACCCTCACACTACAGGGTCGACTTTGGCGCTGTTGTTGAAGAAGTATGGACGTGACCTATTGAACAGCCTGTGATGCGATTTTCCTTAAATAGGGGAGAGGTTTAGATAGTGCGATATCGACGGGCTGGAGGAAGAGAATTACGCTCTGTTGGACCGTCTGGGCGGATGCCGCCCAAGACCCACTTTTGTCCCCCCAAGGCTTGGCGCATGGCCGGGCCAGGCCGGCTCCGTCTTCATCACGTGACCCGCTCACAGGTCGCCCGCCACACTGTTACACCGCCTATCACGACCTCCACCACCACCACCACCACCACCATCATCACCAAACTGTCACAGGTCAGTCCCGCACCACCAGCCAGCAACGGCAAACACCCGCACCGCTGGCCCCCTAAAAGCTAATCCTCATCCTAACTCTCAACTCTCCCTCACCCTGGCCAGACCACTCCGTCCACCATGGCACGCACCTTGCACACTCCCGAGACCCCCGAACAGATCAAACATGAGCTGGAGACGCAGTTTCTGTCGCCACCAACCACATTCACTCCCGAGTGGCTAAACAAGCTGCAGCAGCGCTGGGACTACCAGGCTTCCAATTACACCGAGCTCTGTCAGTTAGCACCCACTCAGACTCGGACAGTCACTCGCTTCACCCGCAAAGGGCTGGAAGGCAAGGTCGCAGCCTACCGTCAGGTCACCGTGCCCGCCTCAGGCGCCACTGCAAAGAACTCGACGTCACTTCTCCGGAGACCAGCAAATAGATCCGAGTTTGTGCGAGGGGCAGCGGGGTTTTTCCCCTTTGCGCCTGGTGGATTGGATGGGGTCGACACGATTCAAGCCTACGAGGACCAGGTGAGACTAGAGGAAGAACATAGACGGCCGGCGAAGAAGGCCAATGGGCTCGCTCGCATCATCAATTTCGGAGTCGATGATGGCCTGTTGCAAGTGCCTCCGGGATTTACCAGGGGCATGAGATTTTCCGACAAGAAATCGACCGAGGCGCAACAAGATGCAGAAGACGTAGAAAAGACACTGGAATCCGACGAAGAAACTGAACTAGGCCCTAAGGTGGATGAGCGCGATGGGGAGACGGCTGCTGCCTCGGAGAATGGAGATGTAGCTGTGGAAGAAGACGAGGACGACGAATATGCCGACCTGGATGACCTCCTACCAGTGGAATTCCCATCCTTGGAGCCGCGTGGAGACTTGCTGCGAGCAACTACCAAGGCACCAGGCAAAACATGGGCTCACGTGGTGGATATCAACAAGGCCATTCCAAACTTTGCAGAATTAGTCCCTGACATGGCGCGGACGTGGCCTTTTGAACTCGACACTTTTCAGAAAGAGGCCATCTATCATCTTGAAAGTGGCGACTCGGTGTTTGTTGCCGCCCACACCTCGGCGGGCAAGACTGTCGTTGCCGAATATGCCATAGCCCTGGCTGCGAAGCATATGACCAAGGCCATCTATACCTCCCCCATCAAGGCCCTGTCCAATCAAAAGTTCCGCGATTTCAAAAACGTCTTCGACGACGTTGGCATCTTAACCGGAGATGTCCAGATTAATCCGGAAGCCAGCTGCCTCATCATGACGACAGAAATTTTGCGAAGCATGCTCTATCGTGGTGCCGACCTCATTCGAGATGTGGAGTTTGTCATCTTTGACGAAGTTCATTATGTCAATGATCTTGAGCGAGGAGTTGTTTGGGAGGAGGTCATTATCATGTTGCCCGATCACGTCACACTTATCCTGCTTTCCGCCACCGTCCCTAATACCTACGAATTTGCGTCGTGGGTTGGGCGTACCAAGAAGAAGGACATCTACGTCATCTCCACGCCCAAGAGACCGGTACCGCTGGAGCATTATCTATGGGCAGGCAAAGAGATACACAAGATTGTGGATTCCGAGAAACGGTTCATTCAGAAAGGCTGGAAAGCCGCCAACGATATCTTGTCGGGACTTGATAAAATCAAAGAGCAGAAAGCCATCGAAGCCCAGGCGCCTGTTCGTGGAGGACACGCGTCAGGACAGCGGGGCGGGGGTCGCGCCCAGCCTCAGCGCGGCGGATCGAATCAAAGAGGTGGTGCACAGCAGCGAGGTCGGGGAGCAGTCCCGAACCGCGGCCAAGGCAATATTGCGCGAACAGGACGCGGTGGGGGGAGAACGACGGCGGCTCAAGACAGGAACATCTGGGTGCATCTCGTCCAGTTCCTGCGAAAAGAGAATCTATTACCGGCCTGCATCTTTGTGTTCTCCAAAAAGAGGTGCGAAGAGAACGCCGACTCCCTCTCAAACCAAGACTTCTGCACTGCAGCAGAGAAGAGCGCCATTCACATGATTATCGAAAGGTCAATCGCAAGACTCAGACCTGAAGACCGAGTGTTGCCGCAAATCAGACGGCTGCGTGAGATGCTCGGCCGCGGTGTCGCCGTCCACCACGGAGGTCTGCTGCCCATTGTGAAAGAGATTGTGGAGATTCTTTTTGCAAGGACTTTGGTGAAGGTGCTATTCGCTACGGAAACATTTGCGATGGGCCTGAATCTTCCTACGCGAACAGTTGTTTTCTCGGGGTATCGCAAGCATGACGGCCGCGAATTTCGAAATCTACTACCCGGAGAGTACACCCAAATGGCTGGCCGCGCCGGACGCCGAGGCCTTGACACTGTTGGGACAGTCATCATCGTGACACCGGGCAAGACTGAGGCACCTTCGGCGGCAGAATTGACCCAGATGATCACTGGTCCCGCCACAAAATTACGCAGCCAATTTAGACTACATTACAACATGATCCTGAACCTCATGCGAGTCGAGGCATTGAAGATTGAAGAAATGATCAAGCGCAGCTTCTCGGAGAATGCGACACAAGCACTACTGCCTCAACACGAGGAGCAGGTCGCGTTGTCCCAGGCAACCTTGGACAAGATCAAGCGAGAACCTTGCGACATCTGCGACATCGACGCGGAGGCCTGTCACGAAGCAGCCATGCAATTCGAACAGCTAACCAAGGAACTCCACATTAATTTGCTGTCGTCGCCGGTCGGACGGCGCCTTTGGACTGCTAAGAGATTGATAGTATTCAAAAAAGTGAGTGGGGCTCTTCCCGATTTCTTGCGATTTCCTAACTCCTCTGTGTAGGACGGCATCCGTACGGTTGGAGTGCTCCTCGAGGACGGAGTACGGGCCGGGGCGAATCGAGGCCTCAAAGTTCTTGAAATATCCCATATTGACGCCAAGCGATCGACGCGAGATCTGCTTCCATACCTGCCGCGTGTGCGCATGATGTTCTCCCCCTTGCCGGAAAGGGCTTCCCAGGTCAAATGGCGGGTCACCCAGGTTGCGTTGGACGATGTGGAATGTGTTACCCAGACGGTTGTCAAGGTCAGAGGTCCCCGCAGGTTTAACAGGACGAGAAAAGGTAATACTTACATTTATCGGAATCAACAGGTCGATCTGCGTTCGTTGCTCCAGTCCGATGAGGCGCAACGGAAATTCGCCGAAGAAGAATTCGTCAACGTCTATTCATCCTGGATCTCGACGGCGTGGGATGAGCAAGAGTGGAGCAAGTTGCATGAATTGCACATCCGCGATCTGCTGCACAAGAGGAACGAGGCCGCGCAGATTTTCGAGAACAGTCGATGCCTGCAGTGCCCCCAGTTTTTGAAGCACTACGGCATGCAGCATGACGAGTGGCTGATCCAGGAAAACATTCAATCCTTGAAAATGCTAATGTCTGACCAGAATCTGTCACTGCTGCCGGATTACCAGCAGAGGACTGCAGTGCTGAAGGATCTCGGGTTCATCGATGAACAGTCTCGCGTTCAGCTGAAGGGCAAAGTCGCCTGCGAGATCCACTCGGGCGACGAGCTTGTCATCACTGAACTGATTCTGGAGAACGTGCTTGCGTCGTAAGTTGGGCGGGAGAGGACGAATGGGGCAAGCCCAGATCAAGCTGACGGCAGTCCAGGTTCGAGCCCGAAGAAATCGTGGCCCTCCTTTCGTCCTTTGTCTTCCAAGAAAAGACGGACAGCGAACCACAACTTGGCGGGAACCTTGAACGTGGCAAAGAAGCCATCATCGAAATCTCCGAGAGGGTTAACCACTACCAGATCCTGCATCAGGTGATCCTCTCTTCCGACGATGCCAATGATTTTGTCTCGAGACAACGATTCGGACTGGTCGAGGTGGTCTATGAATGGGCGCGGGGGATGTCATTCAACCGCATCACCGATCTGACGGATGTGATGGAGGGCACCATTGTCCGAGTGATTACGAGACTAGACGAGACGTGCCGGGAGGTGATGAGTGCCGCGAGGCTGATCGGGGATCCCTCGCTGTATGCAAAGATGGAAAAGGCGAGGGAGTTGATCCGACGAGATGTGGTGTTTACGGCCAGTCTATACATGTAAGAGTCGCGCGACGAAGGTGGGACACCACCGGCCGTGTTCTTTCTCTACCTGAAGGCTGTAGATCACGTATCTGAATTACGGGTGAGACTGAATCCTTCGTGATGGCTCAGCATGTGTTGTGACATGACGGACAACTCCGTTTGTTGTTCGCGCTCTCTCTCTCTCTCTCTTCTTTCCATGACGATTACGAACCATCAACCTCCAGCAGAGTCGCTATCCAAGCAGTCATCAAAAGAGATCCCCATCATCCACCAAGGGCAGAACCTGGGGGTATACTCCGACCCATCACTCCCCAAGACAGATCTGGCTCAAGTTTTCCCCGGATCAACGCCAATGGCCGGGCCGAAGCTCACGACGTCGGACGATCTCCTGATCTGCTGTGCGTGCGGCGCGCAGTACGAGGTGGACGAGACGACGGGCAAGGACGAGTGCCGGATCTGCGAAGTCGGTTTACCCCAAGCCCCATCCTAGCCTCGCATTCCTTTGCTGGCGCTTGATTGATTGATTGATTGATTGACACACAAACGCCCTGACCCGAACCGTGTGTGTGTTGTCTACACATTAGGACCCCCGCCAATTCGTCCCGCCGACGGGCCAGGCGTTCACGACGCTGCGCAAGCTGCACGAGGGCCCGTACCGGAACGTCTTCGAGCCGTGCGCGCACAACGACACCGTGGTCGAGATCCACACCGAGCCAAAGGTAGGTAAAACCCCTCCCTCCACACGGTCCCTTTGCGCGGCTCGTCTACATGTTGTCCCTCGCCGCGTTGAACAGAACCCGATGCTGAGACCAGGTTGTGATTGCTTGCTTCGCCACAGTTCGGAATCGGGCAGGGCGCGCGCTTGATCCGCACGCCGAACGGGAATGTCCTCTGGGACTTGATCGCGTATCTGGACCAGGATACCGTGGACAAGGTATGTCTGTACTCTCGCACTCATATATCTATATCCATGGGCCCGTCGCCCTCGAAAATCGCCAGCGACATACTTCCGTTTTCCCTGACTCTGTGTTTCCTTTTCAATTCAATTTTATTTTGGTCAGAAGAGAAAAGAAGAAGAAAAAGGAGGGCGATTTTTTTTGGACACGCTGCTTGGTTTATATGGATGGAGTTTGATGGTGTTGGGGTCCAGATCACCGAGTTGGGCGGGTTGAAGTTCATCATCATTTCACACCCGCACTTCTACACGTAAGACACCCTCTGTCTCTCCATCTATATTCACTGCTCGTCTCACTGGAGAGATTATATTCTTTCCTCTCCCGCAAATTCGCAAATTTGGGATTTTTCTCGGTGCTGAACGGCCCCTATGACACTAGGACCTGGGCGGACTGGTCATCGACATTTGACTGCCCCGTGTACATGACCGAAGTCGACTCGGTCTGGGCCAACAGAAAAGACACACCCTCTGCAACTCTCAAGCTGCTGAAAGAGCCCAGCACCGAGCTCCTCCCGGGCCTCACGTCGGTCATCTGCGGGGGCCACTTCCCCGGCAGCCAGGTCCTGCACTCCCTGCCACCCAACACTCCTGTGCCGACGCTGTTCGTGGCCGACACCATCTTCGCCGTGCAGTCGAGCCACAATCCAGACCCGGGCAAGCGCAGCGACACCATCTCGTACCAGTTTCTGTGGAGCATCCCCAATTTCATCCCCTTGCCGCCGGAAGAGGTGCTCAAGATCTGGAGGTGCCTCAAACCGTTGGAGTTTAAGGCGACCTATGGCGTTATGGCCAAGATCACCAATGTTTGTGAGTCGCTCCCTTCTTCCAGCTCTTCCCCCCTTGGAATCTAAAGGTTGGTTGTGTGACGGAATGCTGATCGTGGTGAATTTTGCATTTCAATAGTTGAGAGACCCGGCCAGAGTCTGAGTCTAAAAGCAAGGCTGCTTCAGAGCGCAAAAATCGCGGTTAAAGCAATGGGATATGCTGACCATGCCATTTTTGCCGAGGAATTGTGAGACACAGCACATCATCCTGGGCAGGGTGGTCAATAGGCTTGTCACCCTTATGAACCACCTTTAACTTTGTAATTTCTCGTGGTTGGCATTTTCTCAAACCAAGAGCAGCGCATTCAAACATCCGTCGCGACTCGGATCGTTGGTGACCTGCGCGTACTTTCCCCACACGACTTTCCCGCCAGTCGTGACAAGCCCAAGCTCTGACACATTGACCTCGATGACAGTGCCCTTTGTCAGGACCCCCAACTGGGTGTAGAGTGGATTCTGGGGATTCTTCTTGACGCTGATGATGGGCAACTGCACCGTGACGCCCAGCTCCGGGTGTGTGACGTTGGCCTTTTTGTAGCGGAGACCCATGGGCCGGATGAAGCGCTCGTACTTGACGGGCCGTCTGGTGAAGTCGGGCCCAACAAAGGTCGGCTGCGTGATCATCCTCTTCCAGCTCTTCTTCGCCGTCTTCTTGCCCGTCTTGACCACCTTGAACATCTCCTCCTCGCTGATGCCCTTGACCTTGGGCAGCGGCACGGAGAACTTGGCGGCCTTCTCGGCCCGCTTGTTCTTGATCGCGCTCGACAGCGCCTTCGCGTTGTTGGCCTGGGATCGGTCGAGCAGGTAGTTGGGCAGGGGCGTCGAGGACGGTTCGCTGGGGGCGGCGGATTTGACGTCGCGTTCTTCCTGCGCCTTGATGGCCTTCTTCATCTGGATCTTCTCGGCGTGTCGCTTCTTCTGGTGCAGCTTCGCCCGCAGGCCGCGCAGGTTCTGGGCCTTTTCGGACAGGGCGTGCCCTTCTCGGGCCTCTCTCTTCCGCACCCGCTCATCGTGGTCCAGGCGCTTGCCATGCTGTTTCTGCCAGCGCTCGATGTACTCGTTCTGAGGCATGGCGAAGAGGAAGAGGTGACGCAGGCCTTGTGTGGTGTTGTGCAGTTCGCAGTTCGCAGTTCGCAGCTCACTACCGAGTCCTGGCTACAAGAGTCCGCTGAAGAAAAAAAAGTTCGGGTTTCGCAGGCCAAGAATTTCCCGGTGGGGATCTGGTCACGTGCGCCAAGGCAAGGTTTCAAATGACTCGCTGACTGTCAGGCCTGCCTCCTTCGAGACGTGGACCCGAATTGGCGGACTCGTGGGAGCCGAGCCCCAAATCAACCCAATCACGCGCGATCCTCCTGGTTAGCGGCGGAGGACCGCGTGCCTCAGCGTGCCCAGAGTGTCACCCACGTTGCCGTCCTCGATTCGTGGAAATCTGGTCACATTTCGCGTGCTGTTTCTGCAAGTGGCCCTTTGTGGAACGGGCGCCTCGGGGAAGCCCTCCGACTCCTCGAGCACTAATCCGGTTTGAAAGGCAGGCCGTGCACCGCAATGAAGATGCGCTAAGCCTGTGACAGTAAGGCCGACCTTTTTGTTGAGGAACGAGGAGTCCCAACACACCCCACCCCCCCCCCCGCATTTGGCCGGGACGGATGTTCCCGTACAACAGCACAGCGGTGGAGGTCCGGGGAGACGTTTCCCGAGTAATTTTGAGCACGTTGACCCCAGCCTTTTCACTCGTCGCTACCGAACCCGACCACTTGGGCCCGCCAACCCTAATTGGTGGTCCGCGACGGGGAATTGCCAATAGCACGCAGCGCCCGGTCACTGATATGCTAAAAATAGCAAGCGTCAACTTTCCAGGGTTGCGGCATCCCCACAAGGACCGAGCTGCCGCATTCCAGAGTAGCCTGTTTCTCTCATTTTGCGCAGCAGAACATTCTTCAATTACTCGTACTCTTGATTAGGGAACGAATTCTTCCATTGATCGTGTACGTCGATCCTTGACCGGTTCGTCCAACATTTAATGGACAACGAAAGCGTCGACACTCGTCTACGAGAAGAAGCGGTGCTGCCCAAGAACATGCCAGGATTCCAATGAACAATGTGGGCGAAGGCCTACACAACGCCCACGCGATGCCAACGAACGCAGCTGGTTACATACATGACTTGCCGAGTCTTCACCTTACACTGTCAAACGAGTTGAACTAGGTTCTGGTTCCTTTCAAAGGTCTAGCAAGTTCACAAATCCGTCAGGCAAACGTCGCCGACTCAGCAAGAACACCCATCAGCAGTTTATCCAGTTTCGAAACGAAGCACCGATGGGTGTTGGAAGTCGAATTGGAGCTCAAGTCTGTGCATTTCTCTCTGGGTTTACGAGGGTCTAATTCCCATCATACAGGGTAAGCTGATAGGGCGAAGCGATTGTTGCTGTCTCTCTGTCGCCCTCGCTCATTCGTTTTTCTCGTTCGAATCTTCGCAAGTTCTCTTCCCTGAGCCCTGTTCTTGGGGGCAAATGGACGTTTATGGGATTGCCCCAGAAGGTTGTCTACTCGTCAACGAGGACGTGCTGCACGGGTTTGATGGTTTGCGGGGAGGCAAGTAATTTTGTGAGCGTGCAAGGAATATCTATGGAATTTTTTGTTTTTTTGCAGATTAGAAGGTGATGCAGGTGCAAGTCTCGGGCGTGAGACAAGGGGAAATGTGGTGAAACCGTCACAGGGCCAAAACCCCGTTTGGTCCGTGTGCGGCCTGACTACTTGTAGTGGCCAGTCTAGGCCCCGTTACAGTGTCACTCAATCACTTCAAATCTGGAGTTTCGGAACTAAGATTCCCCCCTAGTGCGGTTTCAGATTCAAGCACAACATAGGGGTGGGAATTTCGCAGGTACAGCGTAAGGAGGTTTTCGGGTGGATCGGATGCGTTTGTCGAGTTGTAGAACACATGCGTAGGGTGAATACGAGCTGCTCTCGCGCACTGGATGGGAGACCAAGCCCCTATCCCACACAGATCCCACACGATTCCCACCCACCTTGGAGGCTGAAAGCGCCATCGTTCAGCGAGGACACATCCCCTGGGCACGTTCATGTTCATGACATCGCAGGCGTCGTTGCGATCAAGAAAGCATCTCGCCTTTGGGCTGAAGCGGCTCTTGCTTACTTCAGCCTGTATTCTTCCACTTGCTCTTCCCTGAGAGATGGCGCAATATTTGGCGGTGACGACACAATAATACGGAGTACCACCCCCCGATTTGCGCGTAAAGGCCTCGGCGCCAAGACATCCAGGGGCTTGCTTACTCTAAAAATATTACATAAGTCCACGAGCCTTAGCGTGGCAGCAGATGCCCCATTGGGACAAGGCCAGACGGCTGAGTCATTTAAGCCACTCAGGCAGCGCCACCGGCTCAGCCCTTTGGCAAGACAACGGTGACATGCCACACGCCCTTTGAAGAGCCTTGAGCCTTCCCGTCAAATTTCTTACCAAGACAGACGTCATGATCCCATGTTCCAGCCGCCCCCCCTCTCACCAATCTGACTACTTCGTCCCCCCCCCAACGACCGCGTATCTGACACACTCGAGAACGCCCTGCGAAGACACACGGACCACATGGTTGCAAGAAAAATCTTGCGAAGCAAGGGCGCGCGCCCTTGGTCATGGAAGGTTCCACCCGAAGTAACTTGCCCCAATTACAACATCGTATAGCGCCACAGTTGCGTTCAGAGCCTCTCTTTGAAACCATGCTATTTTTTGCGCCTCGTGAACAATGCCATCCCCACATACCAGCCACAATTCCCATGCGAGCGGGTTGCAAAGGGCGTGTTTGTACATACGCCGCTGTGGAGCGAAAAATTCTCGCATACAACAACGACGTGACTCAAAAGGGATCTGGGGATTACACAGGTATGTTTGATGTGTATATATATGTATCAACGCACCGCCGTCCAGCGACATTAGAAATTCCCATCGATACACAGAGCGTCTTACCTGGCAAATCATCCCCACACGTGCAACCATTCCTCATAGTATTCAGTCAAAAGCAATAGTCTAAAGCTTGCACTTCGAAACTCCAAATACACATTCCAAGTCAGACTTGAGAGCAGCATCACCCTTCAAACACCCGCCCTCAAACGAACCACCAAGCTTGAAAGGCAACCAAACAAACTACTACACCATCTCTCTCTCTCTCTCTCTTTCTCCAAGATTCTACCATACCCCTTCCAACCTCAATCCGAGTGACAAACAAGATCGCCATGGCCCGACAATCCATCACCAGCACCACCAGCACCGTCGCCAGCACCGACAGCACCGGCCTGCGGAACAAGGTGCACAGCTCGTGGAAGTCCGCGACGCAGTACATCTCCCAAAAGGCAAAGGAGCACCACCGCGGCGTGAACGAGGCCTACCGGGCTTACTATGGATTAAACGTGCCCACGTCGAGGAGGAACTAGAATTTTGAGAAGGGGGGGCGGGGCTAGAACACAACAATTCTGCCCCGATGCTTTTTGAGTACTGGGATTTAATAGCGCTTGGGTTGGTACAATGTTTGGGGACTTGTGGGTAACTTAACGGGGTGTTTTTATTTATGCGATGGGTGTATATATTCCGCCCCGCGAATATTAATATACTATTTCCAACACTATTCTTTTGTCTGTGCTGAATTTTCTTAGTCTTTTGGTCGATTACCGCAACTTTGAAGCTGCTGCTGTGGTTGATGCTCCTGGTTCCGACAATTAGGGCTTTTTCAATTTCGTCGTAGCCATTGTTGCCGGAGGCTTGAGACAAGCCCTAGCAGCCTGGATCGAGGTGATAAGTGCAAACGGAGGGCTTGGGAGGCCCATGAAGCCATGGTATGTCCTGGTTGCCACTGAGAGTTCTGCAATGCCCAATAGAGGAGTTCGTGTCGACGGCAATGTCGTGCGCGAGCAGACACTCCTCAGGATCATCCAGCGATCGCGACACAATAGCGGCTGTTGGTCTTCATGGCCTGCGTCGTGGCGTCCGAAATACTGCTGTTGTAGTATTACCAGACGACCCGCTCAAACGCTCCTTCTCTGGGCGTGGAGCCTGCATCACAAACCATAGGTAAGAGAAAAGTGTTGCATCGACCCGACATAGCTCACTTGTACCATTGATGCGCTGCCTCTTGAGGCAGGCGAACACCATGACAACAACGTACACTCCAGGATAAAGAGGTCCTCCGAGGACCGTGGCAAGGCCGTCAGCAATCAATCCCGTAGAGTCGTGCTGTGCCTGCCCTGCGCCTCGTACTTTTGGCCAGTGTTCGTTATAAGCACGACCCCCGCAGCACCATGAGGCTCAACATCTCCTTGTAAGCAAAAGGAAAAGGAGCAGTCCTCAACGCGCGACCCGGACAGTTGCGGATTTCGGGCCGTGATATTTGGGGAGTCTTTGAAGCAGGATGGAACAGGAACGTCATATATGTACCTATCACCCTTCTATCTGGGGAAGGGCTGTAGTGCAGATAAAGTCGAGAATCCAAAATTCGGCACGGAGCACTGGGGGTTTCAGGAGCCTCGTAGTGGCTAGTCCTCCACGCGCGTTTTGCTTGGTTCTACAAGTAGATCATGATAGGCTTGTTGTGGGCAGCGTGGAACAGTAAATGGGCCAAGAATATCGGTGGTGATCTAGACTATTAGCGCGGACTGTGTCGTTGAGAAGTTGCTCACCAGGTAGAATACTGCTCCCCATGAAGCTGTACGGAATGCTCGATTCGCGTTTGACCACTCTTCTTCGGTAATGACCCTACCAGCAGCTGGCTCGAATCCATGGTCATCTTCTACAGGATCTGCGGTTTTCTTTCGGGAAGAGAAGACGGTTCGCCATTGCCATTGCGGAGCTTGTAGCTGTCGTTGTTCTTCGCGTGTGCGCTGCGCGTAATAGTAGTATTCCTCGAAAGTCACGCTGGAGTCATGGACTTTGCGTTCACTCGACGGAAAATACGACCGAGCAGCCGGGGGTGACGGCGTTGATTTCTCGTTGTCGATAACGGTCTTCTCAGCCATCTTTGCTTGGCCGCAAGACTTGGCTCTTGAGCTTCTCTGAGCTTCTCTGAGCTTGGCTTCTTTAAGATTATAACGGTGGAAATAGCGAAGAAGGGAAAGATAAGGCAACGTGTATGCCGCAATCCTTTGGTAAGCACCAGGCCGACAGCATCAAGCGATGTAACCGTCTCATTTGGCTGGACATGCGGGGTCTGGTCAAATCGGGCTCTTATCACGATGGAATCTTGGGAGAGGAGCATAGCGAGGGCGATCGTTGCTGGCTGTGGAGACGAAGGTCCGCGAGTGACCGCAAATCCGGTCGCGGAACTCACCTAATTTGCGGATGCCGAAACGTGGACTCCTGCCCTCCCCCTTCTCGGTGTCGATCTGCCTGCGATGTGGATTCGGAGGTTACCGACTGCGATAGTAGGATGGCAACGTTGGGGGCAAAAATCCCCAGTTCGAACGCGCGAGTCGAATACGAGAGAATCCCTGACGGACAAAACGTGCCAGCTGGATCCGCATGTAGCTCTGCTTGCAGGCGATTGACTGCGCCGAAGAATAAGGAAATCGAAAGGAAAAGGGCGCGAAAGTCGTGCGCGCAGTGCCACGTGACGCGCCAAGACAATGCACAGACCGTGACCGGCAGTTGTGCAACGCGTTCTTCGGGTGCGAATCCGCCGAGAATCCGAGTCAAGAACTTTGATCATTTCTGTCGACTTCACATCTGAGAGCTGACCTGTCGAATCAAAGCTTTGTAATATCCGGTATGAGTCTCATTCAGAAATGATGATAGCTTGTTTCGGAGGGCGCATCCCCGATATGGCACGCAAAATTGAAGAACCAAACCACTTGATCAAAGGTGCCATCGGACTTGCCGTCAACGCAGTCATTATATTATTCTACACTGATCCCGGCCTCTTCCTCAGCCTCGGTCTGTCACTGTCCGATCATAGAGGTAGATAAGGATGTTGGCCGAATTTACTCTCATAGACTTCACCAGTCATTATCTCCACTGCCTTACTCCGTGCATGCTACGTCTTCTCAGCGGTGAATATCGAATCGGCGGCCACGCAACAGACAAGGGATCATCACCCAAAATCCACACTCAGACAATGCTCGCTTGCGGGCTGCAAATGTCCCAGTTTCATCCACCGCAAATCCAATGTCTCCGAGAGTACACCTATATTACACCTAGAAATCGAACATAACGTAGATTCGCCCTTCAGGTTTGTCTCTGACATTACATCCGGTCCCGGATCTTGGTCCTCACGTTTCCATCCTCCCTTGGAATGCGTCGCGAGATGTACCTTGGCGTGTATCGTCTGATGTTTGAGGGAAACCTTCGCGATGAAAGTTGTGTTGATGATCTTCATATTGACGCTCGTCTAGGAATGGGGGTCTACCGGCACATTCGCCATAAGTACAAACCAAGCTTTCGTCCCGAACAGTTTTGTCACGGTGCTGTGTAGCCACGTGAAAGAGAACATCTAAGGGGTTGTCGAACGTTTGGGGACAGTAAGAACAAGTTTTGTTTCTTGTAAGGCTGATCTTTGTGAGCCGTGAGGCAAGCTATTGGATGGGGGAAGACGTACGAGTCCGTAGGTAATTGGTATCGGCCCGGCGGCAGCAATGCATCTGGACCCAGGGCGCTGCGGCTTGTTTCCGGTAGTGAGCTAAGGAAATGTCAAACATTGCTTTCTCGAGACCAGGGGATACACACATCAATACTCTGCACTGTTCGTCAAACTTGCCCAACCAAGGTAAAAGGCAGTCGCAGACTGATTTCGTCGCTTCAAACCCTTCTGAAAGCTTCGGGTTGGAATCGAATAAGAACCTTGTGACTGCGAAAGCAGATGGGCGGGTACTTGGATTCAATTTGAGCATATTCTCGCAGTATGGGCTGAAGCGACGGAGAGTGGGGAGTGTGAGCTGGCTCTGGATTTGAGCAAGCCAGTCCAGAGTTTTTGGGATCCAGTGGCGGTAAGTTGGGAAAGGTTGTTGTCGGATCGAATCCTGGAGGGTCTTGAGCGGCATCCTAGAGGCGGATGTTAGTAGCTCAATGAAAACGCATCCTAAGGAGAATATATCAGCTTTCGTGCCCAACAGCTGCTGTGTCTGGGCTTCCGGCGCCTGGTATACCTCCCAGATCGCATTTGCCCTCGAAGAGTCCTCAACCAATCTTTCCGTTGCTTTAAAGTGATTTGAGATGGCAAACTCGGCAAAAAATATTTCTCCCCCTCTTATTAGAATGCTTAATGGCGAAATTCGTCGATGAATTAGGTTTTTGGCATGTAGATAGCTTAATCCGCTTCCCAAGCAGCCCAGCCACTTTGCCACGCGTTTTGCAGCGGCTTCCCCAATGTCGCTGGCCCCATCTTCCCTTTCTAAGAAGGCTCGAAGCGTGCAATCCGCCACTGGATTCAAAATTATGCCGTACTGTGAGCTGTGGGCGTCACGCTCCTCCTCGTAAGTCATGATTGTTGTGAGAATGTTCGGGTGTAGAAGTGTTCGTGCCATATCGAGCAGGGCGAGTTCGTGGGACGTGGACTGGCGGCGCCTTATGGTGAACGCTTTCCGTGCGTAGATTTTGCCGGGAAGAAATATGCCACCACTTGGCTCGACTTTGTCAACGGTACCAGAACTGCCGCGACCTAATTCCCCAATGTGCGTGAACCGGGCGTCACCATGCGAAAATTCTCGGTGCATGGGCACAACAGCTGGGCCCTGGTCCTGAGTGTATTTTCCGAACGTTTCTTCGGTGTGTTGAGGGAAGATTATCTTGATCCCGGGAGCATTTTGGTTGCTTCTAAGTGAGCCTTCAATTATTCTGCTGCTCGATGTTGTCGGAAACTTGTTCTGGCCTGATGGGCTTGGGCCAGGGTGAATGTATTGGTCATCGGAAAGCCTGCGGGGGCGCTTATTGGGAAGATTCTGGTTGTTGTTTTGCTCAGCGCAGTCTGGTCTGGAAGACACGCTTGACAAGCCCTCGGCTTGACTGGAAGACGGAATCATGACAAAGTATAGAAGGTCTATTCGCCGTCAGTGTAATCCGTGCGAGTAGACTTTCTTAGCTTACCGTAGTCAAGGAAGCAGAAACAGCGGGGCGAACGACCTCGGGGTGAAATCCGATTTGAAAAAGAGCAAAAAGGAAGAAGTTAAATGGTCCTGCGCTTGCTGCAGCCCACCTCCACCTAATTGGCCCTTGCCAGATGTAAAGAGTACAGAGAGAACAGAGCGAACTGGATGAACTGATCATTGACTGAACCAAAGAAGGAAGGAAATCTACCTGAGAAGGAAAAAGGGGTCGTGTGCGCCTCAGTGATCGCACCAAGATAATTCACGTGACCAAGTCATGTGACTGTACAACCGTTAAGCTGTGACTGAGTGCACTGCGGAGCTTTGGAGTACGGAGGTGTAAAAAAGAGCAACAGAAATAACCCAATTATGGCGTTATTTCTGCCGCAGTAGGACTTATTTGTCACACAGCCTATTGGCGGCGCAACACCAGACTCATACACTATGTACTTGCGAGAGGACTGAGAGGTACCTCAGGATACAGGGATATCTGAATCTACCTTGCCATCAAAAATAACAGCGCAAGCGCTAACATGCCTGAGCAATGAAGCACTTAAGACTCGATGTCCTCGTGGCGATGCGGAACTGCAAGGGGGAAGTACTTGTAGGATAATGGTGAAGCTTAACCCAGACTAACCCAATTTAGAGAAAGGGAACTTCTGTGACCATTACGTCACCTTGAATCAGGTGCCAAGTTATGGGTACTGTAGGCTAGGCAGAGGCGATAATTTGGCAACTATAGACGGGTGCCGGGAACAGGGCCCCCTGGCCCAGATTGTGGCCGCGATTAATCCGTTGCTCAGGCCAACTACCACCATACTCAGTCACGTGCAGGAGCATCTTAGGTTGAAGCAGCGAGGCTCAGGGCCACGGTCAGGTCCAGAGATGGAAATGGAAAGTCCTCGTGTCGAGATTCCCACCTCGAAACTCCTGATCCACTGCCCCGGCGTGGTCGAATCGCTTCAACATCTCCGCGCGGCGAGCCTGAAGGCAATCTCCGTTGTCAGACAGAACGCGGCCGTGTGTAACGGCATTACCACAAAAACCAGTCTAGCCAGAAACAGCAAAGGCCCATAGATAAGCGGAAGGTACAACATCTCCTCGCACCACCAGCACCACTCTCTGATTCCTGTCCCGCGGATCTTCATCGATTTTTTGCAAGTTCGATCGAGACGGAATCTTTTGCTTGTCCCTCTCACATAGATTGGGGGGATGGCAGGCGATCAAATAATGGATTTAGAAAACCCTTCACTGACGCAGGTCGATCGGGGTGGGCCTCACAAGCTGCTCGATGCCCTATGACGCTCTCGTGATACCCCAAAGCGACGGCCATTGTGCCCTGGGCCATCTTGGGCCAGCCGCTTCCTGTCTCTTTCTCATTCTTCTCAGTTGTTTTGCTAGAGGTTCATTCTCACGGCTTTTATCGACCACGGAAGATCTGCCGCATGTGGGAACTCCGCCGTCGTCGTATTTTCGCACGCCGCTAGAATGGAAGATTCAAAGACAGACAGTCAGGGTATCCCTGAAAAGGTTGAAGCGTTAGAAACCCAGCCGGCCAAAGATGCCCTCCCCCCGTCACCGCCACCCACAGACGGTAGCATATCGGATCTGGACGACGAGAAGATCGAAATACCACTTCCACCGCCGACCGCGGCCCCTACCCAGGTGCTAGACCTCGATCTCAAGACCCCCGACAGCCATGTACCGCGTGACCCCCGACTGATCAGACTCACTGGAGTTCATCCGTTCAACGTCGAAGCACCACTCACAGAACTCTTCAACGAAGGGTTCCTGACGAGTCCAGAGCTGTTTTATGTCAGAAACCATGGTGCGGTGCCTCAGGTTAAGGACGAAGACATCATCGACTGGCAATTCACCGTCGAAGGATTGGTGGACGAACCGATGACCATATCGCTGAAGCAGCTGATGACCGAATACCAGCAAGTGACATACCCCATCACATTGGTGTGCGCGGGCAACCGGAGGAAAGAGCAGAACATGGTCCGAAAAAGCAAAGGGTTCTCGTGGGGCGCTGCTGGGCTCTCGACGGCGCTCTTCACCGGCGTCGTCATGTCCGAGGTCATCAGAAGGGCCAAGCCTAAGCGGAAGGCCAAGTATGTCTGTATGGAAGGCGCCGACAAGCTCCCCAATGGCTTCTACGGCACATCCGTCAAGTTGAACTGGGCCATGGACCCCAATCGCGGCTTCATGCTCGCCTACAAAATGAACGGCGAGACGCTCCGGCCGGACCACGGCAAGCCCCTGCGCGCGGTGATCCCCGGCCAGATTGGGGGTCGGTCCGTCAAATGGCTGAAGAAGCTGATCGTCACCGATGCACCCAGCGACAACTGGTATCACATCTACGACAACCGGGTCCTGCCGACCATGGTCTCTCCGGAGGAGTCGGCAAGCAACCCCAAATGGTGGACGGATGATAGATATGCCATATACGACCTTAGCCCCAACTCTGCCATCTGCTACCCACGGCACGAGGAGCAGCTCTGTCTGAATGGGGCGCCTCGCACCTACCGAGCCAGAGGATACGCCTACAGTGGAGGTGGGCGGCGCATCACCCGGGTCGAGATCTCGCTGGACAAGGGCAAAACGTGGCGGCTCGCGGAGATCGACTACGCTGAGGATCGATACCGACAGGTGGAGAAAGATCTTTTTGGTGGCCGGCTTGACATGTCGTGGCGCGAAACATGCTTCTGCTGGTGCTTCTGGTCGATCAATCTGCCCACGGAAGATCTCGCCAGAGCCAAAGACATCTTCGTGCGGGCAATGGACGAGAGCATGAATGTTCAGCCGCGCGACATGTACTGGTCTGTGCTTGGTATGATGAACAATCCCTGGTTCCGCGTGACAATCACCTTGGAAGGCGACTACCTTCGCTTCGAACACCCAACCCGGCCTGCACTTATGCCTGGTGGCTGGATGGAGAGGGTCAAGAAGGCTGGTGGGAACCTGGCCAACGGCTTTTGGGGAGAGAGACTCGAGGGCGAAGACCCAGTGGCCCCGGCCGAAGAACAGGCCAAGGAAATCTCCATGGTCAAGGAAGGCCTCAAGAACCCTATCACCATCGACGAGCTGCGGAAACACGACACCGAACAGCAGCCGTGGTTCGTGGTCAAGGGCGAAGTATACGACGGCACGGCATTCCTGAAGGAGCACCCCGGCGGCGCGCAGAGCATTATTTCGGCGGCGGGCCTTGACAGCACCGAGGAATTCCTGGCAATCCACAGTGAGACCGCCAAGGCGATGATGCCCAAGTATCACGTCGGCTCTCTCGACGAGGCTGCCAAAACTGCCTTGGCGGCGGGCGAGACGGAGGTCGACCAGTCGGGCAAACCTCCCGAGACCTTCCTCAATCCCAAAGCATGGAAGAAGGCCATCCTCCACGGTAAGCGGATCGTGTCGTGGGACACGCGCATCTTTACCTACAAGTTGGAACACCCGGAGCAACGCCTCGGCTTACCCGTTGGACAACATCTGATGGTGAGGCTCCGGGATCCCGCCACCCGCGAGGCCATCATCCGTAGTTATACTCCCATCTCGGAGATCAACGACCAGGGCTTCATGGAGATGCTCGTCAAAGTGTACTTCGCCGATGCGGGCAACAAGGGAGGCAAGATGTCCCAGGCGATGGACGCCCTGCCCATTGGGCACTTCATCGAGATGAAGGGGCCGATCGGCAAGTTCGAGTACGTTGGACACGGCAAGTGTCTCGTGTCCGGGCAGGAGAGAATCGTCAAGTCGTTCATCATGATTTGTGGAGGAAGTGGAATCACGCCCATCTACCAGGTCTTTCGTGCCGTGGTCCGGGACCCCAGTGACAAGACGCAATGCATCATCTTTGATGGGAATCGGTTGTTCGAGGACATCCTGTGCAAAGAAGAGCTCGACGCCCTCCTGGCGGGGAATGAGCACAGATGTAGAGTCCTGCACACCCTGACCAAAGCGCCCGAAGACTGGACTGGCCTCAGAGGCCGCATCACCGGCCAATTGGTCCAAGACCACTCCACGAGGACGGACGATACGCTGATCCTCATCTGCGGTCCAGAGGCGATGGAAAAGACCATGCATAAAGCGCTGCTGGAGCAGGGATGGGGCGATGACCAGCTGATGTTCTTCTGAAAATTGCATTGCCAGCGACGGGGCATCATGGCGCAAGCTGGGGTTAGGGATGATAGGGCCAGCTGTATATATTTGAAATTGCTGCTGACCAGTGACAAGATTTGACGTATAAGCACGATATATGAGTTAACGCAAAAAAAAAAGACCCTGATGTCATACGGCTCGGTGAAGCTGGAGACAAAGCGAAGACCTTTCAGGCGTGACCTTACATGAGGTCTTCAGCTGAACATCCTCGCGCCATTCTCTGGCAACAGACTGGAGAGGTCGCACCCATAGATAAATATTGATAGATAGAGTTATACCCAGGCGAAAGTACAGACTCCATGTCGGACCCATGAAAACCTGCGAGCCTTCGTGGGAACAGGCATCTGAGTGAGATTCGCTTCGCTCGCCAATTGACAACAATAATTGGGATACAAGCGCTAGAATCGGCACACAACCACTTAGACGTGTCTGGGACCCGGCACTGCCGGCGCTCACCCAACGACAAGCGGCGCGCAACAGTTCCACAACATCGGGTTTATCATCTTTGTGGTCAGACGCTTCGATTCAGATGCAGCCTCTGTAATTTGATGCGCATGTCATACTCCTCCTCTTCAATCCCTCCAGGGACGGGCTTTGCTATCAATCGTTGTTGAGGAAGGCGGATCGAAAGAGGGAACATCAGTCCAAAGCACAGGTGTAGGGCTCATCTTGCTTGAGCGCAACTCGATGTAACGGCCGCGGCAGATGTATTGAGTAGGTGGGAGAGGAAGACGTGCGGACAGTAAGGAAAAGCTGCCACAAGGGCAAAGGTGTCCTTCATGAGTGATAGTTCGGAGAGGAGGCCAGAGTTCAGACTCGAGAAGCGCGCGGTCAAGGAGACGGTACAAGGACACGTCTCTTAATCCGTGTGCAGATCCTTTGGCACATTTGTCGATTCTGCCATTGCCGCCCGACGTAGAACTGAAGGAACCAGTCCTACAGACCTAGAGCTTGAAAATCATTCTAGATCGGTGTGCGCATTACCGCAGGGAAGTTGGAGAGTGAGCGCGCCGGCCACGGAGAAGCAGGTGCGCAATAATCGTATCACGTGACACTATCAATCCCGTGACGCTCGTCAAATACGCTATTATTGCAGTTTGTGACAGAACGTGACGGCGCTAGTAGATCCTCGAGATGCGCTAGCGAACATGTTATCGCAACGTCTCACGGCCACTCAAGACTCGTCCTTCTCCCACTCGAGCCTGGGCTCTTATCTCTCCGCTCCACAACCGTCGAATCTCCAGAGACCGTGGAGAAAGTGATCTTCAATATCTTGCACGATCGCGGCCCCTCTGTCTGGACTTTCCCAGACGACTGCAATGACGATAGAAAATGACAATGCGATATCCGCCATTGGCTCTGCAGAATATCCCCGATGGGTTGGGGCAGTCATAGCCTGCACCCGCAGCGCTGAACCTCGCTGATAGGCGAAATCCTTCCCCTCGTTGGTTGACTGTGTTTTATGCTACATCCCCGCGGAAATCATGGCTTGCGTGAGTGGCGTCACCGGTTTGCACAGCGTCTGCAGAGTTCCAGGCGGCCAGTGACAAGTTTCCCTTCTTTTTTTTTCTGATCCCCTTCCAGCTTTCGGTGTGATATTCTTACTCGAGGCAGATCGATCCTGCCCTTCTAATGTATCGACATTAGTGCGCCCAACAGAGTGATCCAACAAATATCGGCAGGCGAGGCTGAAGAGGGCCGACAGCATGTCATGGTCAACATCGTCGCCGGGTATGGCCATCAGCCGTATTCCGGAGGGCGTGGAAGCCAATGGTGACATAAAGCCGGCATCAGGTCAAAGGAAGAAGGTGGTGGTTGTTGGCTTGGGAATGGTCGGTATAGCTTTTGTGTAAGTCTCCTTCACCATCTTCGTTCACAATGTGACCGAACTGGAACCAAACGAGAGCACTCAGCTGATAGGAGCTCGACAGGGAGAAGCTGCTGAAACTTGATGCTAAGAGGAGAGAATACGACGTTGTGGTTATCGGCGAAGAGCCTCATCTCGCATACAACCGCGTCGGATTGACAAGCTTCTTTCAGCACAGGCAAGTCGAGTCGCTTTACCTCAACCCGGAATCCTGGTATAAAGGCCATGCACCAGACTCTTTCAGCTACCACTTGAATACTCTGGTCACCGAAATCAAGCCGGCGGAGAAAGTTGTCGTAACGGCTCAGGGCGACACCATACATTACGACATTTTAGTGCTGGCCACAGGGTCCGACGCCGTCCTCCCCCGACATACTCCCGGCCATGATGCCAAGGGAGTATTCGTGTACAGAACTATTGAGGATCTCCAGAAACTCATCGCATTCTCTGCAACCGTCAAGGGCACGACAGGATGCGTTGTGGGTGGCGGGCTTCTCGGCCTTGAAGCGGCAAAAGCCATGATGGATCTGGAGGAATTCAAGCAGGTCAAACTCATTGAAAGAAACAGATGGGTGCTGTCGCGGCAGCTAGACGGAGACGCTGGTGGTATGGTCGTCGAGCTTGTCCGCAGCCTCGGACTCGACGTCATGCTTAGCAAGAGGGTTGGAAAAATCTTGACCAATGAAGACAACGCTGTGAGGGGTCTCGTCTTCGAGGATGGTGAGGAGATGGAGTGCTCTTGCATCATGTTTGCAATTGGCATCAAAGCAAGGGATGAGTTAGCCAGGGCAGCGGGACTGAAATGCGCCGATCGAGGGGGAGGTGTCGTAATCGATAACGACCTCAGGACAAGCGACCCTAGCATCTACGCCATCGGCGAATGTGCAAGTTGGGAGAACCAGACGTTTGGTCTTATTGCACCAGGCGTTGAGCAAGCCGATGTTCTGTCATTCAATCTAACCCAAGCCAAGGTCCACAGCCCTCGGACATTCAAACGACCAGATTTGAGCACGAAATTGAAGCTGCTGGGCGTAGAAGTTGCCAGTTTCGGAGATTTCTTCGCGGACAGAGATGGACCAAAGGACCTTCCCAAAAGGCACGTCAAGCGGGAAGAGAGGAAAGGTACCGAAGGTCAAGACAAAGTCAAGAATCTCACTGAGGGCCCACCGCCCCCAGCCGTCAAAGCTCTCACCTACAGAGATCCCTTTGCAGCCGTGTACAAGAAATATCTGTTCACCTTGGACGGCAAGTATCTGCTGGGAGGGATGATGATCGGCGACACAAGAGATTATGTCAAATTGGTGCCTATGGTCAAGAACAAGAAGCAACTGGAAGTGCCTCCATCTCAATTCATCATCGGCGCATCAAAGGACGGTGAAGAGAACGCCGACGACCTGGCCGACGACACACAAATCTGCTCTTGCCACAACGTGACCAAAGGCGACGTCGCCAGTGTGGTCAAGGACGGTTCCTGCAAATCGATTGGCGACGTTAAGTCGTGCACCAAGGCCGGCACGGGTTGTGGTGGTTGTATGCCTCTGGTTCAGTCTATATTCAACAAGACGATGAAGGAGATGGGTCAAGAAGTGTTGAACCATCTTTGTCCTCACTTCAAATACTCGCGAGCTGACCTCTACAACATTGTTTACGTCAAGAAATTGAAAGACTTCGGCGCGGTCATGAGAGACAGCGGCACCGATCCCAACAGTCTCGGATGTGAAGTCTGCAAGCCCGCCGTTGCGTCGATTCTCTCCGGCATGTTCAATAAGCACGTTATGGAAAGGCCACTCCATGGACTCCAGGACACGAACGACAGGTACCTCGGAAACATTCAGCGCAACGGTACATTCTCTGTCATTCCCCGCGTGGCTGGTGGCGAGATCAGTCCCGATAAGCTCATCGTCATTGGCCAAGTTGCGAAGAAGTACGGCCTCTATACTAAGATCACTGGTGGCCAACGCATTGACATGTTCGGTGCAAAGAAGCAGGATCTGCTTGACATCTGGTCGGAGCTGGTGGCCGGAGGACTCGAATCAGGCCATGCCTATGCCAAATCTCTACGCACTGTCAAGTCCTGTGTGGGTACGACGTGGTGCCGCTTCGGCATCGGAGACTCTGTTGGCCTCGCCATCCGGCTCGAAGAAAGGTACAAGTCTATTCGAGCTCCACACAAGATAAAAGGAGGTGTCTCCGGATGCGTCCGCGAATGTGCCGAAGCCCAGAACAAAGATTTCGGCTGCATTGCCACGGAGAAAGGGTTCAACATCTTCGTCGGCGGTAATGGCGGAGCGACGCCGAGACACTCGGAAATCCTGGCCAAAGATGTGCCTCCCGACGATGTCATCCCCATCCTTGACCGATACTTGATGTTCTACATCCGAACAGCCGATAAGCTGCAGAGAACGGCTAGATGGGTAGAAAACCTGCCCGGTGGCATCCAGTATCTGCGCGAGGTCGTTTTAGAGGACAAGCTCGGTATCTGCGCGGAGCTTGAGAAGCAAATGCAAGAGCTTGTCGGCACCTTCTTCTGCGAGTGGACCGAGGTGCTGAACGACCCCGAGAAGCGCAAGGCGTTCCAGCAATTCGCAAACACGGCAGATAACAGAGAGCCTGCGGTGGAAAAGGTCGAGGAGCGAGGCCAATTCAGACCCGCGTACTGGGCGAAGGATTCAGTGCACGAAGACTTCAAGGGGACTCGGTGGACCAGCCTGACATGGCAACCCATCGTCGAAGCGAGCAAGTTCCAAGACCTGGACACGGGCTCGTCACAGACCGTCATACGCGGCGACACGCAACTCGCGGTCTTCAAACTGAAGGGCAAGTACTACGCCAGTCAGCAAATGTGCCCTCACCGCCGCACGTTTGGCCTCTCCGACGGCCTCGTGGGCGAAGTCACCTCGCCCGACTGCAAGGACAGCAAATTCTACGTCAGCTGCCCCTACCACAAGCGGAACTTCCAGCTGAACGGTGAAATCGAGTTTGACAAGAAGGATGCCGGCGCCGGCTCGTGCTCCAACGACGCCAGCATGTCCATTGCCACGTTCCCAGCTGAGGAGCGGGAGGACGGTTGGGTGTACCTCAAGCTGCCACCCGTGCAAGAGATGGACAATGTGCTGGGAACGAGCAAGTGGACCGTGAAGCAGGACGAGGCACCCAATCCGTTTGCCAGTCTTGACAAGAAGCTCGGGTACAACAAAGGTCTGCGGCCGCAAAAGACCGTGGGCGCCATGCCTGGAACGGGAAACGTTCGAGCCGGGCGAGAAATCCGGGTGGCGGCGCAGCGGAGGATTGACTGGTAACTGAGTTGCTCGTTAGTAATAGAGCAATAGACGGTGCGAATAGATCCATGTTTCGGTACCACTGCTGTCTTGCTGTTTCTCCCTCACTGATTCAGCGCTAGAAGTGCACGATCGATGCGACCATGAGGAAACCGTGAATCGTCAATGCTGGGTATGTAGCGAGTTACCTAAGTGAACAAAAACCGCGCAAGGCTGAGTCCAACCAGCCAATCACGTCGAAGGCTCTTCGGTACTTGTCGGCTACTAGCGCGTTTCGCATTGTCCAAGTCGATGCTGACACCTGCTGCATTTTGTTGCCTTCCTCGTCATTCCTCATTCTCTCTCTCTTCTGTTGGATCACTGAGAAGCAATACGCCAGTGCCTCTGCTGCAAACTGTGTCTCCGAGCAACAAGTCAGCGGCGAGCGAGCGAGGGAGGCGGCTTCGTTATGAGCGGGGCACTGGGCTCACGCCGACATGACCACCTGATATTCTGCTTGCTGCTCCGGCTCGTCTCGGCCTACGCCTATACGATCCCGCAATATGTAATCGACCACGGTAAGTAGAAAGGCCAAGGCCCGCGACTCGGGCAATTTAGCTTGCTGGCTACAAGCTCTGTTGGGGCCTGCGAGATTGAAGTGAAGCCAGCTGGAGCAATGTGCTGACTCTCTCCCGCTCCGCCACAGCCCCGATCGTCTGGCTTCATTCCGACGACCCGTACATGCCAAGTGACATCCTGACGCATGTGTTGCACACAAGTCCGAGGATCGGCTCGGAGCCCATCACCGAGGCGATGCCGCTGGCCAATCTCGAGACTCTGTCGCTGTTGAACAGACACGGCGGCAAGGACGGGACCGACGTCTTCTTGACGGCCGTCGACGACGTGGCCGCCTTCCCGGCCTGGGTTTTCGGCGAGGTGCCCGACGCGACGGGATCTCTCCACAACTCCACGGCGTGTGCGGTCGTCGTGGTGGAGAAGAAGAAGGGTGCGGATGTCGACCAGCAGGAGCCCGTGAGGTTGGACGCCTTCTATTTCTACTTCTACTCGTGGAACGAAGGGGCGGACATTCTGCAGGTCGTGCCGCCGCTGAACAAGCTGTTCCCGGACAGCAAGCCCGGCGATCACTATGGGAATCACTTGGGGGACTGGGAGCACAACATGGTCCGGTTCGAGGACGGGAAGCCGACGGGCGTCTACTTCAGCCATCACACCAGCGGCGAGGCTTGCGCTTGGGAAGACGGGGCGTGCCTGTCCAAGCAAGGAGAGAGACCGGTCGTCTTCAGCGCCCGCGGGTCGCACGCTAACTACCCCTCGGCGGGAAGCCATGTCCACGACGAAGCGCTCATCGACATCGCAGACAAGGGCCGGATGTGGGATCCCGTCAAGCTGGCCTACTTCTACCACTACGACCCTCAAACAGAGACCTTCGCCGCGGCAGACCCGGGCGCAACAGACCCAACCGACTGGCTGGACTTCAACGGGCACTGGGGCGACAAACAGTATCCCGACTCGGACCCTCGCCAGGAGACCGTCCCGTACTTCGGGCTCAAGAAGTACAACAACGGGCCAAACGGGCCCAAGTTCAAGCACCTGGTGAGAAAAGGGCTGATGCCTGACGGGAAGGAGAAGCCGATCCTCATGAAGACGCTGGTGCATTGGTACATGGCCATGTACGGGTGCTGCTTGAAGGGCATCAACCCTTGGGTGGTCGTCATCTCGCTTTTGCTTGTTTTGGCCGTGGCGGTTGTTCTGTGCGTTTTCACGTTCCGGCGAGTTCGCCCACGACTGAAGGCGTGGATCCTCAAGAGAAAGGCAGACGAATCCAAGGACACCTCCGAAGTTCAGCTTCGACTGCTCGATCCGGACGGGGGAGAAGCCGACGACGAACCAGAGGTATAGAACCCGTTCACCGCTGCTGGACGCCGCCTCGCAGGCCATTTGCTCTGTTAATCAGGTTTTACCTCGCAAGATCCTTCGAGTCTAGTGTCTTCCCGGCTTGAACAATGTCGTGTTACACAACGGGTTGACCACCCTTGCAGCCGGCTAGCATTTCGCTAGTGGGCAATCAGAGTCCAGTTCCGGTGTCCCAGCAGATTATTCGCGGCTTGTCCAATTCTGCGTTATTCTCCTGTCGGATGATGGAGCCCGACAAGATGTCCGGATCAGCCTCTGACGCCGTAAGGACACCCGCCACCTCCGACTCCGGCTGGTTCCAAGTGCGAGGTCCCATTCCTCGGAGCAACAGCTGGGTTATCGCCAGTGCCTGGCTGATGCCCATCTCGTGTCCGATTTTGTCGAGAGACAAGATAATCCAGCGCTTGAGATCCGGGGTGGAGAAGCGGCAGCAAGCAACCAGAAACAGAGGCCACAAAAGGCTGTAGCCAGCAGCTAGAACCTTGTTCTCGCGACTGATTCCATCAGCTGCCGTCCATTCGTTGGCGACGGCGAAGTGGTACGGTACGCTAGCGCAGATGTCGGCCGTCAAATCTCTGAGGATGATTTCACTGTGCCGTGCAACCTTGACATGGTTGCGGGAGTTGTCGGCGAGGTTGCGGGCATGCTGCTCCTTTTGCAAATAGTCGAGATGTTGCATGATGATTTCGTGGATGACAAATCGCGCACCTCGCCAGTTGCCCCACAGGTTACTAGCGAAGAGATCCTGGTAGACATAGTAGTGGGATGTGTATGGTCCATATGTCGTGGTCGTCCCCCATCTGCCTGTGGTGAAGAATTTAGTATACATCAACGACGAGGGCATACCCACGGCCCAAGAGGCGAGCTCCGCATCCAGTGCTAAGGCCGCTCTAATGATCGCTCTGGGGTCGGTCATAGTTCCTTGCTTCATATCCGCGCACAGTTTGGTCAACTGTATGTTGATATTGGCCAAATGGTCGCCGAATCGGGAGAGGCCATCCTCGAGAGCACATGCTTGCTGTGATAGTTGTCTCAGGACAGGAGATGTAGGGCTCTCTCCAAAGATATTATGTATCAACTGAGCAGTTAGTGGCGATGTATACAATAAAAAGGTCACGGCGGTCTGGGACTCACTATCTGGGCGCGCATCTGTCTGAATAGGTGCAAGCCCCGACGGCTTCTCAATTGTTCTGCTCCCCGCCACTCAAGTAGCTTGACTGCGCCGTCGATGTGTTTTCTCCACTGGAGTATTGAATTTAGTCCAGTACATGTGACCACCTGCATCGAAGTCAGCCATCAGGAATTAACCGGATTGCATGCAAACAGAGTGGGATCTACCTCAAACATTCCCAGAAACATGACAGCCATCAAAGTGAGGTCTGATTTAGACAATAATGGGTCTTGGAGTGCTATGTTTGTCGATCGCAAAGCCGCCGTATACTCCTCCCGAGCCGCCATCATCAGAGGTGGACTCAATTTGGTGTTGGCTAGAATAGCAAGTCCAAGGGCGGTAACTGAAGATGATGCAGCAGCATTGGCCGCGATGTCCAAGTCTAATGTTGACGGCCATAGCCACGTGTCCAGATAACTCTGCTGTGCAAAGCAAATTGCGTGCTCGCGCATCGGGATCGAAGGTTGTTGGACCAGGGGGACCAATAGTCCAGCCGTAGGCGCTGATCTGGAACGGCATGCGCTGGACTTCGGATCGCGGTCCAGCTCTTTGGCTCGTTTAAGCTGGGCCTTGCGGGCCACTTCAGTGCTCTCATTGCGAATCACAAGAGATTTGAGATCCCTGTAACCGACACATACGACACCCACACGAATACACTGAGAGCACGAGGGCGTCGCTTGGTCACACTAGATCTTCCCATTAGACATTCAGATCTCCCACGACACGACAACATGGCTAGCAGCGCAGACTGACAACAACTGCCACAGGAGGATCAAGTTTACCTTCAGTCTCCTTGCCCGGCAACGTTCACAATTGGGACTCGGTCTTCCACGATATACCATGCCGACAGAGTATACGAGGTACTGCCTTTCTCTGAACTTCTAGGTCGACATAAGTCAGGCTCGAGTAGGTATGCAGTGAGTAGATATGCAGAAGTAGCGGTCCGGGAGCGAAGGCAGGTTTCTTTGCAGCCTTGCAGATGGTGGTGACGGTTGACCTGAGTCAGCCACTACTCCCAAAAAGGTATGCTGCTCGTACATATCAATGGGGCGCGGCTGTGCTATGAGCGCACCGTTTCAATCACATTGGACCACGGTATATCCGTTTCTGGACATCTCTCTCTTTTGTCGTGCCCAAAGCAGAAGAGTATGGGAGCCAGGAGTGTCATCTTCTGACTGTAGGATCAGCAACTATTATCCAGAGTATGGCGGCACATTTAATAGTAAGGAATCTGATTAATGACATGGGTTGTTTGGGACAAGATTGTCGGATATCGAGCCGTAACTTCGAGTATGCGGTACCTATCACGACTCTTGAAAGTTCCTGGCCCAAGAACACTTATGGCGCATATACACGGTTCCAGAATCATCCGCCCGCGATGGCAATAATTGTTGCAGGCACGCTGGTCATCTGCGCCGTCATAACACCAGGATTTTTGATGTTGGCGCTCGGAAAGGTGGCACTCCTGACAATTTTGCAACAATAAGGGACAAGACGGACTCGGGGGATTTAAGGGCTGTGGCGAACAGATGGGCAGTTGAGGTCTTGGACCTGCTCAGCTGCAAGCGGAGTCTCTTTTGGCATTGTCAGGAAGTCCATTGTTCATGAGTCCCTGTCGGACGCCCAGTTCAAATCTTGTAGTAGAGTCAATCTTGAGGGCTGAGGCACGTTTGCTAGTCCGACGCAGCTGTTTCGCCCACCCGGTGTTCACACTGTTGACTTCTCTGCGCCAGTGAGGGCCAGGATCGGCAGGGGATCGGCTGGTAGAACTCTACGAGTAGGTCAGGCGAATCGTCCGCAGGCGGTTGCAGGAGGCTCGAGATCAACTTCCTGTGTCTCATCTGTTTAGCATACTGTGTAGGTCTTGGGAATGGGGTACCGAGTCGAGTTGGGAATGTTTCAGATATCGGCTGATCTAACACGTGATGGATCAAGGGGCTCGGGGGCTTCAGAGGGCTGTGCTGGAGCGTGGTATTGGTGGTGGCGAGTGGTGGTTTGACATTGACGGAGGTGTTGCTCCGCGAGGACCTGCGGCTGCTGAGGCTGCGGAGGCTGCTATTTAAGTGCCTGCCAATTGGCTGCGGGGAACGAACAGCCTGGGAATTTGCCTGCGATGGAATTTGGCCAACTTGTTCTCTGCGCTCCCTGGTCGTCTGCTCACTAATGACAACTAATACCAATAGTAAATAATCCTCGAGCCGTCGGTCCTCCAGGCATTTCCTTTCTTCATACCTGTACTCTACATATTTCCCACGGTTCCTCTGGTTTGGTCGTTGTCTGTTTATTGCATAAGATACCGGCACAACACTCGCAAGATGCGTCTGCAACGTGCCTCGCAGTTTTTCCTTGCCTTCTACTTCTTCTTGCACCCGCCCTGCGTGCAAGCCGAGTCTCAATGCGCCATAGATCCCAACTCAATCGTGACTGATGCCTGCACCTCCTACTCAGACCTCGAGCGGCTCAACGCCAACCTTTACCCTTCGTTAGACGACTTGACCCAGCACACCGACTTCTTCGCCTACTACCGATTAAACCTCTACAACAAGGCCTGTCCCTTTTGGACCGATGAGAATTCCATGTGCGGCAACCGGGCGTGCGCCGTGGAGACAATAGAAGATGAAAGTGACATACCACCAATCTGGCGAGCCGCGGAGTTGAGTAAACTGGAGGGTGCGAGGGCGAAACATCCGGGGATTGCCCTGCAGCGAGAAAGGCCAAAAGACCGCCCGCTGCAATATCAGTTGGGCGAGAACGTGGATGAAAGTTGTGTGCTAGAGGAGGACGACGAATGCGACCAACGAGATTACTGCGTCCGCGAAGACGAAGGCGCAGCAGCCAAAGGAGACTACGTCAGTCTTGTCAACAACACCGAACGATACACCGGCTACTCAGGACTCGGTGCTCGACAAGTCTGGGATGCCATCTACAAGGAGAATTGCTTCACTCCCAAGTCTCCGAGACATGCCTCTTTGAAACCGAAACCCCTCCAAGCCGCGCAGAGTCTAAAGAACATCTTCCAAGAGTATGGGCGGCAACATGTGGACGATTCGGACGACCTGTACCCCCTCGACGACGAATGTCTCGAACAACGGGCGTTCTATCGCATCGTCAGCGGCATGCACGCCTCCATCTCCACACATATTTGCTGGGAGTTCTTCAATCAAACCACTGGCGAATGGGTCCACAACCTTGACTGCTACAAGGAACGGCTGCACAAGTACCCCGAACGCATCTCCAACATCTACTTCAACTACGCCATCCTGACACGCGCGGTCGCAAAGTTGAGGAAACACCTGGAATCCTACACTTTCTGTTCTGGCGATCCCGACCAGGATTTCCAAACCAAACAGAAGGTCCTCGCGCTCGCAGACACAGCAGCATCTGGTCCGCACACCTTCGATGAATCCGTCATGTTTCAAGACCCTTCGGTCATGGTGCTCAAGGATGACTTCCGCAACCGGTTCCGTAACGTGTCCAGGTTGATGGATTGCGTTGGATGCGACAAATGCAGGCTTTGGGGAAAGCTTCAAACCGCTGGTTATGGTGCTGCCTTGAAAGTTCTTTTTGAGTATGATGAGAACAAGAACGGGGAAAATCCGCATTTGAGGAGAACAGAGTTGGTGGCATTGGTCAATACCCTTGGGCGTCTCAGTCACAGTCTGGATGCAATCCAAAAGTTCCGCACCGCTCTCAACACTGGAGATATGAGTGTGCTGGACATCCAAGGCCCGCTTCCACCGTCTGCAAAGACTGATAGCAAGGCTGACTCGGTCGATACCGAGAATACCGAAGACATCACAGACTTTGACGACTTGTACGATGATTTGGACAGCAAAGCCTCACATGAGCAGCCGCAGGGGAATTCAATCGCCGAAGCGTTCTGGACCGAGCTCGATCTCGTCTGGCGCGCATACAAGATGGTTCTTCGGTCTTGGTTCGAGCTGCCTTTCAAGTTCGGCGCGATTTTCATCATGGAAATGAATCGGTTGTGGAATTTCTGGTTGGGACTGCCGGTGCCGGACCGGTCATGGGATTTTCACTTCCCAAGCCGGGACGAGCTGTAGGATAGCTCCTCCCATTTCACCCTCATGAGTGGAGTTTTGGTGGCAAGGACATTGAGGACTCACTTTTGCATGAATTGGCGCAGGACTTTGCGGTACGTGGCATCTGGTGTACAGATGGCACTCTGATTGTAGGTATGCATAGCGACGGCGTGGGCTTGGGCATGCGCAGAAGCGGGCAGCACGGTCTATGGGTTTCGATATAGATGTACATAACATTCTGCGAAGTGTGCGCACTTCCAACAACGAGGAAAGACATGCTGTTCCCAGACGAATTTGAGTTTCTCTTGATATAGCTAATTTGTTAGGGACGGTTTGTAGCGGTTGCCCCTCACCACAAGCGCCGGGGTGGCAGTTTTTGGGGGACCGTTTTCTCGGCCTCATTCACGCGTCGCGCCCGCTTGTAACGCGTCTCAACCGACTTTTCCAAGAGCTGCCCTCCATCGCCATCGGACCATGGCAACAAAACCCATGTGCTGAAGAAATGTAATTGTATCTCGTGGGAGAACACAAGAGCTCGACTCTCAGCAATGCTGCCTCCACCCGCGACCGTTGCTGGCACGCCATGCCCAGTTCCGCTCTACGCAGATGTCCCAGCGCAAACACAACAACGTCACAATCAACACCACCGTCAACTCGACCGAGCCTCACTCTCGTCGTCTCCAAGCGATGACACAACGGCCAACATTGAATATACGTCCGCTTTTGCAGCACCTGCCCCCGGCATTCTGAAGAATGCTAAACCGCGACGCAGACGACAGCAGGACGGCATGGTCTTCACGATCCACGAGGACAGGGCTCAAATTGTGGCTTCACGAGGTGGCGATGGACGAGGCAGTAACAACACCAGTGAAGATGGCAATGGTAACAAGGATAACCCGCTGAAAGTAGGCGCCAGGAGGAGGGCTGCGATGTCTCAACCGCCGCAGCGACCAAAAAAACGAGCCGCCGTTGGAGCTGCTTGTACTATACCCATGTCCTCAACGGCTGCTCTCGCTGTTGCTTCAGCGGACGATGCTTCCGGCACTGCACAGCACCAGGTTCCGAAGCGGGGCAGTGCTTCGACGAGACTTAGTCGAGCTCCAAGACGACCAATGGCAAACAAAGCCGAGGGAGCATCATCATCTGCCGAACCGCTGCCATCACTACCTGAAGACACCATTGCTCTCCCCATGATCGATTCAACAATTACGCTCAAGCCAGCGCGACGGGCTACGATCTACATCCCGACCGAGGACACTACGATGCCAAGCATGTACATGGGCATCTTCAGCCCTGTCAGGAATCTTGATCCAGCGGTGAAGACTTCTCCGGGATTAACATCGACATCGGGGACTGTAGAACGATCAAGCAAGCCAGATGTCGAATTAACGGGGATTGTTGCGCAGATGGTCGCGAAGAAGAGAGGCCCAGCGAAGGCAAAAGGCGCAATGTCTCCAAAGCGACGGCCGTTGCAGGTCACGACCAGACCCCTCCAAGAAAGCACAGTGATGGTAGATCGCTGGGGTCAAGGCGGTGGTAAGGAGAACATCCCCCCGGGTGAGAATGAAATGTTGGGCAAGGAAGCGAAAGCTGGGAAAGGGCGAGCTAGGCTCGAGGGACGAGGCAAAGATCCGGAGGCTGCATGTCCTCTGCTTGAGCATAAAGTCAACCCGCAACCACGAGCTTCGTCGTCCTACGAACCCGCAGCGAGCTTTTCGAGGAAAGTCAAGCCCGAAAGTCCCGCTCAGGGCGCCAGCACGAAGCCGAGCTGGAATGCAGGACCACGGTTGAAGACCAGTCGCCCGGGTCGAAAACCCAAGTCGGAGAATATAGAGCCAAAGTCAGGCCACGGTGCATTGGAGCGTGAATCCCTTACCAGGAAGCCGTCAGTCCCCAGTCGATTTGTTATCCCGAAGGTGGATCCTCCGTCACCCAGTGAATCGTTTCCTGTGATCACTGAAGACCTTGTCGACCCTGCGATGTACGAGGACAATTGGTTAAACCACCAAGAGATCGCCATCACGCAACTTGTCAACAACCTCTTTGGAGCATCTGCCCCGTTATCCTTGCCAGTGGAAGATGACATGCTGAGGCTCGAGTTGCTTGAGAGATATGGCGACCCGAAAAATGCCATGCTTTACAAAAGACTTCAGGCAGCCTTGCTATATGGTGCGCTCAGTGTGCCCAGGGACGTTCTTACAAGTGCTGTGAGACTCAGTACCGACCTAGGAAAGCGAAAGGCGTTCACGGATTTGTGGCTCGATACGTATGAACTTCCGTGTCTCCGCTCGGCGCTTGAGGTTGTTGTTGGTCGGCGGTGCTTGAGTTGTGGGACCGCGTCTTCGTCAGTGCGCCCCAGCATCGACAGTGGACACATTGTCAACCGACGTACCTTGCAACAGTTTATCGAGACCTTCCTGCTTCGAAATGAAGATGGACAGCCGGATGAGGCATCCACGGATCGCCCTTCATGGTCATATCAGCGCACTCTTCTTCGGAGTCTGATGCTCATCAAGCTTCTGGATACGGCGAAAGCTGCCCTAAGCCCGGTTGCGAGCACGTGCCTATTCCAACCATGCTCATCGTACAAGACATCTGTGAGTGTTGTCAATGCACTTTTCCAGATGCTCAATCCCAACGCTGGGGACCCAGTTCGAGCCTTGACGCATATTGGGTATGTGGTCATACACACACAACATCCTCTTGCGGAATACTCGTACAAGATGGAAAATCTGGCGATCGACTTGCGGGACGGGGTCCGCCTGACAAGACTTGTCGAACTTCTCCTATATCCCTCAGCGGCACCGTCTCTCGAGCGCGTGCACGATTCGGGTTCAACTTCCAGTATCCTTTTGCCCACCGGAGAACAGTTGTCATTGACCGAAGGGGACCACAACTGGCCATTGTCTCAACATCTCAAATATCCCTGTCCGGGCCGTGCGACGAAACTGTACAATGCGCAGATTGCACTGAGCGCAATACAAGGAGTCAAGGGGGTAAGGACATTGGCAGAATCTGTCAAAGCAGAAGACATTGTAGATGGATTCAGAGAAAAGACTGTCAGGCTGCTTTGGGGCCTGACCAGCAAGTGGGGACTTGGCGGTCTAGTCGACTGGGACGATATTGAACGTGAAATCAAGAGACTGTGCCGCACAAGCCCCAGCAGTTACGAAAACGACTACTTCGACCTGCTACCGGATGAAGATGGTCATGCGCGACACACGGTCCTATTGAAGGCATGGGCACAAGCCATTGCCAGCAAAGAAGGGATCCGGGTGACCAATTTGACCACAAGCTTCACGGATGGACGGGTTTTCCAGGCTATTGTTGAGGAATACGAAGGGTATCTCGTTGATGACGTCGGGCCGCGAATGGGTCGCTCGCTCACTGAGCGGCTGAGATGTCTCGGATGCAGTGAGGAGTTTGCAATGCTTTTCGCCCAGTCAGATGCGTCTCGCCACCGTGCGCACATTTTCGGCCGGGACTTTGTGGTGGCTGCATTGGCATTCCTATGCTCTCGACTTCTCAATCCGACCAAAAGAGTGAGAGCGGCCGTGACGATACAGAGGAGATGGCGCTCGTATTGGGCACGGGTGGTCGAGTCTCGCAAGGTCCATTTGAAGGCGGTTGCAGAGATCTGCGCTACAGTGGCTGCTCAAAGGGCGGCAGCCGTTACAGCAAACCAAGGAGGGCATGAAGTGGATCGGCCGGTGGCCAGCGAAGAGGAGAAGGAACTTGCCGACGAAGACATCTGGTTGAACTTGTGAACAGGGGAGTCGAGGGACGGTGGGATTGGTCTGGATGGTGATGTGATGTGGTACGAACCAAATTGAAGACAAAGTCTGTTGTTTGAAGAGCCCGGACCGGACCAGGCAGGAAGCCAAATCATTGTTACACCAAGGTCTGCATCTACTGAACGAGTCTAGTTAGCAAGCAGGTGAAAGTCAAATAGTCAATGATGCAGCATGGACGATCTGATATCAATTGTGGCTGTTGCAGCAGCAGCTGAGCTGGTGGCCCAGCTGCCGTTGCAGTCGCCGCCGCAGTGCCTTTCTCGCTTGTCGATCAGGCCATTGAAGGGCCCAATATCACCATCATGCGGGGGACTGTATCTGTAGCGTCTAGTGTCTTGCTGGATCAGCCAGTATAGTTGGAGGAGTGACGAGACTCTCGCAGCGTCTCACCCTTCGAGGGGGGCCAGCATATGCCGGGTCGACGTTATTCCGGGGCCCAGGGCGGGGAACTCTGGGCATTTATGTTTAATGGACTTTAGGTCGCGTTTTAGCGTCAGTTGAGATTCCAACGACCAATCAAATCAACTACCTCTCAAACTCAATTCACCACATCACTCGCTCACTCCTCGCCTCCTCCTCCACCTCCTACATCGCCCTCCTCTCCTCCCTTCCTCCCCGTGCTCCCTTGTCTTCTCTCTCTCTCTCTCACATTTCCCCTCTCCCTCGACTCTCTCTCGAGTCCCTTTCTCCTGAGATTTAGCCTACCTGCCCCCTGCTCCCATTCTACTCCTCTACCAGATCAAGCTTAGGGTCAGAGAAACGAGCAAACAGTCAAGGATTTGCAACCAGGGCTGAGGTCGATCCCCATTACTGATCGACCCATTTCTTTTTTCCTCCCACTAGCCAATCTGCCGATTAACTTTTCTCAATCATTGCCGTCATCACTTTCGACGCTGCAGGACCCTGCAGCTAGAGTAGTTTGCTGCTCACTCGCTTCTGGCTCAAGCGCCAAAACTCAAGTTTGGGTGTCCTATCATATCCATCGAGATACCTGTCTTCACTGCACTCATCCGTGCATACCGGTTCCCGCCAGAATATCCAAGTCATGCCCAATACAGATTTTTCGAGTATTCGGCTGGTCTTCGTCCGTGGCCAAAGAAGACCTGTCCGGTGCTGCCACCTAGTGCTGGAACATCTAAGCGACCCCGACACTTACAACCTCCTCCATGACGGCTTGTCAGCTGGTTCGCTAACCAAATCTTGATCTTCTCCATACTAGCCTCCTGGCTAACTCGGCCCTTGTTCTCGTGGGAGTGATATCCAAAGTATCAGACACTAAGACACGAAAAAGGAGGCAGAATTGCGAATCATGATGATTTGGACTGATCCAGGTCAGATTCTCCACGACCTTCAGACCAGCAGCCAACGAGGTCGCAATCCAAAAATCAGTCCATCATCGACCCTTTCTGGGGCATGGACGGTAGGACCACCCAAGCATTTCCCCCTCTCTTGGGCTACTCCACGCTATTCCAACTCACGATCCGTCTGGCTGAAAACCTCATTTCGTCGCCTTGCGTTGGTTACAGGGTACTCATTTTTCTGTCCACATACGAGCTGTCAACTTCTCGAGAGCGGCCTTACAAGCTGGCCCCTCGGGATTCTTAGTTTGCAGTTCAGCTGTTGAATTGTTGTCGGCATCATTTGACGACACCCAGTCTCGGTTGGCATGTGCGATTATCACGGACCTCCTCGCTGCGCGCGAATATTATATAGTCTCTACTGACCCTCATCCTTCTAGTTATTTAAGATTCTCCATCCATCGTTTCATGGTCCGGCGAGATTCTTCCTCCCATATAACACTTCCCACCTGAAGTCCTACAGAAGTCTCCTCCCATCTTCCCATTGCAACTCTTCTTCTAACATCCGAGCAATACCAAAACGCAGCAATCATGGCGACTCAAGAGCTACAGCTCGCCGTATTTTCTGGTAACCTCCACGGCATTCTGGCGTTTCTCGCCTCTCCACGGACAGGATTTAGCTTTCTCGACGACGCCGAGCCCGACTATGGCTTTGATTACGAGGACGATGACCCAAACGTCAAGCAACAAGCTGTTGAGGCAACACTGCCACGGCCAGTCTTCCCTGCTAGAAGAAGACCACCCAGGAGAGACATTGAAGAAAAAATCCAAGCCATCGCCCTTCGACATTGCATCCGACTTATTCGCCTTCAAAACCATAAAGCCTGTTCTGTTCTTTCGGCGCAGAACTCAGCCAACTTACGGTCCCTGAGTCTTTATATGTGGGACATCATGTTACCCGAACTGACCAAGTTGCTGGCCACGAACTTCGCCGACCTTGAAGAACTCCGTCTCGGCTTCTGTCACCCCTATATCAATGACCCATGTCTGCCCCTGAAATACTGGGTTCATCCAGACTTTCTCGAGCCGACTACTATCTGGGACGCCTTTGGTGGCATTGGCGAGGAGCACGCGGCCAATTTGCGCTTGAAGAAGTTGAAGAAGATGACCTTGCAACGTTCTGGCATCGATCGTACTCAGTTGCAGAAGTGGATCGAGTCCAACCCAGGCTTGGTCGACTTGAGGCTGCATCATGTGGCCGGAGTCGATGCTGAGTTCGTCCAGTGGCTGGGTACCTACTACCGATCCAACGCCGGTGACCACATTGACCCAGACGCTCCGCGTCCGGCCAAGTTGAGGACCCTGGCTCTCGAAAGCTGTACCTCGCTGTCGCTTGGATCATTGGACGACCTGAATTGGCTCGACTCCGTCCTTGATATCCCGGGAAAAGGTGCTGGAGACCTCGATAAGACTACTGCATTCCAAGTTTTGTCTTTTCGAGATTCGACATCCGTCTCTTCCTCCTCACTATTGCAATATCTGGCTCTCAAGCGTCCCCAGGTGCGACAAGTTACCCTTCCGGACGGTCGTGTTCTTGTTGAGAACACCACTGATCCTGACAACGATGGCGATTTTGACCAGGCAATCTATGGCTGTCGAGCCTTTTCCGCGACCTTGCAAAATTGTGACAACGAACCTTCGCCACTCCCGTATCTTCGTTTCCGACGCTTCACAACCCCACCCACCGGTTCTGGAGATGAAATAATCGAGCCGGATCCGAACTGCGTCTGAGCTCTGGAAATCTCTGTTATTGCCACTGGATCGGACACGACGTCTCGAGGTGGGAGGTCCCAACAGAACCTCTGTTGAATCTTCGCTGGACGGTGAAGATGATATCTCGAGTCACCATTTATGTTTTTCCTAGTCTTTGATCAAACTCAACTGCATTGCCCATGCGGCTGTCATCGATCCAGACCGTCGAGTCTGTTTGCGATGATTACGAATAGTATACACGACTTCATTGCACTCCAACGATTCATGTTTTCTGTTTCAATGCATGTTAGTCTTATCGACTAAGTCCCGGTCGAAGAAGGATTGTATCTAGAAAGAAGGAGACAAAGGGCGACCTCTCGGGATCATTGGTCCCATGTCTCCGGCGGTCTTTTCTTTTTAACTTCGTATCACAAACTGCTCTCTTTTCCGTACAGTCGTGATTGAATTGGGTCTCAGCTTGCCTGGGCTCTTACGATGCACAAAGACAGAAATAAGGATTAATATCACGAAGGAACGAACATCACCATGGCAACCTCGCAGTCTTGCGCATGTACGCTTGTGTGCTCGCTCGAATGCCATGTAAGCACGCCCTCCTTTCGGTTACTTTGTTCATATCTTAGAGGACCGCTGAGATTACTATTGGGTAGCCAGTGTCCGCGTGTGACATCCGTCGTCTACGGACACTCAGCAGCAGCAGCAGCAGCAGCAGCAGCAGCGGGGCCACACTCCGGGCGTCACTTGCCGTTGCCGCCGTCAACGCCAAAAGTTTTCAAATTTAGTCATGCACTTAGTTCCTTTAGTTCGCCCGTGTGAATGATAGAAAATGATCTCAAATCCCCAATCGCTTTCTGATCTCGAGTTGCCTTGGTCTTGTGCTCGTGGCGATGCGGGTTGGGCGGCGTCCCGCCCCCCCTCCCCGCCAACCCATCTCCAGGCGGGGACGATTCCCCGCCTTGAATCTGGCGAGGGGCACTCGGCTCGCAGGGCCGGGCCCTCTGGTGCAAGGCAGTGAGTGTACCGGGCAGATTGGGTTCAACGCTCACCAACCTTCGCGGATCGCCAGCTAGCTGCGTATCAGGGTTCCCGGGTCGATTCAGTTTAGCTAGAGGTAGGCACCTAGTAGGGAGGGACTTGAGATGAGATGCCCCAACTGCTGCCGCGGCTTGCAGGAAATTGATTGATTTTGCACACTTTCCATATTTCCCGGGGGGTTAAGCGCCGGGCTCAAGGTCATGGTCTTTTCCATTTGCGTGGCTCTGGTCCATTTTTGGTGGTTCTAGCCCACTGCTCTGGCGGCTCTGCTTGTAGGCATCCACTGATTTACGTATCTACGTACCTGGTTCCTTCTCGAGTCCGTGCGATTCTCCGACTTGATAGTAGCGTCGTGACATGGGACCTAATGGACTCCATATCGTCCATGCATGGAGCTCTTTTGCTCTCGGCTTCGTGGACGCCTTTCTTTGCAGTAGTATTCGTTTCCTTCTCCTCTCGGACCCCCTTCTCGTCTCAGCCTCACCTCGCTCAGGCTCTTCTCCCCCTCCACCACTTCGTTGACCAAGTTCAAACCTCCAGAACGAGTTTCTGACAACTCACCCCTGCCTTCAGCACGTCCAACGCATCGTTCAAGCCGGCCAGACCACCCGGCATGACCCTCGCATGCGGGGCGGGGATGAATTCCCCATTCGCCAGTCGCGGGGCTAGCCATTGCTGCAGCACGAACTCCAAGTGCTTGCCACCCGTCCCGGAGCCTTCGGGGGCCATGACGAACTTGGTCTCGACGCTGGGGTGCGTCGGCGTGGACGGGCCGACGGGCACGGCGGTGGCGAGCCTGCCCTTATTCTCCGCGGTGCTGGAGGCCGCGAGCACGTCCAGGCACGGCTGGATGTCGCCGGTGGCGTGGTATGCGGTTTTCAAGAGCACGCCGCCGTGCTTCTTCGCGGCGGCGGCGAGGATGTCCTGCACCACGCCGGGCGCTTTGTAGTCAAAGACGTCGTCCGCGCCGAGGGAGCGGAGGTACGCGTGGTGCCGGGGGCTGCAGGTCGCGAACACGGTGAAGCCGAGCGCCTTGGCCGTCTGCACGGCGCACACGCCCACGGAGCTGGACGCGCCCCAGACCAGAACGGCCTGCTTGTCCGACGCGGCGAAGCGGGTGTCGTAGCGTAGGCCGATGCTGGTCCAGCCGCTCCACGCCGTGACCACGCCCATCGGGAGGGTCGCAGCGTCGACGAAGCTCAGCGTGTCCGGAATCACGCACGCGTTTTCGACCGGCACGATGACTTTCTTCTGGAACGCCCCGTAGCGCGGCACGCCTTGGTAGAAGAAGGCCGGCGCGAAGCCCAGCACGCGCGTGCCGGGCTTGAACTGCGCCGCCGTAGAAGTCGAAGACGACGCGATAGAAGAACCCAGAGCCTCGATCGTGCCGGCGATGTCGGAGCCAATGATTGCCGGGTAGTCCTTGACGAAGATCCCCATGTCCCGCATGTAATAGTCGACTGGGTTCAGCGCGATGGCGTTGACCGAGACGAGCAGTTCATTTGGGCCCGGCTGGGCCGTTTCCAGCGTCTGCAAAGTGAGCCGTTCGCCCTTCTGGAGGAGAACGGCGCCTTGGTGACTGGTAGACATAATGCGCGTGGGGGGGCGTGCTGCCGGTATGATGTTGTTTGTGGGCGTGTAATCCAGTTCCGACTTGCAGTGGTGTGAGAAGACTTTTTCTTTTGATCGACAATGGTGGTGTGATGAGCTCCGGCGAGGAGGAGAGGGACGTGCAAGGCCCGTACTTATACTATATGCTCACATATACGCGATTCGGACATGTCTTGCCTTGCCACACCCTCTTGTATGTGATTGCTAGCTAGATTCTGTCTGTGTTCAGGCCAAATGACCTGCATTCAAGTCGGTGAGATGCGATCGACCGTCTCCGCGGCTCGGACTCTCCAGCTTCCACGTTTCGAAAGGATGCTTGGTACGGAATGTGCCGAGCTGGACCTACCGTGTGTTCAGGCAAGCTCCGGACTATGCCTTCTCGTTTGCCTGGATGCTTGGAAATCCCACAACCACAGCTCTCGGCGAGTTGACGAAGAGCCAGCCTTCGTTGACAGCCAAAGTGCAGACAAAGTTTTGGCCCTGGCCCGTCATCTGCTTATCCAAAACTCGCCGAGCCCAGGGGTTCCGAAGGAGCAATGTTGCTCCGACGAGCCAGTCAGTCCACTCATTGTGAAAAGAGCTGGACGGGATGAATGGGCATAGCGATCGATGTCGACACAGGAGATTGTTATCTCCGAGAGAGGTGTTAAGTCCGTGGGGCGTGTGCTTGGTCGACGCTAATCCGTTTCCGAGGTGTTTAAGACTTACTTGTAGTAGCCACGGGTGGGCCTCATTTCTGCTTTTAAATACTATAAATGCTTCTCGAGAGAGTCGTAGAAGGGCAAAAGTACAACCTTCGCGATGAGTTGCGTACCCCCTACAAAGTGACAAGTCACCACGTGCAGCTGAGTTCCCAAGGTGCCTGGGAATACGAGGAACCTCTCCTGCTCCCCTGTTCACCGTCTCCGGCCCTGTTCTTTCCCTCCCCCCGTGCTTCCCCTTCTCCCGCCTCTCGACGATCTTCCTTCTGCCACGTCTCTCCTTTTCCCTCTCCAGCTTTTTGACTCTTGATCGTCCTTGGCTTTTCCGCCGCCGCTAGAATTTAACTCGGTGCTCTCCATTTCTACCCGCTAGCTATACGCCAATATTCCGTACAAACTCTTATTCTCTGCCACCTTTGGTTCGCAATGGCCGGTGCCTCGAACCGGAAGCGAAAAGCGACTTCCCCCCTCGAACGACCTCAAATCAAACGACGGGCTCAGTCACACACTCCCACAGCCTCGTCTATCGTTGAGCGCTGGCTGCAAGGTCACCCCAGCCACCAGGATGAGTACGAGTTCTCCATCGATGACGAAGAGTTTCCGGCCGAAGCGCCTTTACCCGACAAATCGAGCAAAAGAAGAGGCAAGTATAGACGCCACTACGACCCGAACTACCTTGATGAGTTGGCGGCTAGGGGCAGCTTCGCCAGATCCTCACCAGCTGGACTCGATAAAGACGACTCGGACATGTGCTCACAACTTGTCTGGGGACTTCATATGAGCCCTAGCGAGCGCAAGTTCTTACAGGGAATGCCAAGGAAATGCGAGAGACTAAGGGGCCTTTGTGATCTTCGGGTTTTCATTGAGTTATTCGATCTTATCTCGCCGTTGGCCATGCAACAATCGACACATACCGATGTCCTCACAGAATCTTTGGACCTCAGCTGGAAGAAGGCCGTGCCGTTCTATGGGCCACCCCCACGGCCGGACAACACCTACGGATTCCAACCCTCCAGTTTCATGGACGCCCAGAAAAGAAAACTCAACATCAAGCCCTTCCACAATCCCACTACGCAGCAAGGAAAGACATCTGGTTCCCCTTCCTGACTAGCTTTGTCAAATGTGGCACTGCAGCACGTGACATTGCAGAGCGAGCTGTCGCGCACGCCATGTCAGTTGCCCTCCGAGGCATTGTCGACCTCCATCGGAGAGCGAATCGTGTTTCAGAGGTGCATCAGAGAGCTCTAGGATTTTTGATCTTTAGTGACGACAGCAATGCCGTTGTCAGTGTCCATTATCCCGAAATCGACGCTCAAGACACCGCATCATATTGGCGGGACAATTTTGTCTTGATCAAGTTCAAAAGAAAAGCTGATAGAAGGGCTTGTGGGCAGCTTGCGTTGCAAGTCTGCCAGATATTTGCCCCGATCCTTCTTAAGCAGCTGACTTCTGTCATTGATGAGCTACCTGATCTCGCCGAAGTCGATAACGATGGAGGAGGAAATAGTCCGGTGTCTGGTGAAGAGGCTGCTCCCCTGGAGGCGGCTGGTCAGAGCATTCTGGTATCGGGTTAAATGCAGGCATGGCTGACAACCGCTGTATATAAGTTTTGCCTTCAAAGATGCAGGAAGATATCAGTAGTGCAGAACTGAATATTGTTAGCCTTGCATGAGCTTCAATTGATGTCGTCGAAGGAACCTTTCGACCATGTACGACTCCATCGTTCCAGTGGGCCCCTTTCATGATCACGTGATTTCGCGTTCGGCGTCGACGCGACTCGCCTACAGTTTGGCATCACTCGTGCACGAGAATCGAGCGACAGCCCGCAGTCTTATCAATGCCAGAATCAATGTTTGCCTGCGCTTTCTCTGGCCACGTCATTTGCGGAAGATGGACGACACTCTCTACGACGCTCTCACACCTGTGCTCAGCATACCGACTCTCCCCGCCGCGTTGTCCGCTCTCGTCTCGAGACCACCCTCAGGCAGGCGCGAAGACGAAGATAAACAACGAGAACGGCTCTCGTCACATGCCGACGCATTTCGCAGGTCTCTCAGCAGAGATCGCCCCCGCTACGAGGATGAGGAGGAGAGAGAGAAACTAGGGGGGTTGAGACAGTGCGCCTGGACGCGGCTGGACAATATCGACGCTGGCGAAGAGGAGAATCAGCGGTTAGAGCTGCGTGTCGGGAAAAAGCGAAAGCGGAAAGTAGGAGGAAGGGGGGATGGTGGTGGTGATGGCGAACACCCACAACTCAAAGGACTTGCCGTGTCTCTTATCTACGAGAAAGACACGTTCCAGTTCGTGATATACACCCGTTCCCTGGGATCCGACCTCCCCAAGCGCAAGCGGATCGCTGCCATGACATACCAGCGCACTACAGAGTCGAGAGAAGAGAGCGCGATTTTGCTCTCAAAGTCTTCAACCGCAGCGCTGAAAGCATTCACGGCCTATCTCCGCGACACGTTCGCGGTCGCCGGCGTTTATCCCTTTGAACCGTCGTCAAGCCTGATGCAGTCGACCCTCGAAAAGTATCTGGGCACAATCCGCGCTTCTCTCCCCGACGCCGGTGACACCAGCTCAGAAGCCATCCTACAAAACTTCAGCAACATCATCGGCAAAATCGAACTCACTTTCTCCTTCTCCCATCCCGTGGCCAAGGGTCTGAAGTCTCTCCACGTCGCCGTTCCAGCCACCTCGTTCCTTACATGGTACATGCCCACCGAAGCTTCGCGAGGGGGACACCGGGGGTGCAGGAAAACATTCTTGGGTTCGCTGGCTGGCTGGATCCGGACCAAGTCGGGTCTCGGCCTACCTATTCTCTACGAGAAGGACGGACAAGACAATCATAAGAAGGGTGATGATGACAGCGACAGCGACAGCGACAATAATGACGACGATCTCTCAAACACCGCCGATCCCCGACGAGGGAAGGCGGCGCCGGCGTCAGTGATGATGAAAATCTCGAAAATCTCGACCGAAGCCTACACCATCTCAGCCACTTCGGGCGTGAAATTCAAGTCCCGAGCCGTCCATGCCGCCGAGGTGGCTGGCGCAGGAGCGGACTCGGACAGGGACGGAGAAGAAAACGACAACTGCGTTCGACGTGCAAATAGGGATCTCCTGCTGGCTTTTATCGACTACGCGCGATGTGAAGCGAACGGCAGGGATGCGCCATCGACGACATGACAGGCCATTGACGGTGTGACGTGATACGACAGCACATGACAGGACATGATGTGAAGCGATATAAGAGCGGCGGCGGCTGGGTCATGATTAGGGCGTTTTGACTGTACTGTCCGCCTTTTGGGATAGAAGGCCTGACCTACTGCTTGGATTTATCTTGGAGGAGGGGAGATGGATGGTCGAGTGCCACGAGCCAAGACTACCATCGGGCAGGCAGTCAGGCAGGTACTAATAGTCGAGCAAATGAGGAGGATACCTAGGTACATACCTATATACTCCGTATAGGGTCGCAACCATTCAGACAGGCACGTGGAAACGCCATATCCCCTTCCACCACAAGATCCAATCGATCGCCAATCCACATGTGCGATCCCGTTTTCTCCCGTTTAGGCATCGGTAAGACTTCCGTGGGAATTACCGAGCACAATCTACGACTCAAAGAAAGGCAGAGTTTCAAATGAAATGCCCATCAATAACGAGGCCAGACTCGTAGTTGGGTTACTACCTGGTACAGTGTGAGGTACCTGAGGTACGCTGCGTGGCGTTTGCGCCACGTCATCAGCGAGCGCCACGCAGCGAAATGGCGGACCGCCATCGCATCGTTTCAGTCATGAATAGCTCGTAATATTGTTATCGGGATTCCCATTCGGATTCATGCAGTTCTATTATAGCCACTTCTCGAATGCTATGCCTTCTCTTCCTTATGTATAGCATGACCGAGTGGAGGAAACCACAACGACGCGAAGTGCGGAAAAACAGAGTCTCGTTATAACGTTACGGTTCGTGGGATGGAATCCCTACCACGGAAGTGGAAGCTTCCTCGCTTCAAGCACCCGACCACTGCAGGTAGATACCTAGATATCTAGGTACCTAAACACCCAGGCAGGCAGATAGGTAGGCAGATAGGTCTTGGGGTGAGCGCAGTGTTCTCTCCCCCACTTCATCCATTCTCAACGCTCTTCATCTTCCCCATCCCTGCTCCCTTGTCGGCGGCGCCGAGGTCTGAATTCTTGCGCTGGGGACTGTTCACGCCGCTCCCCAGGCCGGTGCCGGTGTACAGGCCCTCAAACTCTCCGCGGACGCCTTCCACCAGTTTCCCCACCGCGTCGATCTCGGCGGATAAATCCTCCACGTTCCCCGCCAGGGCGGCCACCTCGTCGAATTTCCGGCGCCGATTCGCGTCCGCGATCATTTCTTGCACGAGGAATCTCTGTTCTTCGAGCACAATCAGCCGCTCGCGCAGGGACTTTTCTTCGGCTTCGAGTTCGGAGATCCGTGCGGAGTTGGACGTGGCGAAGGACGCGACGCTGAGGGCGGACGACGAGTCTTTCCTTGCGTGGCGGGAGCCATTCAAGATCGCCAAAGAAGCGCGAGGGTTAGGGTTGCTGTGCAAGTCAACTGGTTTTGTGCTGCTGCCATGAGGTGTGGCGTGCTTGAGCACCTTCGGGAGCGACTTTAGAGGGAGCATATGGAGATGCAGAAACTGCGTGGCGTTCTGGTATATGGCTTTCTGGAGTTTTAATTGTGTCGGCGACTGGCTGGGCATGTCCCGTATACGTCGCGCTGCGGTATCATATTGGGTGAATGAGTCCATCAGTCGCTTGCGTGTTCGCGAGGCGTCGGTGATTTGACTTGATGCTGGGGGATGATCAGGGTCTTGCAGGGCTTGGAGGAGTTTCTGAAATTTGGGGAGCAGGAGCCGGATACCCCGTTCGAATTGAAGAAGATTAGTGTACGATCGGGTGAACGCCTCGATGGAGGGCGAGGTCAGGGAGGCTTGGAAGTCCCTGCGGGAGAAGATCATTTGATTGCACTCTTTGCAGAGGCGGACGTCCACAGCGACGACATCGTTGGGCGCAGGTTTTTCTGTGATGGTGAGGTGGGTGTTAGCTGTCAATTTTGATATCAGTATGTCAAAAGAAGAGCAAAGTAGAAAGGGCCAACATACTCGTAGCAACATCGAGGCCGATGACCGTCGAACATCCAGTAGCAGCATCTCCGCAGACGACCTTCCCACATGTCCTGCAGTGATGTCGGCGGAAAGAGTACTGGCTGAAGTCTTGCTGGCAGTACGGACATCTTTGAACGTCAGCGTCATTCTGCCAGGGCACGATGCTTTGCTCCAGAGTTTTTCGGGGATCGGTTGGGACCCAGGTTAATGACCATCTCTTGTTATGAGTTGGCTGCGGGATCTCGTCTGGTGGGTTGGCAAGTATTTGCGTCAACCTGGACAGCCTTTTCTCCAGCCTAGACACCTCCATCTCTTTATGACTGAGCTTGCTTCGTCTGACACTTTCAAACTCTCCCATTCTGTCTCTTTCTAGACCATGCCTGTCCATGTAACCCTCACGGCTTTTGTAGCACGTCTCGCATACTCGATACCAGAGCCCTCGGACAGGCTCATGTTGTGCAGATCTAGACAGCTTCATCTGATACATTGTATGCTCTTCGCAGAAGAGCTTGCCGCAATGTCGACAGTTGACGGCTCCCACAGCGGTACCCAGCCTCTTCTCGCATGTTGGATCGGAGCACACATCGTAAGCCGTCCGCCTCTGCCAGTGTTGCTTCGTGATGATGTCGTCCGGATCGAGGACTGACTGCGGGGGCTTTGGAGGCAACGGCGGAGCAGGAGAGTCCCTGGGCTCTCTCGAGACGGACTCACTCCTGGGTGTTGGCGTACTGCTTCGGACGATGTCGTGGTTCGACTCAAAGACATCCAACCCCTTGAGTTTCTGGTTCAGCACCGCCAACGGCTGGAATCTCTTCGCCTTCACCATTTGTTGTTTGAACCAATCTTTGACCTCATCTTGCTGCTCTTCTTCAATCTCTTCATGCACATCGTCCAGGTGCCTGTTCAGTTGTAGTAAGGTGACCATTTCCTCGTTGCAGATGGGACAGACCAAGCGGTCTGTTGCAGCCGCCGCCGCCGCCGTAGATAGATCGGGTGCACCATGGTCGAGTGATACTCGCGAGACGATGTCTTGGGGATCAGACGACGGAGGGGTCGAAGTGCCGCTCTCAGAGGTATTCAGGGACAGGCTCGAGTCGGAGGGAGATAGAACATGACTGGGGAGAGGCGACGTAGACTTTGGAGGAGGAGCGGGAGGCCCAAGAGTTCTGCTACTTCCCAGAACCCTTCCGCCGCCGATAGTGCGCCGTGACATTGCACTGTTGTCGGGCTTCCATCAAGCGACCTGACTGGGAGTTGGCAGCAATAGAGGGGCGGAATCTCGAGGACGCTACTCTGCGGAGGGAGGCGGAGAGACAGAATAAAATGCGGCCGGGCTGCTTAGTCATTCGGCCGTGCGTATAACGGTGAGGGCGAAGTTGACCAGCCAGGTCAGGAGACAAGACTCATGGTCTTCATATCATTTGGTATTTCCCAGATTTCTATTCCGTGAACTTGCCGCACCTATCTGTCACAAGCTGTCCTTAGGTCCCCACGGTCCCTTGCAAGGCCCTTCGCCACAGTAAAGAGTGCAAACTCCAGAACCATCCCAACAGTCATACATCATCAATCATGCACTCTTGCCAGCATCCTCCTTCAGACTGACGATCCGATTGAGGACAATCTTCCCTGTAGCATCGTCGGTATCTTTGTCCATACAGAAGTATCCCGTGCGCATAGCCTGGAACCTCACTGATTCAAACCCACATTTGTCCTTCTTCTCTCCAGCTTCCTCTGGCCATGGAGCTCGGCCCCGGATCTCTTTCAATCCGACTTCTGCCATAGCATTCGGGTACACTTTGAGACTGTCTTCTCGTATGTCTGCCATAAAGCTCGGCTCTACGGCATCTGGATTGTCGGACTTGAAGAGAGGGTTGAAGACGCGGACTTCACATCTGATTGGTGAGCCATGTTCCGGAGCATCGGCGACCCAGTGGATGTAGGCCTTGGGCTTCTTGACTTTCTCGCCTTCTGCTGGCTTGTCATACTTGGCATGTATCTCAGTGACCAGACCGGTGGCGTCATCCTTCTTGAAGCTTGTTGCAATGACGGGATAAGGAACCTTCAATAGGCCTACAGGCTTCCCGGGTGCCATCCGGAAGAAGTCTTTGCTGTCCACCTCTCTAAAGTCGTCCCGCTCAATATAGACCCTTTTTGTGAAGGGCAACTTGTGCGAGCCCATGTTGACGTCCTTCGGGCCAAAGGCATTTTCAATCTCCTCGTAGTGATCGTCGGGCAGATCATCGATAATGACAGGGATGGGATCGAGAACAAGCATAAGACGAGGCACTGTCATTTCCAGATACTTGCGGATCGACTGTTCAAATCGCACAATCTGAATGTTGATAGTAGCCGTCGTAACCCCAAGCTCGCTGACAAAGGATAGGATAGCACCGGGAGGAACCCCTCTCCTACGCAGGGCAACCAGAGTGTATAATCTGGGGTCATCCCAGCCGGCCACAATCTTCTCGTCCACCAGCTTTTTGATTTTTCGTTTCGACAAGACAGTGCCCGTGACATTCAATCGACCGTACTCTCTCTGCATTGGCTTGTGGGGAACATCGACCTTATTGTTGAGCCACTCGTATGATACTCGAGATAGAATAAATTCAGTCGTGCATAGCGAATGGGTAATGCCCTCGAAACTATCGCACAGACAGTGAGTGAAGTCGTAAGTAGGATAGATTCTCCATTTGTCGCCTGTCCGATGATGTGGCTTCTCAAGGACACGGTAGGCAACTAAATCCCACATCTGAGGGTTGCCGTCCGAAAGATCTTGCTTCATCCGCAGAAATGCTTCCTTGGGCTTGTATTTGCCATCTCTCATCGCTCGAAACTCGGCAAGTGATTCTTCAATTGGCCGATTTCGATGAGGGCAAGCGTATCTCTCATGCTTGTTCTTCGGATCCGTGCCGCCTCGCTGGTCTTTGAGCTCCTCGTCGGTACAGTGGCATACATATGCGCCGTCCAGGGTGATGAGCTTCTCGGCCAACTCGTACAACCGATCGAAAAAGTCGCTGGAGTAGGTGATCAAAGCGGGGCTGAAACCTAACCAGCGCACAATATCTTCAATGGCAGTGAAATAGATTTCTTCTTCCGCTTCGGGGTTTGTGTCATCGTACCGCAGATTGCACTTTCCACCATGGAATCTGGCGAATCCGAAATTGATCGCAATAGCTTTGCTGTGGCCGATATGGAGATAGCCATTCGGCTCGGGGGGAAATCGTGTGACTACTGGTTCATCTGCTGGTCGTTCCTTCCGGACTGCCGCCAACCAGCCTTCTTTGAACATGGCATCTGGGTCGGCCGGTGCTGATGGGGCAGAATTTGCGGGTTTTGCAGGTTTTACAGGCTTCTCTGTTGGTGGCTTTGCCTCTTTGGGTGGCTTGGGCTGCTTGGGCGCCTTTTCTTTCTTGGGCTTCTTGTCCGATATGACATTTTCGACCTGCTCCTTGACACGCTCCGGCAAGCTCTTACTTGCCTCTGCAGATTCAGCCATAAGGCTAGGGGGTGAATGTTTTCAGGTATTGCCGCAGTCCTTTGGTGAGATTTCTCGAAGCGCTGAAAGATGTGGCACGTGAGATGAGATGAAATGGATCAGCGAAAGTCCCACCAGGTCTTGCACAAAGAAAAGACGCCTCCGCCAGTGACAGAACTAAGATTCAAGAGCTCCTTGCGGGATGATGTTGTGAAGCGAGAACAATCTGGAAGATTCGACTTGTTCGAGTTGGCATGCCATTGTGATTTAAGGCTGGCGGAGGATGAGTCAAACAAAATTAGGAGAACAAACATGCCAAGGAATATGCAGAGTAGCAAACGTGACAAATAGAACAAACACGCTAAACAGTTCCCGACTGGCCGAGCAGCGGACGAGGGCCGCGCCGACTTTGCCTGCGAAAGGTCGCATCATGCTCGGATGCGACCAACTTTTTTTCGATAGGACACTGTGTTCAAGGTCTTTGCCCTTCAACTCAGGGAGATTATCTCCCTCTGCCATATTTCTCCTCACAGTCGAGCTCTTGACTGACGCTCGCCATGGCGCAAAAATCGTATGTACTAGCTCACAGTCGGCTTTCCCAATCTCAACTCCCACTGATGCATCGCAGATCGAAACTGGTGGACAATGACCAGATCCAAACGGCAAGCCTTCACAACCCATTGCCAGTCTTCCTCAAGGCCTACGTATGGCCTTTCACCATTCTATGGCCCATCTTTTTGGCATTCTACCTGAACGAGGATCTCTATGATGATTACATCGACGGCTCGGAATGGACATTCGTCTATGTTGCGACAATCGTCACACTTCAATCTTTAGCCTGGCTCTCCACAAAATGGAGTGTTCACCTGAAGACTACGTTCACCATGACAAAAGCCACAAAAGTCGAAGACGCCAAGTTGATCAAGGTCATCCCTGTGGTTAACTCAGGTGCGTCGGCGATCTGCAAATTGGAAAGGGAGCCGGACGGAAGAACTTCGTTCCTCTTCCAGAAGAGACGGTTTCTGTATTCGCCAGAGAAGGGAACCTTTGCGCCATTATCTTACGCGCTGGACTCCGACAAGAAGCCGCTCCTCCGCGAGTTCCAATTGTCGCGAGGTCTCACCTCTGAAACCGAAATCGCGACGGTTCACAAACATTATGGCGACAATACCTTTGACATTCCTGTTCCCACGTTCACGGAGCTGTGGAAAGAGCACGCTGTTGCGCCGTTCTTCATCTTCCAAGTGTTCTGCGTTGGTCTCTGGTTGCTCGATGACTATTGGTACTACTCCTTGTTCACCCTATTCATGCTTGTGGCTTTCGAAAGCACGGTTGTCTGGCAGAGACAGCGGACATTGAACGAATTCCGAGGGATGAGTATCAAACCGTACGATATCTGGGTGTACCGTGTCAACAAGTGGATCGAGATCAAGAGTGACAAACTGCTACCCGGCGACCTCGTATCGGTGGGACGAACTCAAGAAGATTCAGGAGTTGCGTGTGACATGCTCCTTATCGAAGGGACTGCAATTGTGAATGAGGCCATGCTCTCCGGAGAGAGCACGCCGCTCCTCAAAGAGTCGATCCTTCTCCGCCCTGGCGACGCGACAATTGAACCCGAGGGTTTGGACAAGAATGCTTTTCTCTGGGGAGGAACGAAAGTCCTCCAGATAACACATCCTGCCGCCAGCGAGGATGCGCCGGAAACTGTCCCACAATTGCGGTCGGGTGTCCGCCCACCGCCTGATAACGGTGCTATGGCTGTTGTGCTCAAGACTGGATTCGAGACCAGTCAAGGAAGTCTCGTGCGGACCATGATCTACTCGACGGAGCGTGTCTCTGCCAATAACGCCGAGGCCCTGATCTTCATTCTCTTCTTACTGATCTTTGCCCTTGCCGCCTCGTGGTACGTGTGGCAAGAAGGTGTCAAGAACAACAGAAAGAGGTCCAAGCTGCTGCTCGACTGCATTCTGATCGTCACGAGTGTCGTGCCGCCGGAATTGCCTATGGAGTTGTCCTTGGCGGTCAATACCAGTCTGGCAGCGCTCAGCAAATTTGCCATCTTTTGTACAGAACCCTTCCGAATTCCATTCGCCGGACGTGTGGATGTCGCCTGTTTCGACAAGACCGGAACGTTGACCGGCGAGGATCTCGTCGTTGACGGTATTGCTGGTCTTGGCCTGGGTAAGAAGGGCGCCCAAACCGAAGCAGATGGCGCGCAGTCTTCAATTTCCAAAGTTCCCGACTGTGGCATTCATACCACTTTAGTTTTGGCAACCGCTCACGCCTTGGTCAAACTTGAGGAAGGGGACGTCGTCGGCGATCCCATGGAGAAGGCTACACTAAACGCACTAAACTGGACCCTTGGTCACAATGACACTTTGATCAGCACTCCTCCACCCAAAACAAAGAAGGCCAAACCATTCTCGACGGCCGGTGCCTCGCATGTCGTCCAGATCAAACGTCGTTTCCAATTCTCGTCCGCTCTCAAGCGTATGAGTTCCGTGGCTACGGTTCTGATGACCGATCCCAACTCGGGACGGAAGGCCAAGGGCACCTTTGTCGGCGTCAAAGGCGCTCCGGAAACCATCCAGAAGATGTTGGTTGAGACACCGACCAAATATGAGGAGACTTTCAAATACTTTACGCGGAATGGTGCCCGGGTGCTGTCTCTCGGCTACAAATACCTTTCAACCGAGGCCGAGATAGGCCAGAAACGCATCAATGATCTCAAACGTGAAGACGTCGAGTGTGATCTACACTTTGCGGGTTTCTTGGTGCTCCAGACTCCCCTAAAGGAAGATGCTATCAGGGCAATCCAGATGCTGAACGAAAGCAGCCACCGCGTGGTGATGATCACCGGAGACAACCCCCTGACTGCTGTTCATGTTGCCAGAGAGGTCGAGATCGTCGACCGCGATTGTTTGATTCTGGATGCTCCAGAGCATGACGATTCAGGGACCAAACTTGTCTGGCGCAGTGTTGACGAGAAAACCATCATCCCTGTCGATCCCACGGCCGATCTGGACCCAAACATCCTCGAGACCAAGGACCTATGCGTGACTGGCTATGCTCTCGCCAAATTCACCGGCCAGAAAGCATTCCTGTCGTTACTGAGGCATACCTGGGTGTATGCGCGAGTCTCGCCGAAGCAGAAGGAAGAAATCTTGATTGGTCTTAAAGATCAAGGCTATACTACATTGATGTGCGGCGATGGGACGAATGATGTAGGCGCGTTGAAGCAAGCCCACATTGGCGTTGCTCTGCTCAATGGCTCTCAAGAAGCCCTCAACAAGATCGGCGAACATTTCCGGACCACCAAAATGAAGGAAATCTACGAAAAGCAAGTGCAGCTGATGCAAAGATTCAATCAACCAGCGCCGCCGGTCCCTCCGGGGATTGCACATCTCTATCCGCCTGGTCCCCGCAATCCCCACCATGAAAAGGCGATCAAGAAGATCGCTGAGCAAAAAGGTATAAATCTGGAGAATGGTGACGCTGAGAATGGCACGGTGGAAACCATCACTTCGCCGGGTGCACAAGCGATTCAGCAATCGAACGCCAATCTGTCATCTCAGCAGCGACGTCAACAAGAGGCACAACAGAAAGCAGCAAGCTGGGCCGACAAATTTACCGCGAGCATGATGGAAAATGAAATCGACGACGGCGAGCCACCTACGATAAAATTGGGGGATGCATCCGTCGCAGCTCCGTTTACAAGCAAGCTGGCCAACGTTATAGCGATCCCCAACATCATCCGGCAGGGACGGTGCACCTTGGTAGCGACGATTCAGATGTACAAGATCCTGGCTCTCAACTGTTTGATCAGTGCCTACAGCTTGTCCGTCATCTATCTGGCAGGCATCAAGTTCGGCGACGGTCAGGTGACAATCAGCGGGATGTTGATGTCGGTGTGTTTCCTCTCTATCTCCCGAGCCAAACCTGTGGAAGCTCTTTCACGAGAACGACCGCAGCCGAACATTCTGAACGCCTATATCCTTGGATCGGTACTGGGGCAATTTGCAATCCACTGCGCGACGCTCATCTATCTTTCCAATGTAGTCTACTCGATTGTCCCGCCTGCCGACGAGATTGACTTAGAGGGTGAATTCGAGCCTTCGTTGCTCAACAGCGCCGTCTATCTCATGCAACTGATCCAACAAGTGTCCACCTTTGCAATCAACTATCAAGGACGCCCTTTCCGTGAAAGCATCCGCGAGAACCGAGGTATGTACTGGGGACTGCTAGCGTGCTCGTTCGTGGCCTTTGCGGGCAGCACCGAGTTCCTGCCGGAGCTTAATGAGAAGCTCCGCTTGGTGCCGTTTACCAGCGAGTTCAAATGGTCTCTGACGACACTTATGATCGTCGACTTCGTGGGATGTTGGATTGTGGAGCAAATTTTCAAGTCCTTGTTCAGCGACTTCCGCCCCAAGGACATTGCCATCAAGAGACCCGATCAGGTTGAAAGGGACGAAAAGCGCAAGAGGGAGCTCGCGGAAAAGGCTGAGCAAGAACGGATCGAGGAAATTGAGAAGAAGCGGGGTGTAGCCAACAATACAGGTCCGCCAGCGCCGGCCAAGGTGCGAAGATAGGCGCAGGCGCATGTCTCAGTTGCAATATAGAATAGAGAGCATGATTGATTGGGCGCATCGGCTGGAGTTCATTCATGTTTGTACAGGAAGCTTGCCAGTTGTTCTCAATCAGAGAAGCCGGATGGTAGTACAAGGTCGTTTGCTCCGTTGATAGACTGGTTCAGACCAGCAGCGAATAGATGTCTCGGGTAATCCGAAGAGCTCGGTTTGCAGTGTGGTTTCCTCGATCTCACTCGCTTTCCAAACTTCCGTCACTCTCTGATCACTTCTCCCGCCGACCGTCTAACCTTTGACTGCATACACGACAACAATACACATCAATAACAGAGCTACTCGTACACTGTCCTAGTTCCGGGCTCTCTGTGATATCGACCCCACCCCCCAATTTGCCGTGACTAGTCATCCGTCGTGCGTGGTCCCTTGGTCTCTTATTACAGCCGAGGGGCTCTTTGGTTTCTGTTTGCCGTGTGCTGTGGAGGGTGTCCTCGACAAGCAAGGCATGGCACTCATCAATCCTGAGGCAATCTGCCTTTGATTCATCCTGCCAATGATCCTGTTTCCACTGCAGCCGGCTCGCCCTCACGCAGCCTCTGCCTGCTTCACAACATTGAGCGATTCTGCTGTTACACCAGAGTGTCCAGTTATATCCAACGGAGGGTATGTGAGTTCCTCTCCATCGTCCAGTCGGACGGGACTCATCCCGCAGAGCGCTCTCTACTGCGTCGCAATCCATGCCGACGAGCTGCTTTCTTGCAGCGGCAGTGGCGTCAAGGGCGCGAAGGTTGCTAGCGAAGGATGCCTCTCCTCGAGCTCTGACTCGTCTTCGCTCGAAGTCTCCGGCAGTGGCAGGGCAGGGAGATTGTCAGCATCGAGCTCGGCGGCACCGGCGGCGATCTGGGCCGTCAAGTCAAAGATGGGATCGACGGCAGCGCCAGCCGGAAGGATGCAGGAAATCGGCCTCTCAATGCCGTCCAGCGAGGGCATGATGTCGTCGTACAGATCCGGGAAGAAGCTGAAGAAGCTCAGGTCCATCTTCCACATGTGGATGTTGTGCACCTGGTTCAGGAACAGGCCAGACAGCGCAAAGAGGCCGGTGTTGGCGTTGAAGTCGACGGCCTCGGAGGGCGTGTACGGCCAGTGGAAGCGGAAGCGGTGGACGAGATCCGTCCAGAACTTGTTGTCCCGGGTCAGGCTCTGGGAGTGCACCGCGCGCTCGCGCACGCCGGGCCAGGGCAGCACGTCGACCGCGAGGGCGTGCCGGATGGTGTGCTGTGAGGGCCGCGGCTTGTACCACACCGGCAGGTCCTTGAAGGAGGTCGCCCCGACGAAGCACAGCAGCATGGCGTGGATCATGCGCAGCGTGCACAGGCGGGTCATGAAGCCGCTCATGCAGAAGATACGTCGGTCGAGGTAGCGCAGAAGATTCCATAGCGGGCAGAAGACGCTGGTCCCAGCGTAGTGCATCGAGACGTCAGGCCACCCGTTGACGAGGGCGCGGACTAGCACGTCTTGGTTGAGGGCGTCGTTGGTCGATACTTGGAACTTTGAGAACTGGCGCGCCTGGGAGACGACGTGGTTGAAAATCTCTTGACAGCTGGTAGATAGACTCTCAGGCGGCAGTGGTGGCTCGCGCCCGTTGTAGCCGTCGTTGCTGCTTTGCAACTGGAGGCCGCCTCCAGAGTCGGCACCGGCAACATTGAGTGACGGCCACGGGTCCAAGCTTGGGAGATGGCTCGCAGAAGTGGGAATGAAGTCGACCTGGTTGTTGCTCTGGGCTGTGGACGGGCCTGGAGGAGGACAAGATAAAGCGAATACCGCATCGCCCAAGCCATGTTTCTGGCGCGAACATGGGCACGCTGGCGCTTCCCGCCGTCTCAGCAACTCGATCTCGGCCTTGAGCAGCTCGATTTGCGACTCGAGGCTGGCGGTGCGCGCTTCGGCCTGAGATCGTTTGGTGCGGTGGGAGAGTCGATTGGCGGCTCTCTTTCTCTCACGCTGGGCCGGCGTGAGGACGCGCCCGGTGGCCCATGGTTTGGCGGCGCGAGGCTGGGGGCGGTCGCTCATTGTTGCTTGGGGGGTGTATGTCGAGGAGAGAAGGGGAGGAAATGGTGGTGGTGTGGTGGTTGATGTCCCCGCGGGGTCTCGCTTCGCCTCCCCCACAGCATCCCACAATTTCTAAACCAACCACCAACCACTAACCACCAACAGATTACATCCCTTAGGTACCGGGCCGATGTCAAGAGTACCTGGTAAGTGGCACAGCCCGACAATGTAAATTCTGTATGTTCAACAAGATACCCTAGGCATATGACCAGCTCTTCAAGCGTAACCTCCACCGCCATCGCCATCGCCATCGCCAGACGCACATGAACTTCTCCGACCTCGCCGTGGAGATCCGGCTCCGGATCTATTCAGAACTCCTTGTCAACCCAGGGCCGATTGACTTCGTCGCCGACTTTGGCCCTTCGTCACCGCCCCTCTTCCGGCGCCAAAGGGATGGGCTCTATCCCGCTATTCTCCGTGTAAACAAAGAAATCCACCGCGAGGCGAGTCCGGTCCTCTATGCTTGGAACCACTTTCGATTCCCCGAGGTATTCTCACTGTCGGCGCCGGTGAGCGCTTACATCACCCCATTCCTGAACCGGATCGGATCCCACGCAAGTCTGATACGCCATATCCGCATCCCTTTCCCTACCTTTGACTACCCGTTGCCTGACCGGGCGGTCCTCCATGAAGTGCATGTCAAGAATCTCGAAACGATCCGCCGTGCCTGTGCAGGCCTGCAGACCATCGAGCTGCTGGTTCCAGCCGAACACTGCAATTACGCTCTGAGAGACGATGCGATCGCGCCCGAGGCATTAAATATCCTCGACATGCGCCTTCAGAGCATGCCTTCCCTGAAAGAGATCACCGTCAATTTCGAGGTGTACGACGGCGGAGACTCCAGCGATGATTTGACGGAACTATTGCACGGTCATAGCTGGGCTGTCAAGGTCACAAAGCTTCCGAAGAAGGTTTGGACGTCGTACGATGACCGGGTTGAATTTGACAACGAGGAGGATTGCGAGAGGTACGATAACGAACAATTTGGACGGCAAATGGAGCAGGGAGAGAAGGACTCCTGGTCCGAGGAATATTATCGCAGGAGAAGCGACCCGTACTGGAAGAATGATTCAGACTATGATTGACGAAAGTGTTTTGCTCATGGCGGGTAATGTATTTTATGATATTCAGACTCATTCCCAGCCACACATCCCATTCCTGTCCATTTCAGTCGGACCAATCTTCCTCGAGAGTGGGAGCATCGTAATAGTTTCGAGCCGCCAACGGCTGCTGTGCCACGATACAGAACTGCGACAGCCCTTCCAGGAGTGGAAGCCAGAGCTCGCCGTGAATATTTGTCACAAAGATATGCTGCCCAAGACATCCAGGGCTTCATGACCGATTTGCTCCTCGACACTTCAAGGATACCCGTCCTCCATTCGTACATGACGTCGTCGCTGAAACGATGAGCATTCTCCTTGTCGCTTTCAGAGAACCCTTCTTCCGATTCGCCGTCAATCTCATTATAGAATTTCGCAAGGCCTTCACTTTCTCGCAGCTTTTCCGACTTGGGTCGGTAGATCATGGCCCTAAGAAAATCGTCCAGCTCAAAACTGAAATTGAGGCGAAGGACCAGGCGTGGGGGACCAAGGACGGTCACATAGATACGTTGGCGTAGCTCCAGCGGGAGGTGAAGCAGTAGATTCTCGACCTTGTCAGTCATCGTTACGGGGAGATCGCTGGGGGAGTTAGTTGGACAAGGCCGCCATCGTCATCTGTAAACAACGTGCATCTTAAAGACTGATTGATGTCTGTGAGACTGTGAGGTCACGCCAAGCGGAGCGCCACGCCACACGGCCACACCTGAACGTCGAGACTGGCTTTCATCAAGAGCCCTTCGTGTGTTGTCTGCTATGGATGTATCTATCTGAGTACCCCTTTTTGAGCGAGTCGCTTTGCCGGTTCCTCTAGAGGTCACCTGTCGCCCCTCGCACGGGCGTCGATCTCGCCAGCATCAACTCCATGTGCGAGTCACAGTGCGACTCGCACCCTCGAACTCTATGCCCGGCGAACACGCCATGGCGGCCAGATCTGGCTTCATGAAAAGCCTCCATCGTCGCACATCGCGTCACGGAGGTGCGGATGTGGCTGATCGGCCTCGCGAAGAATTGCCATCGATGCTTTTTGTGCGACAGGACAAGGCTGCGCAGGAGTTTCAGCCGCCGACGTCTTAAGCAGGATGGAGAAGAACCCGTGGCGCATAAAGAGGCCATTGAGGCCCAACTCAACACCCTGTTGCGTCGACAACTGAAGCTCGACAGAGCCCTGTCCGCGACCATCATCACTATATCGCCACCATGGCCCTCCTCGACGAGCTGCTATCATATCTGGCACAGCACTGGCACTACCTGAGCCTTCTTGCCCCGTTGTTCCTCCTTGCGAGGCTCCTCTTCAACAAATATGGCCACGGGCTCAATTCTATCCCTGGCCCATTCCTCGCCGGCTTTACTGACCTGTGGCGCTTCGGCACCACCGTGGCGGCAACACCTCACCAGGTCCAAATCGATCTGCACCGCAGGCTGAAATCGTCGCTGGTGCGCATCGGACCGCGCACCGTCTCCGTGTCTGATCCTGCTCTGATCCCGACCATCTACGGCCTCAACTCCGGCTTCACAAAGACAAAGTTCTACACCCTGCACATGCTCTCCTACAAAGGCCAGTTTACACCGAGTCTGTTCACCACTCTGGACGAAGGATACCATGCCAAGTTCAAACGACCCATCGCCAACGCGTACAGCATGTCCACCATGGTTGAATTCGAGCCCCTGGTGGATTCCACGAGCCGCTTGTTCATGTCGCGACTGGATGAGTTTGCGGCATCTGGTGCGCCCTTCAGCTTCGGGACATGGTTGCAGATGTATGCATTTGACGTTATGTAAGGAGATACCCCCGCACCCCCCAGCCAATTTGCACTGCAGGTTCCTATGCAGGGGCCAAAAAAGCTGACGTGAAGCAGTGGGGAGGTCGTCTTCAGCAAGAAGCTGGGGTTCCTGGAAACCCGATCGGACGTCGATGGCATCATCGCCGACATACGCACCAAGGTCTTTCTGGGAGGCAGTGTCGGCCAGATCCCCGAGGTCGACCGGTATTTGACCAAGAACCCTCTTTTCCTCGCGTGGGTCCCCACCCATCCGGTCGTCAAGTTCACCGTGGAGCGCATGCAAGAGCGGATTGCGGCCAGGTCCAACAAGGCGGGAGCAAAAGGGGGCGGTGCAGAGGCGAAGAAGCGCGACTTCCTGTCCCGGTGCTTCGAGGCGCAAGAAAAGTACCCGGACCTGGTGACGGATCGGATCATCCGGATGTACAACATCGACAACGTGCTGGCGGGCAGCGACACGACCTCGATCAGCCTCCGCGCCATCTTCTACTACCTCATGAAGGCCCCGGCCAGCATGGCTCGAGTGCTGGCCGAGATCGATACAGCCAACGCTGCAGGCCGGCTGAGCGAGTTCGTCACCTGGAAAGAGTCGAGCGCCCTCCCGTACCTCCAGGCCTGCATCAAGGAAGCCCTGCGCATGCACCCGGCCGTGGGCCTGCTGCTGGAGCGGCACGTGCCCAAGGGCGGCATCACACTCGCCGGCCACTTCCTCCCCGAGGGCACCATCGTCGGCATCAATCCGTGGGTGGCGGCGCGCAACAAGGCCGTCTACGGGCCCGACGCGGACGTCTTCCGCCCCGAACGCTGGCTCGAGGCGTCTGCGGCGCAGCTGCTCGAGATGGACCGCGCCAACCTGACCTTTGGCCACGGGGCGAGGTCCTGCATCGGCAAGAACATCTCCATGTTGGAGATCGCCAAGCTGGTGCCGCAGTTGCTCCGGCACTACGACTTCTCCTTCCTGACGCCGGAGCAGGAGTGGAAAGTGGTGGGAGGCTGGTTCGTGCTCCAAGACAACTTCCACGTGCGTGTCAAGCGTCGAGAAACGAAGGCTTACTCAGTAGCCATTGGTGAGGATGGGCAGTAGCACACGAGAGGGTGCTGATGAAGACGTCGCAAGAGTCGATCATGGCTGGAAAACCAGGCGGACCAAATCAAATGCTGCCCTAACCCAATTTGGTAGGTTACCCACGTGACACTGCCACTGCCGCTACCGCAGGCGCGTTGTCGCGTACCCACTGGAGTACTCCGTAGATTCCTTAGTTACGCAGATAATCAATCAATCAACCCAATGATTGATTAACTTAGTGTTGAAGCAACAATTTTGGCTCTGTGACATGGTTAGCACCAGCCCCTTGTGTACAAGGCTGAACCCAGCTATGCCGTAAAGGAGGTCTACAAGGCTGAGAAAGAGATGTGGGAAACAAGTAGACGCGTTCTCAGGTCAAATTGTCATTTGCTCATGGCCAGCCCAGCCCAGCTCAGCCCGTTTGTGGTTTTGGGCTTTTTGATTTCTGTGAAGCAATGGAAGTACTTTTTTGGAGGGGGTTTTCCTGTTCTCCTTTTTTCCCTCAATAGTACCCAAGCCGACAACTCCTTTTCGTGTGAACCGAGGTACCATGCATTCCTGAACTGCCTTGGGGTATCGTAGAATCAATAAAAGCAAGGCTTTCCCTTTTCCTCATCAGATCTAGCGCAGCCTCCAGCTGTAGCGTCGAACGACTGTTTGTCAAGCCATGTTGGCCAACATGTGATGGCGTCCCGCCGCGCAGTCGAGAATGTCTTGAAGGACGTCGACAGAGATGAAGATTTCGTGCTGGTCGAGGCCCTCGAACGTCCTAGAAGGACGTTGGAATGCGAAGTCCTCTAGGGACAAGCGCAAGCCGAACTGGGTGTCAACGATCCTCTCGCCAGACTCGTCATAAAGCTTCTAATCGAAGGGTTAGCGGTCGGATATGACAACACTGTTTCAAATGGTCACTTACGATTTCGTCGCGTCGCAGGCGTGTGCCGACACCCCCCCTTTCACCGACTTCGCGTCTCCAAACCCACTAGGTTGCTGATGTCTTGATGTGTGAGTTGTCATCATACCAAAATCCAAACTTGAGTCCAAACACCACGTTGAGATCACCTTGCAACTTTTGGTGGTATTCCTCAGCAAGACTGCGTAGATCCTTGTCGGTTTGAGAGAGTGCGAGTTCCCCTATCACGGCCGGATGTTTCCGAGAGAAATGCTCAAAGCCAAGATCGGGACACCGTTCTGATCTGGAGTACTCGACCGTGTGCCCAGGGGAAGAATCGAGACGATTGATGAATACTCTGGTATTGCCATCGCGGGATGCTATTTCTTCAAGTTGCTGCGTGATCTCGTAGTACAGGTTTCCCTGCACAAGGCTGTGTGCTTTTGAGACGGGCATTCGAAAAATCAAGGTTTCCTTCGCCGCGTCGTAGTCGTACCGTCACAGCCAGTTAGCGTTTGACAAATGCAAATGTAGAGGGGCTTACCTGGGCTTTTCATCCTTGTCCAAGTCTAACTGTTTGAGACGCTCAAAGTCAGCAAAGCACAACGGAAATTCACTCCAGTAGGATCCTTTGTAGACCAGTGGGATGTAAGCGACGACCGCTTGGAGCTCTGGAGAAAGAGGACTCTCATCATATCCCCCCGTAGTCTCCGAAATAGCAGTAGACGTGCTCATTGTGGCGGTGTTTGTAAGGTGAGTTAAGCCTCATCTTGGTCGACGCGCGATATTGGGCGTTATATAGTTAATATACTACGGTGACGTACAAAATATTGATGTGCACATTCATACGGCGGTGCAAATGCGCAGCCACGTCCGGTGCATCACGACCATATTGTGAAGGACCAAGTCGCGTGGTTTCACATTGCTGTGAAGTCTCAGCAACAGAATCAGTCATTCGCTGTGGAGTTTGTGGCAATTCGGACTCACAATGAAGGCTTCCCTGGACCTTATCCGAAGCCCTCGCTCTTGAATTATAGGTCAAATATCTCGCCATACCCGACCCCTACGCCAGCCCGTCTCGCCTCGACCAGATCTAGCCGCCAACCCGCCCACTGCTTCAACCCCCTTTTGACTTCTCTCACATGCTCCACCATCTTCCTGGCCTCTTCCTCCTTTTGTGCCCGCGCAAATGCGTGCTCATCGAAGGCTTCGTCGTCGTCGTCGAATTCCTGCAGCAGAGAATCGTTGCGTGGCCGATTCTGCTGGCTACCGGGAGAGGTGGTGCTCGCGCGGAATGCTGCAAGGCCCGAATTCAGCACCTGCGCAAAGTTAGAGTGACGAGGCTGCTGCTGGTTCGCAAAGCTCCTTCGTCGACTGCTGGCGTTGCCGGGGCCTGAAAGATCCACCTCGTCGAAGTCCTCGGCGCCTGGATCCAAAGAAGTTCGCGATCCGACATCGTCTCCACGAGGCTGCATCTGTACCCTCTTGTCCCTCCACACGCCGCGCTGGAGATCAAAGACTTGCCCTTCCAGTTCGCGAATTCTTCGTTCGAGTTTCTGTCTCTCTTCGTCCTCCAATTCGTCCAGCCCTTCTCCTCCCCCATCACCACTCATCACGCGCTTATGCTTCTCCCTCAATTGGTTATTTTCACTTTCGGCTTTTTCGATCTTCATCCGGAGAGCTGGGACTTCTCGGGCGGTGGCCTCAGCCGTGGCCAACTTGGTCGCATGCCTTGCCTCAGCCTCACGGTGGAGTTTGTTCATCACCTCAATCTTCTTCTCCAGCTGTTCGGCTTTCTTCACGACCTCGTCCCTGTGCGCAGCAGTTTCTTGCAATTCTCTCTCCAGAGTCCGGATCTTCATTTCCTTGCTTGTGCGCTCCGTCGAGTCAACGACAGCTTTCTCACTCGCCTTGGACAGCGCCTTCTTCGCATCTGACAAGTCACTCTCCAACGCCTTCACCTTTGCTTCTGTCGACGACAACGACGATTGCAGCCCTGCGATTTGCTCTCCGTGCGCCTCGCAACCTTGGGTCTGGCTCGATAGCTGGCCCCTGAGTCTCGAGATCTCGAGCTGCATGTCCGCAATGGTGGAATCTTTCCTCTCCAGTTCGGCCTGTAACATGGCCACATCCTCCCCCGCAGCACTCTCCCTCCTGCTAACTGTCGCAGTGGTTAAGCTTGTGCGTCTGCGAAGAGCCTCGATCTCGGCTCTCAGCCGCCGAATCTCCTCCTCGGCCTCTCCATTTGCTTGCTTCTCGGCATTTTCCTCCCTCACCTCCTCCAGCTCTTCTTCCAGCTTGCGCCATCTCCTCTCGTGGGCTTCTGCTTCCTTTGCCAACCGTTTGTTCTCCCTCTCCAGCTCTTCCACCTTCAAGAGGGAATTCCCACTTATCATAGCTGGGCTTAACGGCCCACTATCCCGGAAACTGGTGCTGCGGATTTTGCTTTGGAGGCTGATGCTCGGTTGGCGGGCGCCATGGCGAGGACTGGTGCCCTTTGCGGACGAAGGCTGGTCTTGATCGGCAGAAGGGGGAGAGACCGTTGCTGGAGAAAGAACCGTTTCGGGCGGGGGAGAGTTGGCACTTGCTGCTTGAATTGCAGCATTGAAGGCCTCTTCGTCTGCATCTGCGTCTGCATCTGCCAGATTGGCGGCGGATTTATCGACGTGTTGTTCTTCTGTCGCGGCCTGCGCAGCTTCGGTGTCGGAGACGTCGTCGACTTTAGTTGTAGCCTTCTCTTGCGCATCGGCATCGGCTTCTCCTTCTGTCCCGTCCCCAACCCGCTCGTCCCCCTTTTTTGAACCGGTTTTCGCAGCTGTTGTCGATTTCTCTCCGGTGCCGGCGGCCGCGGCCTTCTTCTTCTTTTGCAACTGGGCGACCTATGTCCGTCGCGGGAAGTTAGTGGAAGGCTCAACTGCAACGGGGTCCAGACAGGAGGAATTGTGTCAGATACTAGACACGACTGGGTATTCCTGTCGCCCTAACGTTGAATCAGAGCCTCTTACCCTCTTTTTCGCCGCCGCCAACTTCTCGGCTTTCTCCTTGTCTTCTTTCTCGCCCATAGCGAATCGGTCTATAGACTGCGGCGGCTCTGCGCAAGGCTCGCGTTGATTCGCGGGGGGTACAGATGTTTCACCAGTGGTGTGGGCAAATAGAATAGGTGAAGGTCAGCGGGGCCACGGATCAATCCACAGGGGAGGGAGGATCGAAATGTGTTGTCTGCAGTGCAGTGAGAGCGAGGATAGGGCGAGAAGACGTGGTCTGAACACGAGTGCTCGCGTTGGTGGGACCAGCATATGCCAAAGTCATGCAGTAGGTGTGCTGAGCCCCCGGAGCTGCGCCTATTGGCATTTGCAGATCTCGGAGTCGGGTCAATGATAAACCGGAACCGTACTTCCAAAAGTCCTCTGTATACTAGCTAGTAAGGCAGCGACAAGGACTGCCGACACGGTTCAATAAAACCCTGGAAGGCTCTACACATGAAAGGAAAGTCATATATTGGTTTCCTGCAGCTCGCGGCGGAAAAGTTCGCGGACACGCGCGAAAGCCCTGACTCGAACTATACGAGCAACAAGTCCAAGGCGAGTCCAAAGCGCGTTTAGGAGCGTGAATAGAAGATATGCAGATGTGTCTATCAAGAAGCAGTATCTGTAGAGGGGCGTGTCGATCACCGGCACATTGCTCGGATGGTGGCTGATGCATGAAAGAATCACCCGCGCAGAGACTACAGGAGGGACACCTTTGATGCCTAGATTGTTTGTGGGTGTCGATACTCTCGCCGAAGACAGAGCCGAGATGATGTGAACCCCTTCCAGGTAGGCAGAGCACCTCTTAGTCTTCGGACCATACCCTTCGTATTCCTCAGCATTTGTAGCATGGGAGAGACCACAACATGGCGAAGACGAACGGATATCTTCTTACCAGGGCACTGTCGTAAACCTCTCGGAAATACAAATACAAATAACAACGGTGTTCACTGTTCCCGGTAGGGTGTGTAAGCTTGGGCTAATAGTGACGGCGAAGTACGGCTATCTAGTGAGGGCTTGTCCACACTCACTGGGTGTTTTTAGGGCATAACCACTCCAAAATCTCACTTATCCACAAGAAAGCAAAAAATAACGATATATTTTGCAATGACAAAAATTACGTCATAAATCTCACAGGAGTAGCAGTACCAGCAGCATCTCATCCCTCCTCGATGGTCTAGTGGTCATGATTTCCGCTTGTCATCAACCGATCTTGATTGCGAGCGCGGGAGACCAGGGTTCGATTCCCTGTCGGGGAGTTTTTTTTTCCTTTCTTTTGGGGGAGGGCTTGTTTTCGGGGCGACTGTGCGGAAAATTAAGAGGGAGGAGATTGGAGACCCAACTTGGCAAGGAAGACTGGGCCACAAGGGGTTGGGGCCTTGAGTTCGCGAGCGAAGGGGGGGGGGGGGACTGCCGCAAGGATGACGACGACGAAGCCACACACAGCTCCCAATGCTATGAGAAGATACATGAGGCATACCATGCAAAACCCTGGTTTTCCTAAACGCAGCTCGCTCTCAATGCCATATTGCAGGCGCGGATGCGTGCAAGGCAGAGCTCGTCCTGGTCGTAGACACGAAGGTCCTCAAAAGGTAGTATACTGGAAAGGAGTCACTGCAATGCACAAGCTTGCACGTCGACCGAGAACGTCCTTCTTCAACTGGAGCGTTTGCCAAAAGGTGCCATATAGTATGTACGTTCCAATCTGATTTCAGATCTCCAAGCACTAATGCCAGGCCTCCCCCATCATCCGCAGCCGGTCACACTCCGATCACAAAGACCATTCATACCAGACTCGTTCCTTTCCCAAACTTCCATGACGCCTAGAGAACAAAAAATCATCAAGCCATCCCAGCATCGAGATTGAGGCAAGCTTCCGTCAACGGCCGCTCCCACCGGCCTTGCCGAAAACGCCCATGCTTCCATCAGGTATCGTTATTAGTACAACACAGCCAAACGTGACGCCCCGAACAAAAGCACACCACCCCCCCTCAAAATCTGATTCATAAAATGGCGGCAATCTCATCCTTCATCAAAATGGCGTAGAAAGTGTTGGTGATCTCTGAGTTGAGCGAAGAGGTGATGCGACGCAAAAGAGGACAAGCTCCTTTACACTTCCATAGGTCCCACCACCTCTTCGCTCACTCCCCGCGCCGTGCTTTTGCTCTGGCTTCTCAAACTTCGTACCTCTTCGTCACTAAGCAGGTAATTGTCATGCTCGTCGACAACCGGTCTCGTGGGTGGCGGGAAGTCTTCCTCGTCAGATTGAAATCCGCGGTCTTTCGATGGCTGCTTGCCCTCGGAAACAGGAGCACCCATGGGCTTGTCGTCTTTCTCAACCGACATCACCGCCATATCGGCATCTTCCTCTGCTTCGTCGTCGTGCTCGGCGATTTCGACATCATCTCGATCACCAAGCCAGTATTTGGCTCGCTTGTGTGCGCCGAGGTCGGGAGTGATCCACCCATCCACCTCCTCATCGGCAAAACGCTTAGACCTGATAGGCGTCCTCAATGCATCGATGGTAGGGACTGCCAGAACACTAATGCCTCGCAGGTACAGGTAACAAACACGCTTCCTCGCTTTGTTGAAGAAGAAATAGTTCATCGACCAAATCGATCCTTCATCGTCATCTTCAAAAGGATCAAAATCCTCCGGGGCGTAGCGATATACGGCGCAGTCACGTAGACTCATTTGTTGGTCAATCAGCCTCCACATTGCCGGGCCCCATTGCGGCTGAGTGGAGGTAGGACCGGCGGAATCTCTCAGGTAGGTATTGACGGGCCGTGAACGGAGATTGTACATGGTCGTGTCGACGGTGTTCATGACGTGCCGTAGGCTCTTTTCTCGTTTGAAATCGGTGGGCCGCAGGACGTGCGAAAAGTCGTAGTGAGGGTGACTGGCGTTCAGTGTGGCTATGAGATATGCATAGGTCCTCCGCGAGCTGATCATTCCCAGATTCCCAAAAGGACTGCTTCGACTCAGATTCAGGCTCGAGGCCGCCACGTGCGCCTGGGGCGGGGAAAGCGACTGTGAGAATTGGAGATTCGACTTATATTGCGCTTCGAGGCCATTTTCAATGTTCTTGTATAGTTTCTTGTCTCCCCCGGCTGCCTTGGTGGTGTAGAGGTCGCATCCCCCTACGACATGGAGATCCGGGGTGGAAAAGTTGAGCGCGGAGGTGACCGTGTCAAGGTCGCGATTTGGCATAAACTAGATTAATGCGTTAGAACCAGTCAAAATCTGACGATGACGCGAACGGATCTGCTTACCTTCATTGTGCTGGTATTGGGGCGGGCCGAGTCAGATTCAGGGCATCGCACTGCGCGGACGTAGAACAGAGGATGTCGTAGTTTCAATGCAGGACAGATGCTTCGCGGTGCCCTCTGAGCGCTGTGCGCTACACGATGGATTCGCGGCTCCGACGCAAATGATGATAGCTGAAGAGGATGGTTGACCTGAGCCGGCTATGCGATCGCGAACAAAGAGATAACCAGGGCTGGCTGCAGAGGCAGCTCTCGGCGATTCGGATAGCTAGACGATGGACGTCTAGCAGGTCGCAGAACAGGAGCGTGATTCCATGATAACTCGCAGAAAGCTGATGGATGACGGAGTGACGGAGAGGTAGAGCAGGATGTGAGGTGGGAAGATGGACGACGTTGCGAAGCCGGGCGGAGAAACAACATGGGGAGTTCGAGGCCTAAACTCCTCCTGGGGCGGTGCAGTCACGTGCACCCCGCAAAACAGCCAATAGGCGGGTCCCGCCTCGCACATGCGCAGCAGCGAACGACGACAATGGATTTCGGACTTTGTACTCACGGCAATCCAAATCGAATCAAGCACTGGACGAAAGCGATGAGGTCAATGGCAGCTTTGGAGGTGGAAGAAGTGGGAGGACGCGTGGAAATCGCAGCGACATGTGGTCCGAGGCTCACTGTTTGCGTTAGCAGGCCGAGGAGACATGGTGTAGCTTAACTCTGTGCACGCTCAATTGTCTTATAGCCTGGTTCGCCGCGTAATGTACATGACATGTTTCCGCCGCATGGAGTGGCAGAAGCAGAGACCTTGTTTGCAAGGTCCATGTGTCCTTCCCTGGGTATCTTCCTTCGTGAAACGCCATCTCATAATTCCTGGGGGGTGACCCAGGGCATCGCGGCAGTGCCGATCAAATCAATCCGCCTCTCTTCAGTGCCTCCTCGGTGATCTGTAAAATAATGACTTGTCAATCATGGCGTCTTTTCATGACGTGCTCTCATGATTCGGAAGTACACGCGACAAATGCGTCGAGGCCGGATCAGATGCAATATCGGCACCTCACAGAAGATCGGCACCTGAAGACATGCCACCGAACAGCACAGTGGCCGTCGGCATCATGTTCTACATGATTTTGGTGACTTCTTCTTCGACCTGGTTCGACAGACGACACATGGAATTAGCCTCAACAACTACAACAGGATCCCGAGATGAGAGCATACCGCCGCAGCAGGAAAGGCGCAGATGGGGTGTCGCTTGCCGCAAGAAATTATGGTCCCGTGCGATAGCTCATCCAGCCCAGTGTGTGGCGGTCCTCAGAGGGGTGCATGTGAGGAATTATCAACGTTGCTTACCTCCATATCTTCGAGACTATCCTCTTGACTGATGCACCTCAGCACATTTTTCTTGCTGCTTTCTTGCATCTCTCCCGCCAGGAGGAGCTCGTCCAGAATAAAGTAGGCCTTTTGGAAATTAAAAATGATGTCCAGTTCACACACGTTCCCATAGTATTTATCCATCTGTTCGACGTAGCGATGAACAATCTCGAGGGTGATCAGCTCGTTATCCGTGGAGTCACAGCCGGCGATGAAGAAGAGAGAGGCATAGCGACGATAGACAATTTTGGTGTCTGAAGGATGGAGCATGGAAGTCAGCCTGAGGTTGAGAAGACGAGGACAAGGAGCACATGAAGAGTGAAGGAGCAGAGAATGAAGCAGACGGGCTGAGAATGGGGAATCCGCACCCTTGTACTCGAGAAAATTGCACATTCGAGTCCGCCGAGCGAGAACCAGCTGAGAGACATCTTTGATGATTTTGGCCTTCTCTTTTGGGGACAGAGTGGTGAACCATTTTGCCAGTCTCTGGGGGAAATCAACAGACTGAAGTCAGCGAAACGAACCATGGTGGGCAACTGCTTTGGACAGGATGATGTGCCTACCACTTTGCCCTGGCGGGAAAGCAAGATGAGATATCTATCATGCGTCAGTATGCTGGATTCCATGCAAGTCTAGTGTTGGTTCTCACTTGATAGCCATCTTGCCTGTCCACAAGTCACAAGCTGGACAGACAAAGGTGGCAGCGCAGGATGGAAAATGTTCCAAGTCGGGGGCCGGGAAAGATTGCCCGCCATTAGTCGTTTGGGAGGCCACGGTGCTCTGCGGCTGCGGTTTCTTGGCAGGCTGTACTCCCAACCGTCACCACTGCCGAGCCGCACGTTACCATGCTTGATCTAATAATCAAAGTACTCCGTAGATACAAGCTGGTCCTACATTGTGTTCAGTGGCCAAGAAGCAAGCAGATCCGCAGACCAGGAAAGAACCATATTAGGCATTTTTGTTGTAGCTTTTATTTCCACGAGGACTAAGTGTTGAATGTTCCATGAGCGATACTTGGCCGCACGTAGCTACGATAGAATCTCGAGTTGCATGGCCAATGCGAGCTGCCGAAAATATTTGATCAATACCATAATGGGACCTTTAATATCATAGTCTCGATGCCACGGTTGTGAAGATGATGCTAATGGGCGATCTCATGGGCCGCACACAACAAACATCTTGAACAGGCAATTGGCCAGTCGGGGTTCTCGAAAGCGGCGATATTATAAGCGAGATTTTGATTCCGGATCGAGGGAAGAGGATATTTAATTAACCACTATCATCTACCAGGAAAAAAAAAAGGAAAAGAAGAAACAGGCCAAAAAAAGAGGATGATGAACCCCACCTGATTTGACTGTGATCTACTGTCAGCAGGTTGAAGACAAGTCTCAGGTAGTGATATGCATACACAGATAACCTTTCTTGAAAGGAGTCAGTAGATGTCAGACCGCAATGACCTCCATTTAACATACCGATACCAAGCACTGGAGTCGAACGCTTCGCAATCATCAGTATATTTTTCATGTGACCGTCATTCGTTGTACATACCGCTACCGTTGCTATTTTGACGTGTCAGTAGAATTCACGACAATCTTGAGAACTCTAGGCACCTACCGCCAGGGGTCCAAGATTAAACCACCCTAATCCCAGCGTGCGCCAGGATTTTAGAGGCATGATTGTTGGCAAATCTTGGACACAAAAATCCATAAAATAGAAATTCTTTATGGTGGATCTGCACTCTGATCACGACCAATAATGCAATCCGCCAAGCCGCTTTCCGTTGTCGGTGTCACCAATAATAACGACATCAAACCCCCTGTCACCGGTTGGTAGACCACCCAATACCTGTTGCATTAATCGCCTTTCGAAGTCCTATCTACCAATCTGATTCATCTTGCGATCTTTAAAAGCTGCATTGTTCACAATACGATGAGCCTTGCGAGAACGGTTTCACGAGCTAGCCCACGTAGCTGACGCGTCTTTGTGGCAGTCCGGCTCACATGCTAGATCCTCAGCCGCGGGAAGAATGAAGATCAAACATATCTCGAAAGAATCTCTCGAGTTGACAATGTCGTGTGAAGGCAGCTGTTCAGCGCGCTGGCCCATATTGGCCGTCGGAGAGCTCGACAACAGTCCTCGTCGCCAGAGAACTATTCCATCCCACACTGTCTCAACAAAGTCCCCAAGCCGGCTGTTGGCTCTTCTGCACAAAGCCCATGGCAGATACCTCCAACATTACACTTGGAGATGCATCTAAACTGCTATGCGTAAATTGTCGTCGCTCAAGGCATGTTGTGGGTGTCTGTCCGGAGCCTCTCGGTCAACGATTTCAGAATCAAAACTGGGCGTACTCTTCTGAGCGCATAGAGCTGCTTGCAAGAACACGGTACAACCTCGACGCAGATTTATGCCGGCGATGCTCAGCACTGGACGTGTTGGCTATGTTTGAGGGCACGCTGGCCTGGAACGAGCCTCTCTATCCAATTCCCGCTTCTGTGTACTCGAAAAGTCCACATCACCGGAATCTGGGCCGCGTCGAGAACGTCGAGTTTGACGAAGATTGTCCACTTAGTGTCGGTCTTTTTGCACTGACACCTCGCCCCCACTCGCTCGACCAAGAAGTCCATCTCATTATCGACTGGACTATCCACCGGCTCGAACGACTCGTTGAGGTTGGAGCTCACCAGGAGCATTTGTTTGATAAGTGCCTCATCGCTGATCTCGCCTTTCCAGCAGAGGATCTGGCAATCGATGAGCATGAAGGAGATGCCTTGACTATCCTTCGTGATCCTGCAAATGGTCTACCGCTTGGAGGCCTGCTTGTTGACTCGGATCATGTTGATTTGGACCTGGTCAGAAGCTACATGCAGACATGCGCCAGTCATCACGCTTTGTCTTGTAAACCCAAAATACCTGGACAACTTGGCAACTTCTCACTAATTGACATCGAAGCCCGGAAATTGATAGCCTATCCATCATCACCCTGCGATTACTTGGCCTTGAGCTATGTCTGGGGTCCTGTCCGGGTCCCCAAGATGAACGCCGATGGAACGATACCCATCCTACCCGCTACGATCGAGGATGCACTTAGTCTAACTGCTATGCTCGGCAAACGTTACTTGTGGGTTGACAGCATTTGCATCGACCAAACCGATGAGGAGGAGAAGAAGCGACAGATTCCTTTTATGGCTGATATTTACCGTGGCGCCTACGCGACTATCCTCTTACTCTGCGGCTCTTCTGCCGATGATGGATTGACAAGAGTTGGATCCCGGAGGGCACCTCAACCACAACTATCATTCCATGTCGATAAACAACGGCTTGTTGGTCTTATGCCCACCTTGTCAAGGCAAATTGCTTACACCGTATGGGGAACACCAGCTTGGACCTTGCAGGAAGCACTCCTGTCTCCGCGGTGCATCTACATCACTGATCATCAAGCCTATTTCGAATGCAACGCGATGCAATGCAGTGAGTCAATTGATGTAACGAGGTCATGGATCCACAACTCCGCGAGAGACCTCGAAACAATGCGGGACAACCGCGAAGGCAGCAAACACGGCCACGGCACCCTTCGCAACACCACTCTCGGGCTTGGACGGCCTCAGGATCCGATGATGGCCTACGGAACGCTGATTGCTCTGTACTCGTACCGCTTCATGACCTACCAATCAGACGCCATCAATGCCTTTGCTGCCATTCTTCAGCACCTCACCGAGTTCGTCTTCGACCACGGGTTTTACTATGGTCTTCCTGAAGACGACCTCAACTGGTCATTGCTATGGTGCGGGCAGGACCAGCTGCAGCGACGGCCTGGCTTTCCGGCCTGGTCCTGGGCCGGCTGGGAGGGGGCCATCCATCCGGGCTGGCCATCCGAGGTCAGCGGTCCCACGCAGCCATTCTGGACCCATTTCCACGCGTGGAAACTCCACGACGGTCTCCCAAAGCTTGCATTTCCTCACCACACGAAAATGTCGCAAGAGAATGTTTTCACCGTCGAAACCGCCTTCGATATGGACCCCGTCCCGGTGCTGGACCATGATCTGCTCCAGCAAGCCTTGGCCTCCGATCACCGGGACAGCTGTCTGCTCCTCGACTGCATGGTCTGGCGAACCAGTATTGAACTCCTAGATCACGTTCCGGGTTATGACTACGGACCTTTCCGTTATTTTGCGATCCGATTGAACCGTGTGAGACGCTTGGTTCGAGCACCGGTGCCGTGGACGTCGTCGACAGATGTCGGCCGACACGTGCCAGGAAGTGGAGAGCCTGCGACTTTCATTCTCACCGGCCGTGACACCTGTTATATCGAAGGGACGACTTGGGTGGTACACCACTTCCTGCACGCCAACATCACGAGCGATCGAGAGGCGGTGAGGCGGGGTGTCATGCATTTGCTGGTGCCTAAGAGTCGGCCTCGGGCTCTTGACGGCGTGGTCGTGCGGCGCATGAGTCTCGTGCTTATCTGACTCTGTTCTGAGCGCCAAGGGAATGCTCAAACCCAGCTTGTCGCACGAACTTCACAAGAAGTCTAGTCGCGCCTTCAAGGGAAAAGAGGGCAGTGAAGGGGGCGTGGTAGGGAAGGCACTTTTACAACCTTTTTTAAGCGATCACTCACTCTGTGACGAGACGATCGGGAACTAAAGTCTCAACCTACAAAATGAGACATACTGGCTAACTGACATGGCGACTTAGCTCATGAGCGGTAGTGATACATCATACCAGTCGATCTATCATCGAATTGGACCACAAATTCCCAAAGGAAAGGTTTTCTGAAGGGGTTTACCCAATTCTTTTTAACCATGGCTGGCTGGATATTAACCCTGGGGCCTTTTTCTACTGAGACCCTCTCCATCTCTATCGTTTCTGCCCACACACAATGTATCTGCGAAACCCCGTTTAGCAGGCGGCATGGAAATCAAAGCGCGCAGGAAAAACACTGACCGATTGTAATAAGGGTGATAGTCCAGGGCGCAGAGCTCGGCGCGGAGCAAGCGCATCACCGCGTCTGTCTTGTGGGGAGGCCAGCCGTACGCCTCGCGAAACAGGCGCAGGCCGATCGACCAGGACAGGGAGGCCAGGTTCTTGTGCTCGACCTCGCCGACCGCGCGCAGCTGAGGATCGGTCGGCCACGCGGTCACGGGCAGCGGGAGCGTCGAGGTCTGGACGGCGCCGAACCCGGCGTCGTGGAAGTACTGCGCGAAGTGGAGGGGGCAGTCGAGCGACATGCCGAGGTTCGTCGAGGCGTCGCGCAGCCGCTCGACGACGTAGCGGAGGAACGACGTGTCCAGGACGCTGCCGTCGTCGCACTGCACGGCCAGGTGGGTGCAGGAGATCTCGAACCAGCCCCCCGGCTTCAGGCAGCGCTTGACCTGGTCGAAGAGATGGGGCCAGTCGCGGATCATCAGGATGGGCTCGCGCAGGTGGATGATGTCGAACGTGTCGTCCGCCTGGTCCCAGAAGCACTCCATGTCCTGGATCTCGAAGTTGCAGTTCGGCGGCACGAGGGACGGCTGCACCGGCGCAATGTCGATGCCCGTCACGATGGCGCTGGGGAAACAGTCGGCGACGTCGATGGCCCACTCCCCAAAGCCCGTGCCCAGGTCGAGAATCCGTTGCGGCGGATACGCGATCGGGACGTGCAATAGTCCCTCAGACACGCGGTAGTGCTCATGCTGGCGCGCCATTCTCTCCTGCTCGCCGTGGTCGACGGGCAGGCCGTACCAATGGATCCCGTAGTTCGGATACTGGCGGCCGTTTTCCTCAACCAGCTGGAAAATGTCCGACGTGCTGGACACTGTGCTGGCCGTGCGGCTGTGGACTTCGATGGCCTCGTCGACGAAATCCGGCGGTGGTTCCGAAATGGCCTGCATTGGGCCAGCGGGTCATTTGAGGACCTGAAAGATCAGCGAGGCGCCTCTTCAATGTTGTCCTGCGCAGTGACTTGACTGGTTTTGGGGAGAAGCGTGGGATTGAGGACCGCTGTCTCCTCCAGGCATTCACCTTGAGATCTGCGTCTCCAAGGATGCGGGCTCAAGATGCTGTGTTGATTTTCGTGACTTCACTAATTAACTCTCAGCCTTTCCGGCGATGGAATTTGGGAAATGGGAGAAATTTCCCTTGCACCACTCTCAAGCATGTCTGATATTATTGTCACTCGGTTGGAGGGAGGAGGAATGTGGCCGGCCGCGCAAGGCTGGCAGAAGCAATATATATGGACGTCATTGGAATGGGAATAGACAGAGTGGTAATATCTTGGGTGCCTCGTTATCGTCAAGACTTGCCCCCCTTGCCGGACGAAGGCCCCGTGTCACAGCATCAGATGCCGGGAAACAGATGGTCCTTGCGATGTCTAGGCCCCGCCACAAGCAAAGGGCCTTGATGTTGGCGACGCCACTGGAAGCTGGCTGGCGAATGAAATGGGCAACGCGCCATGCCAATCCTACAGCCTCTCGCGAAGCGGGCTGCGGGAATCCCATCCGAAGGCCCGTGCGCGAATCTGTGCGCAGGTCGATCCGGAGGAGGTGCTTGTGGTAGGACTGGTGAAGGGGCATGCCGGGCGAACGCTCTCATTTTGGATGATACAAAGATCCATATATAAGGAACAATCAGGGTATTGATAGGTTATGGATAAACACAACAATGCTGGGGTTGCATTCTTCTCTCCACTCCCCTTCCATCCTCACTTGTCGAACCGGAACTCGCCCTCGTCGCCCAGCTCCTCGACCTCATGCTCAATCACCCGCTCAATCTCGCTCGCAATGTTCAACACCCAGTGATCCCTCTCCGCCCGACTGCGGCACTTGAAGACCATCCCTCGCCCCGGCACGCCCAACTGCCCCACTCTACGAAGCCGCGCTCTGGTGCGTCCGCGGCTTCTTCCATCTTCTCCAGAGTCGCTGACAGCCTCCTCGGTCGTGGCGGTCTTGAACCAGCCCTTTTTCCGGTTCATCCACACCACAAAACAGGTCATGACGTCGACGTCTGCGCTCGTCCATCCGTCTTCAAGGTACACGCGAGGGAGACTGGCCAGCCCAGGGTGGTTCGCATCGAAAGTCCGGTTCTGGTACAGGAGATCGTCGTCAACAATCAGCCCACTGTACACGTAGCAATCTTTCAAGTCCACGTCTTGCTGCTTCTCCTGGTGGATGAATCGCACCTGCTCGCCCGTCCTCTTTCGCAAAGCCGACTGGAAAATGAGCAATCTGCCCCCCGTAAGGATGACCTGGCACCGATGGAAGGTGGCTCGTCGACGCGTTTTGAGATACAGCGAGCCCGACATGGTAATGCTGCGACAGCTGCTGATGGCGCACATGTTGTAGAGTTCCGGGCTGGCTTCGCTGCGGCTGACTTCCCATTTCTTGGCAAATTGACCGATGATGGCTTCCATTTCCTCGTCCACGTTGAGCTGTTCGAGGTTGGCTTTGCGGATCGCTTTGAACGTGTCCATCTCGGCAGCCGTGCGAAGCTTCCAGTACTTAACCAGTTCTTTCAGGCGACGGATCCATTCGTCGCGTGTATGCTTCGAGTATGCTTGCAGACGAACAACCAACCCATTCCCGAGAACCAGTTCAAAGACTCGATCGTCGTCGATTTCTTGCGTCGATCCGTCCTCCCGCCTGCTGTCAGCGACCTCCTGGTGGAAATCGACGTCCGAACTCGATCCAGCCTCAAGTGCTTCATCGGCAGGAGAAGCGCCCCATCTTATGGTGCGCACGCTACGAATATTGCACATGTTGATATATCCGTCCGCTTCCAAGATGTTGGCCACATTCCGCCGTGCCTCTTCGAGGGCACCACGGTCGCGACTCTGCAAAGTCATCCGATTGCCAGAGGACAACCACGAAATATCGCCGTGACTCAACTTGTAGGGTTCGATATCGTATAACAATGGCGTCTTCTCCACGATCTCGTGCGAAGATGGGACTTCGCCCTCGCTGGTCGTCGCAAGTCGTGGTGGATGAGGTGGGGTGGCCTTCGCCGGTCGATTAAACATCAAAAACTGGTTGTGCGTCGAGAAATACAATCGCTTGAAGAACGCTTTGCCCATCCGTTTGTGGACCCCTTTCTGAGACGTCAGCCGAATCAAGAACCCTTCAATGGGAGGCGGCTCCTCGTGATGTTTTCCTTTTCGGCCATACGTCGACGTAGGGTAGTGCTGTTTCGGTCGCAGTTCCAGGTCATGAGATCGGGCCATTGCCATGGAGCCATACATCTTGTGCTCGTTGACCCCATGTACCCATTCCAGCCTGTCGTACCTCTTCCATGCAAGACCCATTTTAGCAGTCTCGGTCCAGACGTCCAAGACATTCGACCATTCGGGATCGCGTTCCAACATGGCAATGCACTCCGAAATGATCTTGCCTGCAACGGCTTTCTCGGCAGCGACCGTCCGCGCCAGAGCCGTCTCCTCGTCTGCAGCATCGGCGCCAGCGGTCTCAAGTCCTTCGAATGGCTTCTCCAGGCGCAATGTCACATCTAGGTCCGGGACATTGACTTGAAGAGTGGAAGGCCGTTCCCAGCCCAGGGCGTCTCTGAGGAAGGTATACCACTCCACAGAGTGTGCCTGCGAACGCGGCCTCATAACCATGATCCTTGTTCCTTTTCTGTACGGATGCCAGATTACCACGGTCTTGTCGAGAGAAGAATACAAATTGACTCGCGTCGTCTTGGGATCGAGTCTGATTTCATGCTTCGGTTTCTTCTTTGTTGATTCATCGTCAATCTCCGGGATGACTCGAGTTTTGTAGATTTGAAGTCGGTAGTCGTCGACATCCTGTTTCTTGCTCTTTCTTGCCACGACCATGAACTCGCGCCATTTCTCCAGCAACCTCGTCTCGATCTTGATGCTCTCATTCTCATCAAAATCCTCCGGGACTTGCTGCAAGGTCATATCCACTCTCACCAACATGCGTTCCATTTTGACGACAGTCCCCTCTTGGAGGGTATTACGTCTCAATCTCCTGTTGGCAACACGGCCTTGCACGCGAATTGCCCTGCTGACCACCTTCTGCTGACCTCGTTGGACTCCTTCCGACACCTTGAACCTGACACCTGTGCTCGTCCGGGCGAGCCGGTAAGTCTGGTCATCATCCAAGGGTGCAGGTTCATGTTGCTGCAGGGATTTCGCGTCCGGCTTTGGATTTTCGGCGGATAGTAGAGCAGTCCTCGAGTTCGTCTCCAGATTGTCTTGGGTCGATGCTGATGGCTGCATGGACCTTCTGTTAAAGTCTTGTCCGATGCTCTCAGCAATGTCGGTGTCATGATCTGAGCGTTGTGGGTTGATTACCGGTGTGGTGGCTTTTGAATCCCCAAAAGGATCTTCACGGGCAGTTTTGTAAGAGTCGGGTTTTGGAGACTTCAAGGCACTCTTTGTGCTCGGCCCAGGTTTTAGATTGTCGTTGGTACCATCCAGACCTCTGTCTGCAGGGACTGGCAGAGACTTGGGGACTCTGTCACCCTGTTCGTTCTCGTCATCGATTCCTAGAATACGGGGCACATCATTTGTAGACACCGGCTCTATATCTCTTGGCTGGATTGGCTCTTCATCTCCTTCCAGGTCCTCTTGTTCGACATCTGTGGTCTCGCCATTGCTTGAGTCTTGGTCGAGGACATCTTCCGGTTGAGGAAAGCCGAAGCTCACCCTGGCAGCAGTCGAAGGGCCTTCAAGACCCGTCAAAGTCCTATGACGAAGATCTTGGTCGGTGGCGGCGCGGAAACTCGCTCTTCGAGAAGAATATGTGCTAAGCTGTAGTCTCCGCCTATACCACTCTTTTCTGTGGCTGTTGAGCCATCCCTCTGGAATCGGACCAATGAAAAAGCGGTGGGAGGTGAGGTAAAGATGCTCGGGGGACGCATGCTTGAGTCGGTGGGCGGTGTACGAGTCAGGATCAAGGGCATCGAAGTCGTGGGCGCCGGTCGTGCTGCCGACTGGCATCACTCGGGAGGTCGACATCTTTATACCACAGTCCAGGTTAGCATGACAGTCTTAACAATATACTCATGAGCATGGTGAGGGACATCGACTCCTCCTCGAGCTCCGAGGAAGAGGCAGTGGACTCTGCGCCTCCGGTCTGCCTCTCAAACTCGCTTCCACAGCCTCGATCATGCGCGTCCAGCAGGCAAAACTGGACACCACCCTCCAGTGACGTCAGTGACGCTCGAAAAGCGAAGTTGTTTATGTTTGCCTTGTTTGCACGCTGCAGCGGCCCCAATTCCATTGGCACGCGCCCGCCACGGCCATGCGCCCCTCGACAGGTGTTCACCGTCACTTCCATACCCCTTACTACTTTTCCATGCACAACGCCCCTTCATACTCTCTCACCTGAGCAGCATCATACCTCTACTTCTAGCAATGTCCGGCACTCAAATCCCACCAGGCAAAACCTGGTTTGACACCCACAAAGTACACTTCGACGACGTCCCCTTGTCCGACGACGGCGGCATTTCCACCCTCGAATTCCTCGATGCCTCTGAAGCCACCACCACGCTCTTCGACCTGCTGGGCTCAGTAGCCTTCACACCCGTGAAAAACGACATGATGGGCAACGTTACAAAACTTCGTGATCGTTATAAAGCGGCCCCCGAAGGTTCAACGACAGTCCAACTGCTGGTCAAGACAGAGCTTGCGTCGAAAAGTCACAAGGCCACCGAAGGGCTGGTGTGGTTGACTCGTGGTTTGGATTTCACAGCACAGGCACTGCGGTCCGATCTCACCACCAATGCGTCTGTCAAAGCTGTGGAACCCAAGCCGAACAAGGAGCTCGCTGATGGCTTTCGAGCGAGCTACAAGAACACTCTGGCCCCGCACCATGGATTGTTGATCAAACCCATTTTCAGCGCCGCCATGGGTGCGACTCCCTACCGGAAAGACTTCTATGTGCGATTGGGCGGCGAAGGGACAGATCCAGAGACCACAAGAGAGGCACTGGAGAAATGGGTGGCGGCGTTGGAGAAGAGAGTGACCATTTTGAAGGCCTTTTTGGCCACCAAGGAAGCAAAGTGGTAGAACCGGAATCACTGAACGTGCTATCGTTTGTTGGAACAAGGAATTGGCAAAGACATTTTCTACAGAAGCAGTACCTCATATATTGGCTAGCTCGTCGAGGTGGTGCAACAGCAGCAGGGAAAGGCTATTCGCACAAAAGCAGAGCCACAGGTTTCATGAACAGAGGCTTTGTAGGGCCGTAGACTCGCCGATGGGTGCTCCATTGTTTTCTTTCCGCAAGCATCTCTGCCCTCTGTTTCTTCCAAGCTCCCTGTGACTTAGAGATGTTGTCTTGCCATAGCTGCTGTGTCTCATACGGCTTCGTACAACTCACAACCAACGAACCTATTTCGTTCCACATTTCCTTAGTCACTCAATCATCTATACCTCGCACCCTTCTTTGTCTAGGTTATATTGGTGTGGATCTATGAATATGGAGCCTCACTTGCTTGAGTGATGCAGGAGGCGGCTCTGACAAAGCAACCTGCGTCAGTCGTGACTGGTCTTCTGCCAGGTTGCTGGGCATCTCGGCTTGTGAAGGCGCCATGGCACTGACCTTGTCCGTTAACTGACGCTCTACCCGCCTGCCCTGCTGGGAGGCTGATGCATCGGACGAAGGTCATCAAGCTACGGGCATGCAATATCCATATGGCCAACGACAGAGTCTAAGCCGCAGGTCTGTCACCTTCATTCGAGCCCCGGTGCTGCCTAGCCAGGTAGTCCTTCAGTCTTTTCTGTTTTGCGACATGATCCTCCTCTCCTCCGCCCTGTTGCAAGGTCCTCAGTGCCGGGGGAATCGGGCTTCCATCCTTGTTCAAGCCCACACTCTCAAAAAGGACCTGCAACTCCTCCACCAGTCCACTGGCAACCTCCTTCGACTCCTTGGTGCCCTGACGCAACTCTGTCTTTGCTCGCTCGTACATTCTCTTCAGTTGGTCGAATTTCGACCTGTCCCTCATCATTGTGATCAGTTGGTCTCGATTCCGCCGCATCATAGCCAACTCAATCGCAGCTCGACCGTCCGCAAAAGGGTCATCCTGCTGCAAGGCCTCAGTGTCTGGATCCAACTTGGCACGCTGCACCACGTCCTTCTCTAGCCTCCCGCTGGTTTTGGCAGGATAATCATGTTCGTCTCCCTTAACAGCCACCGGAGTAGCCCAGGGCGTGAGGACTGCGGTGACCAGTCCAAACACCATGTTCTGACTTAGGGGTCCGAAGTAATTTGAGTCCATTGACTTTTCCCGGCTGTTCGCGTCCCCTTCCACCCAGATGTGATTGTACGGCACAATCACAGAGTCGTCGCCACCAGGATACCCGGGAAGAGGTTTGATTCTGTCTCCTGGAATACCGATAACCCGCTTGACGGCTAATTTCGCGGGGTCGTGAGGCGCGTAAAAGACCACGATTTGACCTCTTTCAAGTCTCAATCGTGAATATCGATCTCCCATCAGATTCGACAATGCTTCGATGCCCTTGACTTTTTTCACAAGAATGATATCTGGGGCGTTGGGTGGGAGATGTGGAGAAGAGTTGATATTGAAGAACGGGGCCATCGAAGCGCCCTGCACTCGCATGATTGTGAACGGAAACGACATGAAGAAGACTATGAGCGGTGGAGCGATGACGAAGAGCCGCCATATCCAGCTCCGAGTAGAGGACGAGATGGAACTGGATTGCAGATATGACTTCCAAGACTTCTTCGGTGCCAACTCCGGGCCCATTGTCTCTCCGTTTTTCTGGACATTTTGGGCTATAGCAGTCTTGAGTGCGCTTCTATTGGGAAGAGTGATCATGCGACTGAGTCTGGCTGAAGGACGATATCGGCAGGAGTTTGAGGGAGGACCGCAGATGACGACCGCATGACGGATGCCGCTCGAGATGAACCCTCGGGACATAGGAGGCATTTGCAACTGAGAGATAGAGAGGACCGCACCTCGGGCGCGAAGCCACCTCCACCAGATGTATAGAGTGCTAGAGATCCTCAAGCCATCCTTGATGCACGGTCAAGCTAGCGTCAAGGGAAACATAGGCAAAAATCATGAATCGAGGCACGCATATCGCGCAGGCAGATTTCCAATGCGGAGAAGCCCAAGGCAGGTTTGCCGACTGATGATCTCCCACGCTCCTCATCACACGAAGTAGGCGTGGTGTGCACAGAGCATGGTGTTGTGCAGGTAAGTACAGAAAGACGAGCGGCCAGCAGTAATGGCGTTCCCAAACATGTTCCTTCCTCGTCAAGGTAGACAGCTCTTCTTTCCTTGCAGTGCCTCGTGCTCAGAACCCTCACCATGTCTTTCCCAAGCTTCAAGTTTCACCCTCTCTCATTCAACCCTGACCTCTCTACCACATCTCACTCAAGTTTCGTGTATCTCTCAGTTCACATCCTTAGCCTTCTCACCAAGTCCACTGGCACCACAGCTGGAGTCAGGTCTGAGCCATGGATGGTCTGCCTCCAGCTCCAGAACCCAGGGCCAATGGGAATACAGTGGTGACCTCCCTTGTCGAAGAGGTCAACGCCCGTGCGGCCAACGACCCGCCGGCTACCTCTAGCTGGACAGAGTACCCTCTGGCGGAGGGTGACTGGATCATTATCAACGAGTACCTCGCCAGCCTTGCTGCGCCAATCCAGTATGCTGGAGGTGACAGATGAATCTTCCACGCGACTCCTGCTGACAAGAACGTGTAGTTATGGCTACTTCTGTCGCACCGGGACCTTCGTTCACCAAGTGCCCTCCCCATGTCACGAATTGTTGAAACAATGCTTCGTTCGGACTCTCAAGATGAAGCTGAGGAGATTGTGCTCTGAGAACGAAGTACGGTCGTTTGCAGAGAGAATCACGGAAGTCGCTCCACCTGAATCGAAAGCAGGATCCAAGTCCAGCCGTGATCTACACCAACCGGACATCTTCTTCTCCCACGTTTGCCTACCAAGATATGGCATCCCTGTTGAAATTGCCTATGGGCAGAAGCGGAACAGGCTGCATGAACTAGCTGAGTTCTATATTCTCAAAAGTAACCGAAAGACCCGATTGTTCATCGCCATCGACTACGACCACGGTCACACCAGCAAAGTCACCCTTCGTACATGGAGACGAGACTACACTGACCCTACCGGCTTACGTCTGAGATGCCGGGTTCAAGTCAGTATCCTGTCACTATCTCGGAGACAGCTACTTACCTTGTGCCTAGGAGCTCCGACGTGAGGATAGCACCCTCATTCCTGGCCTCCCTCTTCGAGTATGCCTGCTCGACCTCGCCCGCCAAGAACTCATTCCACCATTCTTACACGGCCGAGACATTGAACTGTCGGTGGATGAACTTGGTTCTGTTCTCCAGGAGGCCGACTCTGGGGAAGAGATAGTCGAGGAGGACTCTGATTCTGAGAGCTCGACATCAGATGATCTAGATGGCACCGAGGATACAACCGACGAGGAATGGCCATTCGAGAGGCCAGGATTGATTCCCTTTCCGCAGTAGACACAGCAGCGGGATCTGCACCTCCGTCGCCCTCCGCAAAGTTCACGACACCACCCTGAGTCATACCATGGCCCGAAACTTGACACAGAAGAAGCAAAGAAAAGAAGGAGTACTCGACAGACGACCACCTACACGACTATTCACTTGCGACGACACATATCATACCCCAACAGCGTCAAGGATGATGCACATGGAGTTATTGGGCTTTCGCAGAATATTATTCTTTACCAGTATAATTATGACGGGCTGTCGCTTGACATGCTAGCTCCTTCGGACGCTTCACATTCTTACCTTGTACGTAATCGGACAACACAGATGGCATCACAGTCCATCTCATCGTTGCGTACTTCTCTCCAACTAGGCGCCTCCGCAGATGTGAGACAGCCCATGTCCAATCCTGAGCATGTTGTCATGTCGCGCTTTTGGTTGCTCGTCCCCAGGGTATCAAACAAAAATCCTACTTCGTCAGACATGGACATGTTTCTGTCCGTGTAAACATTCTCTTCGGTTCAGTGAACGCCAAAAAGTGGTGCATTGCAGGTATGGCAAGAGACCCCCAAAGGTGCCTTCGTCCCTGTGTATCGAGTCCAGAGCATTGCTCTTTTGAAGGGCGCCTCCGGTCTACTACGTTTGTGCATCTGCACATGGACTTAACTGATCGATCTGTCTACATGTTCTCTTTCCAGTCACACTTTCTGCCTTCATCTGCTTGTCGCAGGGGCTCGTGAGGTGTGTCAATAGCTGCCGAGGCATGGAGGTTGCGGGGTAGCTAGGTACATGTACTCGGGACATTGAGTCGCTGTGACTATGAGGTTCCGTCTCCCCCAATAATTCGGGATGGAGTGACTGACTTCTTCTGCATGTAATTCAGCCATACTCCCTCGATACAGACCGTACAAAATGCCGAGGAAACGACGGTATCCCCACCAAAGACCAGCCTGCCGACCTCATTTGCATTGCCTGATTTGCACATCCTCTTAATTGCTACGGGTGCCAACGAGGTAAGTTCCCTAGCGGCGAGGTCCTCGCTAGCTGCCCGGCGAGCAGCTAGTCGGTTCTCGTAGCATGGGAAATTAGTTCCTACAACTCTCGTACAACATGTCTAGCTCGCAGCATTTCTCTACATCGCTCTTGTTCCTCAGAGCTTCATTCTTGTGCCCGTCTTTTTCCAACCGCACCTTTCAGGACGCCTGCCTGCCGAGTCGCCGATCCCAGTCCCAGTCCCAATGCCAACCCAAATCCATCGCCAAACTCCAATGCCAGTCTCAACAATCAAGCGTACACTGATTCCACATCTTGACCGCCAGGTCCAGATCGATCGAGCCCCGGACGTGGATGTAATTCCAGACCCGCCAGGCCATGTGACAGCGTCGGATATCGGCTCTGTCTTGAGTGGCGGCACTCAAGAGGTTGTAGACTAGATGTTCACAACCACCTCGCTGTTAGAACTTTGGGTTCTCACCTATGCCCGCAAGACCAGATCAAGATCAAGAGGTGCAAGAATCCAGGTAAAGTGGCCGCGGGAAAGATGGGGTGAGGCGACAAACGGGACAGAAGGCGAGACATACCTTTCCAGAACTTCATCACCACCTGGTCGTCGGTGAGACACTTGTCCCGCTTGACGGCAATCTGGATGAGGTCCAAAGGGAGCAAAGCACCGGGTTCCGGAACGCTGACGGGCCCCTTGGGTGGGAGAAAGAACCGGACTCGTCGGCGAGTCGACGCTGGTCTCTTCCCGGCGGCGACGCTCGACAATGAGTGCCGCCGTATAGGTTTCGGGGCCGGACGCTCTGGCGCCGTCGTGGTCGTCGTGGTCAGCGTGGCTGCTGCCCTTGCTGCAGCGCCTCTTTGCCCGGCCTTTGCGACTGCTTTTCTTTCTGCTGGCGTCGGGGCTTTCGCCGTTACTGTCGTTATGGCTCTTGTTGCCGCTGCCTTGGGTAACGGCATGATGAATGGTACGGGCATTCTCGCATCGACAGATGTGTCATGCTCGTCATCAGACATTTTCTCGATTGGTACAGTGATGCGAAGCTGGTTCGAGCGTCACGGCACCTGGGGGAGGATGGGGTTGCTCTGCAACAAGGTTTGGGTTTCGGCCAGCGGAAGTCCGGACTCTGCTTCAACGGAGCTTGCCGTTAAGAACTCCAGAGATGGCCAAGGGAAGAGGTTTGAACTCACAGTCCTAGACGAGTAATTCCTCCGGTGACTGATGACCACAGTCCAAGCTCTTGCTTGAGGTTTATTGTTGTTCGTCGGCGGACGAGTCCAGAAGAGGGCTTTACTTCGAGCGCAGAAAAGGAGCTGAGTGTTCAAAACTTTGGTCAGAGTGCTGAGAAGTCCCCTACCAGCCTTGGAACACTCTGGGTCGGGTGCTTTCCTGGGGCCCTTGAGGGCGCGATGATGGAAAGGCAAGCCAACCATCGTGCTCGCCCATGCCACCACCATCGGGGTCTTCAGGACCTGTCAACGTGGTCGCCGGTCCCCGATGCGTTTGAGAAATATGCCTCTGGATGGAGCGGGGGTTGAGTTCTCATCCACCATGCGACGGGTACAAGGACGAGCTAGCTGCATATTGATATTGCGGTGGTCATTTCAAAAACCACATCCCACAAGGGGTGAGCTAAACATCCCAATGTGGCCATCTATCCAGTAGGCTTTCGATCCATGTGGCTGCATGAAAAGCGTTTTGAGACTCTCTCGCTTTTGATCCCCGTCTAGTGGGCAAGAAAATAGGCATTTGCTACTTGCATGGGTGCTGCATTTGGCAACTAGGCAGGAGGGATATTATGGAGATGAGTTGGATTTGGCGAACCGAAAAGAAAACATGGGCGCTCAGACTGTAAGGCATTTTTGCTATCTGCACTAACTAGAAGACGACGCTCCACCAGTCACTCCCCCTCCTGGTGGTAGCAGGTAGGGCAATCTCGTTGTTGCAATCCCGATTCTCCTGCACTGGGACGATTCCTTGCTGATCGGTGCTCTGGTTCGTTGCATCTTGGGGGTTGCTGTGATGGTGAGTCTGCGCGGAGGTGACAGGCGAAGACTGCTTCTGCCCTGGTTCCGCAGTGGCAGCAGGGGCAATGGCGGTGTCAGGGTGATGTCGGTGGTAGACGGGTTGATCAGGACCTGGGAGTGCTTGGGATGGGGATGGCGATCCCACCGCCCTTGCTCTCCGTGTTTGACGTCGTTTGACAGGAGTTGGAATGTGACAGGCTGGGTGTGGAGGGTGGTCGGACCCCTCAGCTGAGTGGACCACCCACAGAGCGGTATTGGGATCGAAGGTAGCGTCGAATTCGAAGGGGATTGTGTCCCGCTGATGGCCAAGCCGCTCAAACCACTCGTCGTTCACCACCTCCATGCCGACGGTGACCAAGTGCCTGGTGGACGACATGATAAACGAGACCGAGACGCATGGTGCCTCATAGGGCTTGGGGCTTCCACTGGCCCGAAAGGAGCTCTCGCCAGGAAGCGTGGCTCGGGAGCCTCCCATGGCTTGATGGGTGATTGCCGAAACAGAAGGAGAGGGGCAAAGGGGCCAAATGGGTGTAAAGGCAGTGGACAATAGGCTTTCTGGAATAACTTGGGGACGGGCAAAAACCAAGATTCAGAGGGAAATGGGCGAACTACCTGTGTAAGTGCAACAGGCACAGCAGGGCCGGGCATTATGTTATGTACTGACGCGAGGGCACTGCGACGGGCACACGCGGACGAGGAGAAGGGCTATGGGGGGAAGGCACATGAGGCATTGGGACGAAAAGGGAGGCGCCATGATCATCCTGGATATACGGGGATCTAGATTGAGGAATGTTGATGCAAGTGGTGATGGAATGTGGACGGGCGTGGTACAGCGAGGGCGGCATGTGAAACGCGTGACGGTGGGTGGACGAGGAGGGCGTTGAGGTGAATGCTTGGAGGGGAAGAGGGAGGGAGAGGGAGAGGGAGAGGGGGAGGGCGCAGGAGGAGGCAACAACTGAGAACAGCCGAGGAGATCCGAGAACGGCGACGCTCATTGGACCATGGACTGTAAAAGTGGGGACTGATAGCGCTAGTGGTCTCAACCCTAGATTAGATTGATTAGATCATCAGATAGCGAGAGAGCAACACGCTGCCCCCGTCTCTGCACCTCTCCTCCCTCCTCTGTGGCTCTCTTGATATAGACAGACAGTCTGGTTTGCTGCTTCTGCGTTTCCCAACAGCAATGTGCCCGGGTTTGGTGGAATGGCCAGTCGTCGGGCACATGGCCAAGACCGGCGTCCTCGATTCTCGATGTACAGCAAGACCCTGCCACGTGACCTCGTATCTGGCTCCATTTTGACTTTTTCCTTGTCAGGCAATTTCTTTTTCACACCCTCTGGCTTTTACAACCATCGACCGAAACAGAAATGCAACTTGACCTTCTGATTAGTGCTGGCCATGCTGGGCTTATATTCTCTTGCATGCCATTCCACCTCCGCCACTGACCCATCCAATAGTGCACCAGCCATTACACACCCCTCACTTTGCCCAGACTTTTGACAGGCGCCATGTTCTAGTCTGCCCTCCTCTCAGCCTGTCAACCGCCGACCTTCATCCCGCCGTCTCCACCATGGTCATCGAGTCTCTCTACCGGCTCAAGTTGATTGGTCTCCGCGGTCTTGCACATGCACCCGGCCACTTTCGCACATCTTAGCCTCCTTTGACCTTGGCCGGCTGCCGTCTTGCCGTGCACTGTGTTATTTGACAGTGGAAAATTTGAGCGAAGCTATCCTGCCGCCCCCGAAGGATGATCTCCTTGAGTGCCCTCTAGAGCTACGCACCGTGTCCGTCCGGCCTCAGGCTGGCCCCAGAGTGGAAAGTTGGAAGGTTGGGGCCAGAATCCCCGCAAAAATTTCCGAGATTGCTATTGGACAGACGCTGTTTGTGTGCGATCGGGAGGAATTCTAGCAAGTTGCAACCAAAAGAAAGGCGAATGGAGAGGGGTTTTTGTTGTCGTCGTACAGAAGCACAGAACAGGAGAGCGAGAAAGAGAATGCTGGAGTGCAACAGAGCGGGGAAAACACCGGTGTGTCTGTGTGAGGGTGGGCAACTGGCTGGCTGTGCGAGCCACAGTGCAGCGGCTGAGCGACCAAGCAAGGATGGCCAGGCGAGCGAGGCAAGCTAGCAACAAGTCCTGCTGAGCGAGTTTCCTCAGGCTGTCTTGGCCCAAGCGCGACTCGGCACACTCTGCATGATCCGCGGCCAGTCACCGGGCTCGACTTCACGCAGCGATCGAGCGGCAGCTGGAAAGTGTGACCGTTGACCCCTTGCAATGCATCGCCGTATCAGGAGAGAGCTGCGAAGGTTGCGACCTTGAGGCCCTTGGGGACCTACTCGTACGCGGAGAGATGGGCAGATTCTATTGAGTTGCTGCTGACACGGCCGGTTTCCCTGACACACAGCAATATCCCAATCCAATCGTTGCCCTTCGATCTCCCAGGCACTTGCCTAATTACTGGCGTTCTGAAGTCAAGGTAGGTGCAGATCGAAGCGAAGGAGCAGGGGCCCCTGGTGTGTGCGCATCGAGATGCCGCATGTGCCGTGCTCCAGTCAGCCAACTAATTAGGCAGGTCCTCGTCGTCGCTTGTCCTCTGCTCTGCTTTGCACGCCCCATCCATCCATCCCTTTTGCTCCTTGCGCGCGGGGTTGGTTACGAGCACTCGCAGGCTTGCATACGAGGGCGTCCATCACTCCAGGAAAAACTCGACTGCCAGACCGACAGGATTAATTGACGCAGTTCGGTTGGCTGTGTCTCTGAACAGAGTTTCTGTCCATCCCCTGACCGTCCCTGGTGTTCTCCATAGGCCAATGCTGGCTCTCTTTCAAGGGGTGTTTCTCAAGTGCAAAAGCATGCATGGTCACGAGTCATGGTGGATTTGCATATTGTTTTGCGGCGGGGAATGCTCCCCCTTTGAGCTTGGATCTTTAGGCTCGGCTACTAACTATTACGTGGTCCAGTTTTCGTCCGGACGGCATACGGGGAATCGCAGGGGGAAGACGGAGTCCTCAGGCGAAACGGCTCCCGCCTATCGACGCTACAAGATAAACAACTGCCCACACGGCCGAGTTGGCTTCGGTTGCAACGACGCTCCGGCTATCTCGCCCTCTGTTAACTGCGAGGGGCCTACAGTCAGGAAATGGAGCCACTCTAGCCGATCTCAATTCAAACCCATTTTGCGGAGAATTAGGGGCAAAGTAGAGGCCAAAAGAAAAAAGCTTGTCCGACAAAGCAGTGAACGCATGATCGACCTACAAACTCGTGCCAACTCCTACGCGTACATGGCCGTGCCCACCAATCCCACCCACTGGTTGCCTGCCGACTTCATCATTGTCATGTTCCGCCCAACCGGTATTGCTCTGCTCTGCCCACCTAGCCACCATTGCTTGGACCCGCCCCTCACTCAGCATCGTCTCCCGGCTCGGCGTCGCTTTCCGACTCAGACTCAGTGACGAATCCGTCCTTTGGCTCAGCGTCAACGACAACTGTATCTTCCGGCACATCAATGCACATCGTGAACTCATCCATAAACGGATTGGCAAACATCTCCACCGTATCGGTAGCAACGGGCTGCCCGTTCCCCAACTCATGGCAGATGATGCCCGCCAGCACATGCTCAGCCATTATAAGGTTGGGCAGCATTCGCTCAGTACCCATCGCCAGTAGCTTCCACCAGCGCTGGTCACCCGGCTCATCCAGTATGTTCACCACTATGGAGGTCAAGGACCTCTCATCTCGTTGGATGTCGAAAAGGGCCCTCGAACGGCGCGGATAAGCCAGGAGGCTCTGATACATGGTGCCGCTCGCGGCGTCCCAGCATTTGCGGAACTCGTCGCTGACCCCGACGACGTCTCGTGCATACTTGTCAAGGTCCCGAGAGCGGGAAAGCTTCACGGTTTTCTCCCAGTACAGGGACAATGTGTCGATGACGCACGTAACATCTCGAGGCTTTTTGGGATCGTTAGCCAATAAGCACACACCAATCGGAGAAAACAAATCGAAAAACTCACAAGGAAGTGCTGCAAAATGTTGCCGTCTTGGCTCGCGCGTGCGCCGGCACCGTCATAGACAACCGCGCAGATGAAGATTCCCTTGGCCGGGTTGTTGTGGATTCTGAGTTGCGTGGGCCACCCTGGGATCGGGAGCGCCGGGACGTAGTACCGGCAGACGTGATCCTCGTGAGACTCTACCCAGCCGTGGAGGTATCCGGCGGGCATCTGGTCGCGGATCTCGACGCGGTTGCGACCGGCGAAGTTGTGACGGTACTCTTCTGCGCTGTAGCGGGCTTGGACTACGCCGGCTCCGAGACGGCGGTACCACGCGTGGATGATGACCAGATCCAACATCGAGGCGGACCGGCCTGGGTAGCACAATTGCGGTGGGGGACCGGGGGGCACCCAAACAGCCGGGGGAGCAAGGTAAGACACGACGGAGCTTACTTGGATGGAGAGGCGTGGAAGTCGCGCCGACTGCAACGCGGTCGCAATCTGGTCTTCCATCTGACCTTGTCGGCACTTGAGGGCGAAGTTCGCCGCGGCCAGGTCACGCGACTGGGCGAGGGCACATTCCAAGCCTCGCTGGTTGGCGGCAAGTTCATGTTGCTGCACCGCCAGGCGGACTTGCAGGACCGAGTTGAGATCGCGCAGTGGCTCAATCTGGTCATGGAGGGTTGCGAGCTGGTCCCTCATCTCGGCGAGCTCTTCTTCGATGGCAGAATCGTGTCCCGCCGTGAGAAGCGGCATGGTATTGACATCTGTCAGCGGCGATCTGGCGACGTGGGCCGGCCGGGGAGACGGCGGAGGGGCCGGGGCCCTGGAGACAAAACCAGAGGGGATTCTCATGGTGATGCAATGTCGATGTGATGTCGATGGGGTTGCAACGTTGCTCGGCTAAGGGGGTGGGTGTGGGTGAGAGGGCAAAGGACTAACGAAGGGAGTATTCACAAGTTATGTCAGGGGAGGATAGTTGTGGAGTTGCAAGTCTCAATGCTTTGGACTCTGAGACTCTGGAGAGAGAGAGAGGAGAGAAGGGAGTCAGGAATGTCGAAGGAAAGGTGCCCTCTCTATATACTCCTCTAAGGGGAAACCTTCTGCCTCGTCTTGCACGTTGCGGCGTCGTCAAACTTGAGGGAGGGAGGGAAAGAAAGGAGGGGAGATGCTGGCTTTGCCCATTGCAGGCGGGCGCTTCATCCCCAAGCTGAGGTGCTGCTTCTCGGATCTCCCAGCCGTATACTCTTGGGAGTTGTGTGTCTCTCCTTAGAGGTCTACCAAAAGTTTGATGCTGCATCTCTCTAGCTCGCTTTGAGGCTCAGGGAATCAGAACCTCGTTGCAAGGACCACCCATGCATAGCATGTGTCGTGCATATGAATTGGATCCAAAAAAGCGATAAAAAGAAATGCAAGTCGGTCATTACAAAGTGGTTTTCTGGGATCCGCACAGGTCCGTGGGGTCTCGCGAGCCTCCAACGCCTCTGATTCGTCGCCAGACAGAATGGCTTTCTGGTTGACACGGCGCATCGTTGCCAGATGCGGATGGGCAGCTTCGCTTGACGCTCCGGAATGGGCAGTGAGGAGGGCCAAAGGTGGGTGGGTTTGGTCGGGCTGAGCTAAGGTCCCCGGGCGTCAATGTGGTGCAGTCGGTGAGCTGGTCCCCAGATCTGAGAGCTCAGGCTCAGGCTCAGGAACAGGCACAAGTGTCTGTTCGGCTAACTCCCACGACCAGGTAGGTCGGTAGGTCGGTAGGTCTATTGATAGCCCAGCATCCAGCACCCAGTCCAGTCACTGAGTACCCACCCACCCACCACCATTATCACCTGCCAAAACTCGACCGAACGACGTCTCTCCTCTCTCGAAGCCGTACACCGCCCAAGCCAACCCCCAGAAAGAATGCCACTAGGTCAAAAGTCTAACGCTGTCGTGTTCGTGTGGTCGTGGTCGTGGTCGTGTCGCAAGGACGGCCGTTTCTGGTAACCTGCTGCGTCCTGCATGCACGGATCCCGGGACCCATTGGCCATGCCTTGGGCCATGCCTTCCATGGAGTCCACAGAGTCCAGAGTTCGCACCCGGGCCTCAGGGTGGTCTGTGCTGGGAATCCCTCCGGCTTTCTCCTGCCTGGAAGGTGGTGTGCGGCTGAGAAGGCGGGCAGATGCCCAGGACGGGACGTCCAGGTGACAGGTGACGGGTGAATGGACAAGCGAGCCATGGCCATCTGGGTGTCTGTGTGTCGATCCATCTCCATGCATCCCTTGGGATGGAATGGACGCCGTCATATGGCTGGCTGGCTTTCTCCGGCGCGCTGAGGGCGGGAAGCAAGGGATTCCGGTGCCAGCTCTTGAAAGGCAGGCAGGCAGGCAGCAGAAAAGCCTCAAAGGGTCAAAGCAGAAAACCGTTTACCTTGGGGGACAGAAGAAGGGAGAAAGAAGAAGCAGACAGTTCGTTCAGCAGCATCAATCCCAAGCGTCATCACTTTCATCCTCAGCACGGTTTGGAGGGGGTGGGCGAAGCGAAGAAATCAAAACAAAAGCCCATATCTCATCCATGCCCGTGTCAATTGCCAGCAGCCCAATAAACCCACGTTGAGACCAATTTCCCGCGCATTCTCCCCCCTGCCCATCCCTGCTGTCATCGACGTGGCATCGCTTCTTGACCAGCCGCCGTCGGTTTCGTTATCGTCAGCCTTATCACTGCCAGTGCCACTTGCAACTGCCACTGCCACGGCCATGGCCAGCGTCATCACCCCCCTCCACACCGATATGGACTCCAACATCGAAAAGGAGCGCAAGGCCCTGGCCGACGAGATCGGCCGGGTGCGCAAGTTCTACAAGGGCACCGGCGCCGACGACGAGCTGTACCTCCGCTTCCTGGCCGCGCACAACAAGCGGCTCAACCTGCTCTCGACGGGGGGGCGGCGCCGCATCCAGGCGCGCTTCCCGGGCTTGAGCATCGAGCAGGCCATGCAGGGCGAGCTGCTGCGCGGCTCCGTCGGCACCGCGCTGGGCATGCTGCACGTCATGGTCTGGTACGCCGCGGCGGCCACCGACGAGGAGCACCAGCTGCGCCGCCTGTACGTCTGGGCCTACCTGCGCCGCTACGGGCTGGTCCTCGCGGGCCTGGGCGTGCTCTCGCGCTTCTCGCTGCGCCTGTCGCACCAGCCGCTCGAGGACAGCCAGAGGCAGTGGGACGAGGCCGTCGACTTCTACGCCTGGTGCGAGGGCGAGGCGCCCAAGTATCGGCCCAAGGAGGATCTCCAAGCGGAGTGAGTAGCGGTCCCATGACTTACCTGAGCGGTCGTCACCGTCTGGTCATTCGAATCCACATGTTGCTAACCGATCCCCGTGCAACAGTCCGGCGGCGGCGGCGGGAGAGAAGAGGCGCCTTGTCGCCCGCCTCCGCGGCCTCCGTCTGCCCAAACCGAAGCTCTCCAAGCTGTTCAGAAAACGAGACAAGTAGGGGCCATGTGCCAAAGGCCCAGAAAAAGCAAGATATCGGAAGAACGGGAAGGGGGGAGGGGAGGGGAGGGGAGGGACCGGTCCCGCCCCAGTCCTTTCCATCATCGTCGTTGTCAAAGTCCATCAGACGCAGGGAGAAGTTGCTTGCGGGAAGGAAAAAAAAAGGGAAGGGGGGGGGGTGGGGGGAACCAGGCGGCGTTTGGAGAGCGGCGACTGCGGCGTGATTTTCCCATCCATTCAGGTCGTTGTAAAAGGGAAAATAGGCGGGGTGGGAGTTGCATGGGGGTTGCGGTTGCGGTTGGGGTCCAGGAACCTGTCTGTATCAACAGCCTCTCATCATCGCAGTTCGTTCAAAAGGGATACTATGGTTGTTGGCTGAGGGAAGGGGAAGGTGGTTGAGTCGCTCACTGCAAACCGTCAGTCAGACAGTCAGTCAGTCAGTCCAGTCATTTAATCGCCGCGTAGCTCAGCTATGATGTTGGAGAGGTTAGTTCCATCATGTCGTGTATTCTATTTCCCACGTTGCTGTGTGTATGTGAGTGATCCTCGCTCCCAAGTCAAACAAGAGACAGGAAAAAAGGATGCAAGCCCTCTGAAGAGCGTTTGCCGCAATGGGCGCCGAGGGCTGTCATGTAATTAGGGCTGGCAGCCCCCCTCCCGCTCTTCTGGCCCTGTCGCCTCCCCCATTGAGACTGGTCACACTCGGAGAGCTGGGATCTTTGGAGATCATTTTGTCCAGGACGCCGGGCAAAGAACCTGTAATAATACGAATTACATAGAAGCCACACCATCCCCGAGTCTTGTCGGAAAAGATAGTGATGTATATATCTATATATCTATATATTACTTGTATCGCCAGCAAGACTCCCCGCCCTCTGGCCAAGCAAGGTCCAACACATTTTGGTGTTGTATCAAAGAAATAGTTCGTTCCCCCATCTCAGGTGAAGCCACCCACCACCACCATCGTCAAACTCATCTCGGTCATGAAATGCGTCAGCGTCCGTCAGTCAGAAAAACAGCACAACAGACCAACAACGCACTCAGTAAATCAAGTTTCGCTGGGTGTTCATGAGCCCAGAGATCGAGAAAGAAAACCGCCGAAACATCCAGGAAACAGCAAGACACATTCCTACCCATATCTATCAATGTCCAGCACGTGTGATCTTTCTGAGATACGAGGAGGAGTCGTCGTCGTCGTCATCATAGTCATCGTCATTATCATCATCATCGTCGTCATTATTCATGCCGCCTTGTGGCTGTCGTGATGGATCTCTGGCCGTGAATTCGGTTGGTGTCATGTCCCTGTCTTTACCTTTTCCCTTCTCTTTTGCCTTCCCTTTCTCCTTTCCCTGGCGCTTCCCCTCTTCCCTTTCGAGGCCCGTGGCTCTCTCCATGTCTGCGGGCAATGTGAGACGTCGTGGTGGTGCTTGCGGTTCAGGAGATGGTGATGGTGACAGTGGTGGTGAGGGCGAGGGTGATATCGATGTTACCACCCTTGTTCTGTGACCAGGTCGCTGTCGTGGCATCACCGTTTCACCGAGAGGACCAGATCCCGATGGCTTTGACGTTGTTCTGTAGGGTTGTAGCTCTGGCGCAACTGCTGGTGAGCTGAAAGGGTGTGGTTCCGAAGGTATTGATATTGGTGTGTATCGGTGTGGCTCTGGTGGGATCGCCATTGGTGCGTGGAGGTGCAGGTCTGGTTGAGCTATCGGCACCCCGTAAGGACTGGATTCCAGTGGCATCGTCATTGGGGTGTATCGATATGGCCCTGGCTGAGTTATGGACGTCCTCTGAGGACTTGATGCCGGTGGCACCGTCATTGGCGTGTATGAATGCAGCTCTGACGAAACTGTCGATGCCCTGTGGGGATGCATCTGCGGTGGCATTGTCGATACTCTATAATACTCTGGCTCTGACACCGCCATCGCACTTTGGGGATGTGGCTTGTGATCTCGCTCCGTTGGCATCCTCGTTGCTTTCACAAGACCTAGTTCTGCTGGCATCTTCACGGCGCTGTGAGGAAACCGTGACGGCGGCGTCACCGTCACAAGCATGGGCTGTTGTGGTGATGGCAGCGCCCTTGTTCTATTAGGATGGGGCAATGATGGCCTTGCGGCTCCGATATCAGCGAGCAGCAGTTGTTGTGGTGACGTTGTTGTCCGGCTAGGAGGTGGAGACGGTGGCCTGGCCGTTCTTAGGTCAGGGCGCAGCGGCGGCAGCAATGTGCTTGCGGGGTCAGGCGGCGGTGATGGTGGCAATGCAATGTCGGGAAGCGGGGGCGGTGGCACTATCGCCGGTCTTTTACGGCGCGGCGGCGGGGCCATTGTCGTTGCTGTGTCAGAAGCGCGTGGTGGTGGTGGCATTGCTGTTGCTGCGTGAGGAGAATACATTGATGGTGGTGTTGTCGATACCATACTCGGACGGGGCGGTGGGGGCAGGGGCGCTGCTGGATCAAAAGGGGACGTTGGCGACCCTGTTGGAGGAAAACATGTTGATGGAGGCACTGTCAATGCTGTGGTAGGAGAATACGGAGATGGCAGCATTGTCACAGCTGTGCTAGGAGGGTATGTTGGCGGCGCCGTCATGGCCGACGGCACATGAGGGGGACATGGTGACGGTGGTACAGTCGTCGCTGTGCTAGGGCCAGGTTGCGGTGGGTGAGCCGGTCGCCCCTGCGATGGCTCGTACCTAGATGTGCGACTCGCGGATTTCGAGCCCAGGTGTTGAACCGCGGCGTCCAAATGACGGACATATTGCACAAGTTGTGGATGGACATCGTCTTGGGGGTCGCCATTGACCCAGGCATCCCAGATCCTGTCCAGTTCAGCATACGAGGCTCGCCATATGCTGTCCTCTTGCTGAACTATTTCTCTCCATCGTCGTTCGTTAGTCCGCAACTGATCCTTCCAGTACCTGCGCACCCTCTCGTGATCCTGTATAATGGAATCCAACGCATGCTGGTACTCGCCTCTCATGGCCGGCGCGCGTCTCCTAAAGTCCCGTTCGCGTTTCTTGAGTTCCCATTTGTCGCGATCTCGCTGGTCGCAGTAGCCTTGGTGCAAGTCCTTGATTTTCTTGTCGAATGATCGAAACGCCCGCCAGCACGACATCGCCAGACGATTATCGGGATGAGGAGCACGCTGGGACCCTCCCCGTGGGCTGCCTCCTTGGTGTTGCCTCTTGGCAGGAGGAGGACCTCCGCTGCCTCCTGGGCTGGGATCCTCGGCGGGACGTTTCCTCCGCCGTGACGTGATTGTCGATGGGCCCGGCGTTGTTTGACTTTCCAGGGATTGGAAGTGACTGTTTGGCAAAGACGTCCAGCGATGATCAGGGGCGCTTGGTGCGGGCATAAACGACTGCTGAGGATGGCTTGTTGGTAGATTGCTCCATTGCCCCTCGTAACTTGGTGTCATCCCAAAGGACTGCTCGGGCTCACCGGAGCTTCCTTGAGCAGCGTTGTAATATTGTGCCTGGCTGGGAATTCCAGGTGACCCGTTGTACGACTGCTCAGCATGGCCGAGACTTCTCGGTGGCAAGGTATGTGGCTGCTGTGCTTGGGGTGGATTTGTGGGTGCCTCTCTATATGAACGTTGAGGTTGAGTAGGGTATCCAGGTGGCACGGTGTACGACAGCTGGGCTTGATTATTACACCCAAGTGGGAGGGCATGCGATTGGGGGACCTGGCCTTCACTTCCCAGCGGTCTGCCAGGTTGTTGCTGAGCTTGAGAGGTACATGCGGAAGCCATTGCCTGCGGCGGTTGTATCTGGTAAGCATGGTTGGGAGCAACAGTATACAGTTGCCGAACATTGCCAAAATCTCTGGATGACACGAGAACAGACTCGGGAGCAGGATGGTAGGGGCATCCCGAGGTCATGCAATGGTCCTCAGCCTGACGTGGCGATACATTGTGGAAAAGGACGTTCGAGGCTCCTGGAGGGACGGTCGGGGGGCTCGCAGGCTGTAGGGGCGGGGGTTGTGCCCATCGCAAATTGGGCACTTCTGGCTCGGTGCTCGCCGACGGCGGTGTGTGCTCACTGTCTGCTGCAGTGGTTACTATCTCCCCAGGCTCGAGAGAGAATTGTACCCTCCGCCTTCTTGGTTTCCTCGTTGACCCCGAAGGAGGAACAAGGTCTAGGGCAGAATTTTGAGGAGTATGACGAGCATTGTGATCCATCAATTGAGGACGATGGCGAATTGGGGGACGGAGCACAAAGACAGAGGGCAGTGAGGCCGAGTTAGAGGAGCCAGGAGGGACGCTTAGCAGCAGTCGGCGCTCCCGCGGGCAGATGCCGATGATTCATGAGGGATTGGGTGCTTTGGATTTTCTGGAGACCAGTTTTCGGGCTTCCTGGCCTACGGTGTGAGGCTGCAGTGTAAAAGTGTGAATATCTGAGGTCGAAGGAGGGAGGGAGGGGCTGAGCGCTGAAAAGTCAAATGGAAAATCCGGGCGATTGACGCGAGGAGACCAGGGCATTCCGAGAAAGGCATAGCTCGACTCAGGTAGTGCAACCCAGGGCGCCTGGTAGGGCCAATAGACCCCGGTAGACTCCGGTTCCGGCTAGACATCACCGCGCTAGAGCCTGGAGCAGCTTAGCTCCGATTACCAAGCACATTATCACCTGAAAGTTACTCGCGAGGACCGCTGGCTCGGGCCCCACCTCCCGCACTAGTGCTAAACTCGAGATCTGCGGGGTAGCCAGCTCAGCCCAACGTCTCGTCACCACCCGCTGCTGCCAACCACCTCCTGTTCTCTTCCTTACTCTCATCTTTAATTTCTCTTCACCCGTTCTCTCTGACCTCCCTAATTCTCCCAATCCCACTTTCGATCCTCTCGTGCCACCATCGACCACTCCTCAGGCCACAGGCTCACGAGTCATGCTTTGGTGAGCTCTAATTCGGCTTTGCCCCTGGGCGAAGTCGGCTTAAGCTCTCCTCCGCAAGGCCTCCTTACTAACTAGCACAGCTCTTCGCTGGCCCAATCAGAAACTAATCTTGCCGCTGTGTCAACACATTCTCCTGCAGCCCGTTACATCTAACGGATCCTCCGCTTCTCGAGACCTGTCCACCAGACCACGAACACATCTCCAGATCTCCCTCTCCTTTTCTAAGCCGGAGTTGGCTTAGACATCACTCGGTTCCTTCAACGGTAGTCTACCCGACATCGGCTGGTGGAGACGTTGATACGTTGATAAGCCCTTTACCGTGTCTAGCGTGTCGAGCCATGCCCTCCCCACAAACCACCTCCGTTCAGCCGGAACTCGAGCCGGATTCCGCTTACTATCGGGTCAAGACCCATCCACGCAATGGCTCCGCAAAATTCGAGATCGTGGGCACACAACGGGGTCTCCCCGCTTGGACGAAGCTATCGAAGTTCAGAAAAATGAGGAAGGGCTTCCTCTGTGTGCGAGTAAATGACCAAATTGTGGTGTACTGGATGGACGACCAGAATACGGCGCAAGAGGCCAAGGCTCTGGTCCTGGAGATCAGAGTACTAAAAGCGGAACGGATCCCAGCTATGGAAGACACCAAAAACATAACACTGTTGCTAGTGGCATGGTTCTACGACGGGGCGGCGGCTGGCAGCCGTTCCTCGCGCTCCCCCAACCTGATCCTTTCGTCTCATATCGATGTAATCTCTATCGACACGGTCAAAAAGGTTATGAGCCGTGAAAAGAAGATCGCCATCCGCGATGTGCTGATCTTCCACACTATGACGAATATTCCGGCCTCGGAGGTGAAGTGGCTTCCTCGCGTGGGAACAGTGTCTCCAATGAAGTCTCCAAAGAAGAAGACAGTTCTTGCGGTAGGAATTCCTCCAAAGTCGGAGGAGTCCCCGCCAGATGACCAGATCCAAGAAGAGTGCGCTCCATCCCTGTTAGACGCAGAAAATGCCAGAAACCGCATCGTCCTATCGAGGCCATATGAAAGAACGCCAACACCGTCACCGTCACCGATGCCAACGCCACCACCGCATGTGTTGGGGTGGGCGAGAACCCCGACGAATTACCATTCATCAGTTGGGCCGGATTCATCAGTTCTGGATTCATCAGTTCTGGATTCATCAGTTCTGGATTCATCAGTTTTGGATTCATCAGTTTTGGATTCATCAGTTTTGGATTCAACAGTTCTGGATTCATCAGATGAGCTGTATTACTCGGCTGAGCCGTCGGCCTCGAAAGAGGGGTCTCCGTCACCCCCGTGATAATCAACTCACGCTCTGTGTCGCCCGAGACGCATCGGGACTTCGACCGGGCATAGGGGAATGGTGCCGCAGTGCCAAGGCAGACTAACAGCACGGGTAAAGGTCTACTGTCATGGGATCCTGACAAGGCTGGGCAAGTTACTATGGAAGAGGTTCAACAAAATTGGTCCAGGAAAGGGCCGTGGGATTGAGGGTTTCCGTTGATACTGATAGATGAAGAGTATATCAATGATTTCAGTCTATATATCTCACTGTAATGATTGTACAATACAAAACCTTCTATCAGCTCTCAAGTCGTCGACGCTCGTTGGTGCATTATTACTCTGCCATGTGTCGCTTGCTTCTGCCGTGAGTTCTGGCGTGTTGCACTTAGAGCAATACTCTGTACATTCTGCGCCACAGCAGCTGCACTGCTGAGTACCACCATACCCCCCGCGAGTGTCTTCTTTCTGCCCAGTCACAGTCACAGTTCCCCAGAAGGACCCCGCCAATGTGTCAATGTGCCACAATGCCGGGTTGAACACTGTCGTGGTAGTTCGGTAGTTTGCAGTGGCATTCCCTGCAGTCACACCTGGTCACCAGGTTCTTGGTAGGGAGGTACTAGAGAAAAGAGGCGGATCGAGGAGAAGAGTTTGACGGCAGCATTGCCAGCTGACTGCCATTTCAGAGTATATGATACCCATTCAATTTACGAGGTACAAGAGGTCGTACTATTCGATTCCCTTAGGTCTCCGCCAATCTGTTTATCATATTCCCCCGTCTCGATCTCCTAGAATTTCAGCAGAGGTTTTGTTCTGCCCCGCAAAATCCTTTATATGCAACTGGCCAGCATTCACTCTGGTTGTTGAGGTGCTTCTATACAAGTCCCCGCGACTACTCGAGGAATACCCCGGAAATCGCAATGGACAACACCACAGTCGAATGGGCACTTGTGCTTCGCGAACCTTTCGTCCAAGCTACGCTTGAAACCAGTCACTGGCTACAATCCAAGAGTCGTGGGGGATCTCTGGCTTCTGTTGTTCAGCATCCTAGCGACCGGCCTTTATGCAGCGCACCGAAGACAACATTGTCGTAGGTGAAGAGTTACATTGGGGCATCTCTGCAGTCATTGTTGTTTGCCTTCACCAGGCCAGGAACAAGCAGCCAGCAATCACCTCGCCAACTGTGCATTATCTCAGCCTGCTCACCAAGGACCCCGGGGACCCGGGGGGGGGGGGGAATGCTATACGCCAAGTAGAATTGGACGAGCACCGACTCCTTATGTTTCTTCTCCGGCTGATCGCCCAACCTTGAGATCCATCTGAGTCCCCGAAAAAGCCTTCTCTTTTGAGCTAACGAGCATTAAACAGGTTCAGGGCTTGATCTCTGACTCCTGTCGCTGCAACATGTCGAGGCGTGTCTATTGTACTGGTATGTATGGATTCTTGCTGCTGACAGTTGCACGGGCGGAAACCCCGTGCAGGCTGTCTGTGCGTTCTTGTCATCACCCCAGCTCTTGCAGTCCCGATTGTTGTTATTCCAAAGGTTGCGGTCGTGGGTTGTGACTCTGCTGGGTTTGCCTTACTCGATTGTTGGATTGTGTCGACTGGTTGGCTGGTGCAAAAAGGTTCTCTTTGCTGTTGCTCGGCACACGATTCAACCAAGGCCAGAAATCGTCTTTTCACTTGACGGCAGCTATGGTTCTGGCAAACCCGGAGATGAGGATTGCTATTTTGTGGTCTGGGCTAGGATAGCTATAGCGCTGCGGCCTCTCTCTTCCTTGTTCAATTCACCATGCCACCCTGATTCTACCTTATTGGGGCGTTCGCGGGAGCGCTGCGCTGCGCTTCGGATTCGCTCTATATCTCTGGTAAGCAAACTCTGGACGCCGCCGCATACTCCTTGACACAGTGGGAGAGGCAACGGAGATGGAACGATTTCGAGGCATCTCGAACAGGGGACGAAGCAAAGGAGCAACGAGACGGGCCGCGGCCGACATCGACTCCCGGACACAGGTCAGCAAAGGGGTAATTTTGCCCCAAGTTGATACCAATCGACGCTTTAGAAGGAATATCTTTCCAATGAAATGCCCCGGAAGCAGCATTGAGTGACTGTTCAGGTCAATCGCAGTCGGTTGGGGCAGTTGAAAGACACTCCAGGTTGCTGTCTCGGCATGTTTGATTGATTGTTTCTTGCGGCGCATTTCGCCCGAAGCGCCGTTTAAGCGCCCGCGCAACACCAGGGACGCAGTCTTCTATAACCTCAACCCATCCCTTGCCACAGGATTTCTTCATGGGCAAACCGCTCCTAGCGAAATGCAACCCCATACTTCTGGCGGCTGGCCTTTGTTGAAGGCAAAATTCCAAGGCGAAGCTCGTCAACAACATGGATGGATGAGCCGCCGCCACATCGTCCACTGAAACCGTCCTCGGCAAGACTCCTACGAGCTCTGAGGATGCTTGCAGGGATCTTTGAAACAGGCATCTGCGGCTGAGGCGGTGCAGGCGCCTTCCTTCCAGAGGTGCTGATGGTCAAAATGACGAGGTAAGTCGTGCATATCATGTATATTCCACCTCACAAGCTTCAAAGTCATTCTGCGCAATGTCGAGTTCCTCTCTGGGCCGTCTCCGACCCGTCGTAGCTGTTGCCGTTTGGTCGTTTTGTTTTCCGCTTTTGCATTTGTCGTTCTCCCTCTTTGGACTCATTAGGCGGCGATTCCTGGAGCAAGGCTTCAGGCTGCAACTGACTCCCAAAAACTATGTCTATACTCCTCTAGAAACGGCGGACCACATCCGTGTCATTGAGCTGATGCCGGCAGACTCAGAAGACGACGAGGTCTGCTGTCGTCTCCATCATATGAATCAGCTTCAGCCTTCCTACTCTTATACCGCCCTCTCTTATGTCTGGGGCGACGACAGTGAGGAGCTGAAGGTCACCATCTCTTGCAATGGACGACAAGCCAGGATAACTCCAAATCTTCACTCAGCGTTCGTCCGGCTGCGCCGTTCCAACAGCAGCAGGTTCCTGTGGGCTGATGCCCTTTGCATTAATCAGGCCCCGACCGCAAAGGACGTGGCGGAGAAGGAACAACAGGTCCGGACGATGGACAGGACGTTTTCGAAGGCGGAGCAAGTGATCATCGACCTCGGATCAAGCGCAGCGCCTGAAGTGCTCTCGATACTGGATCGGTTTCACAGTATTCCCCAAGAAGTGTGGGAAGAAGCACGCTCCGTGGCTCGCAATAACAGTCTCAAGTCCTGCTTGCAAGTGCTCGCAGCTTTTGGCCTTCCCGATGTCCGGGATGCTTTCTGGCCGGAATTCTCCAGATTCATGCAGAGACCGTGGTTTACCAGAGTATGGGTTATCCAGGAGTACACATTGGCTTGTCAGTCGGCCTTTGTTATTGGGAAGGAGATGCGGCCCGGGACATACTTGCCGTGTGGAATAATGCGAGCTCTGTCCTACGCCATGTGGCTCTACCATTTCGATCGCCGAGCTCCGTCAGAGCAAATGCCTAGCCAGGAATTCGCCAGTGTTCTGTGGGACCTGACCGTCCCACATACGGCTGTTCAGCTCATCCAGGAAGCTAGAGATAACCAGCATCAGCGGCTACCCCTATCCACGTTACTGTGGCGCACGAGGCAGTGTCACGCAAAGAAGGCCAGGGATAAAGTTTACGCGATCCTTGCGCTGGTCGACGACGCTCGTGTCCGAGATCAAATACCCATTGACTACCAGAGTGAAGAAATACATCCTGTGGGCCTGCAGGTGGCGAGATATCTCATCGAGGCTGGCAGAGGACCATACGTCTTGTATAACTGTCTAGGCGTGCAGAGCGCGGCGGAGTCATGGGAGGTGCTCCTCACCCGATCGAACCAAGATGCCTTTTCGGATCTCTACGACCCCTCCGATGAAACGGTCCGAACGCTTTACCACGCAAGCAAAGACACGCAGTTCATGTGGGCATGGAAACCGTCGCATGAGGACAGTGTTCCCACGATGATGCAAGATCCAGACCGTGTCAGCTCAATCTTTGTGCGAGGCTGTATCGTTGACGAGATCACTTCCCGAGGCCCTGCCCTCCCGTACCAGGGGACGATAAGCCACGCAGACGTGTCTGCTCAGTCTCATTGGCTTCCCGACAGTTGGGAGTGGATGCAGTCCGTGCAACATCTCCAGGGTCTGCCTCTGAACGAGTTCACCTTGCAATGCTGGCAAACCGCCATTGCCGATCTGATCGTCCCGTCTGAAGGAGAGGGACGCGGATACGTCCGATGTGGGAACGTCAAGATGACGCCGCTCTGCCTGGAAGCCATCGACAACGCTGCGAGGCACGCATCGGCCGAGCGCAGGGGTTCGTTGAGAGACTTCCGACCCACGATGCCGGTAGACGCCGTCTTCCAGACCTACTGCTACATGCTCTCGGAGAGCTTCCGCTATAGTTTTGGCCGGAGGCTGGCCCTGACGGAAAAGATGTGCTTGACGTGCTGTGTTCCGCGGGAGACGGAAGATGCGGACTTGGTTTGCATCCTCCTGGGATGTCCCACGCCGTTTGTGCTTCGACGAGTCCAGAATCATTATCGGATCGTCGGATGCTGCTATGTACATGGGTTCATGGATGGAGAGGCCCTGAAGGCTAGTTTCTGGAAAGAGGAAGACCTTGAGATCCGCTAATCGTGAGAGTTGGTGGCGAAGCTTGTCATTTGCCCTTGTATGGCTGGATGGCTGGTTTGAACTGTACTGATATACATATGTATGAGCAACATGAATTGATCTACGTGTAAAAAATCCATCTTTCGCACTGATAAGTAAGCCGGCGACCTGGGTGGAGGTGTCTACTTCCTTGAGAGATCGCGGAGGGCTACTCGCGCATGGGATGTGGCGGTGTAACAACCACCACAGGCCATGCCCGTACCCAACACTGGTTTTCGCCTATCTCGCAGAGCAGATGCGATATGTAGGCGGAAAGGCTGGGCAAAGCTGCTGTGTTGCAGCATCCAGAAACCTGACCCCTGCAGCCCACCGACGTCATCGACAAGCTCTGCGCCACACGAATCCAAGGCGATGTTTCCCCCTCCCTCCATCCAACCATCGTCACCACAAGGTGCAGATCCCTGCTTGGTGCCTGCCTTTTGCGCATGGCAAAAAAGGCTATGATGTCGATGGTCGCCCGACCTGACTGTCTCTCGATCCATATCTTCTCTACGATACCTCTACACTCTCCCATCGCTCTACAAACCACCGTGAAAACGCAATGGCGGACGACAACAAGGAAAACAGAATAGAGATGAACGAAAACGCGGAGAACATTCCCCCCGAGGGCGTAGAGGGCCAAGGAGGAGTCCAGAAAGGCAAGACTGGTGAGTGGTCCTCCCCAACAAGGGTGGTCTAGACAGACAGACGGATGGACGCTGACCATCATGGGTTTGATTGCAGCGGGCGGCTCGTGGCTGTCCAAGCCCGAAGAGTTTGGCAACAATGCGGGCGCCAAGATCGAGGACACGCTGTCTCCTGTCGGCAACGTCACGGGCAAAGCGTTCGAGGCATTAGGGCGTCCCATCCACGGCGTCGTCGATCCCGCCGTAGGCGGCGTCATGCGAATGGGCAAAGGCTGGGGAGAACAGCTCGGAGTCGGCTATGGGAACCACGAAGGTGGCCCTGCCAAACAAGAGGAGGCCGAGGGACAAAGAATGAAAGAACCCTTTGGAGGCAAGAAGCAGAATGCAGATAACCCATTGGGGCTGTGAACTCCCACCCGATACCCGCCTTCACCATCAAGAAGAGAGATGAGTCTGCGATTGCGGTCAGGCGACCGGATGGATGATCAGAAGAGGTGGACTGGTGACGGAGTGCACACATTTATATGAATATAGGGAGTCATCGTCGATGCTCGTCGAAAGAGGAGGAACAACCATCGCTGTCAGCGGTTTCGCGGTGTGTGGTGTCGCTCATTTTCCTGTGGTGGCTCCAATGCTGGAGGACAGTGTTGGAATTGGGATGTCCACATGTTTGTACCAGAATCCGAGATATGTGACTTGGCCATATGTAGGGAGGAATGTGATCCATTAGTCTTACCTTTTTCCACTCTCAATACCTCTTTGAAATGTCGCAGTAACGCCTATTAATTAGTGCACTGAGCGCCGGTTTCCGGCATCAAACCTTTCTTTACCTGTTCCGTCCTCGAGCCGAGGCCTTTGGGTGCGTCTGTTGGAGAAAGTCGGTCTTTTTGCAGCGAAGAGGTGAGGAGAATTGGCGCCAAGAAACACATTGGAACGCATCCGATGTGACTCCTGGGCCACATATATAGACAACTCGACGCTCGTGCCGCCACGCTCCTTTGCAATTTACTTCCTATACCCGAGCCGTTGGCGAGTTCGTCTTGCGTGACACACAGGGAGAGTTTGACCCTCTGGAGCACCCGGTTCATTGCTTTGTAGGTCACCTGCTGCGGAAGTTCTTCACCTAGGTACATCACCCGAGGCAGCCACCCCAGAGCTGTTGTTCCCTCGAGCCCCAACCGTCGCAGAGGAAACCCAAGGCCCCAGGGTCAATGAGAGGAAGATAGATACAAGACAAGCGAACAAGAGATAACAAAAAAAGAGAAGCAGACAACAAGACCGGTCGGGAGGAAACAATGGACTACACCTTTCCCAAACCACCACGCTCGTTAGCCGGCAAGGTGGCCATCATCACGGGCGCGGGCGCCCACGGCGACGGGATCGGCAACGGCCGTGCGTCGGCGATCCTGCTCGCGGACGAAGGGTGCCGGGTGGTCTGCGTGGACCGCGACGTGGCGCTGGCGCAGCGGACGGTCGAGATGATCGCGGCCGAGGGCCACGAGGGCGCCGCGGTGGCCGTGCAGGCCGACGTGACGGACGAGGCGCAGTGCCAGGGCGTCGTGCAGCGCGCGCTCGACACGTTCGGCCGGCTGGACATCCTGTTCAACTGCGTGGGCATCGGCGGGGCCGCGGGCACGGCGGTCGAGGTGGACATGGCGGCCTGGGCCAAGTCGATGGAGGTCAACGTCGGCAGCATGGTCATGATGGCCAAGTACGCCATCCCGGCGATGGCCCGCAACGACGACGCCTGGGGCTACCGCGGCAGCATCATCAACATGGGCAGCGTCGCCGGCCTGCGCGGTGGGACGCCACACCTGCTTTATCCCACCAGCAAGGGGGCCGTCGTCAACATGACCCGGGCCATGGCCGCCCACCACGCCCCCCAGGGCATCCGCGTCAACTGCGTCTGCCCCGGCATGGTCTATACCCCGATGATGTACGCCGGCGGCATGACCGACGAGGCCCGCGAGGCCCGCAAGAACCGCAGCCTGCTCAAGACCGAGGGCAACGGCTGGGACGTCGGCTGTGCCGTCCGCTTCCTGGCAGGGCCCGAGGCCAGATGGATCACGGGCTTGATATTGCCCATCGACGCAGGCGCCACGGCCGCGGTGGGCACAGACATTCCCCGGTCGGCCAGTGTCAACGGTTGAAAACCAAAGGGCAAGGCAAAAGCAATGTTGGTTTCCGACGACAGTGCTCGGTCTGGGATGGAGTGACGAGTTCCCTCAAAGAGGGCGGAAGAGCGATCGAAGAGCTGGTCAAAAAGCCCGAAAATTCTCTGTTCCTTTTCTTGCATCTAGAATGCGTGTTCCTACCTAGCTACACATTCCGACGCTGTGCTGTCGCAGGCCGATTGATCCTGGCACTGGCCCATTATTTTCCATATCCTTGATTTACGCCCTCAGACATTCCAACGCTGAAAACGATCAAAAACAATCACAGGAAAGTCGTTACGGGGCAAATTGCTTTCGTCACATGCCAGCTTCCATTCGCCTCTTCTGGTGTGCTCTCCCCATCTCCCTCGACCTCTCCCTCTTTCGGTCCGTCTTCCTCTTCTTGTCTCGCGCTGCCTTTTCCGGATCGGCCACACGCTCAATTCGTCGTTTGGTTCTACGCTCTTCCCTCCTCTCGCGCATGATCTTGCTTACTTCTGTCACTGCCTTGACGTACTCGGCGTCTCCGAGCTTCTTCTGCAGCTTCTCCATAACTTCATGAGCGAGCTCGATGAGAGTCTGGTACGTGGCACCAAAGGTCGGGTCCGCGGAGTGGGGGGCATTCGTGTTGGTGTCAGTCATATGCTGGAGCGGCAACAGGATGGCATTGACCTGCGCATTGGGCAGGTTGGGCATGGAAAGAACAGGGATAAGATTTGAGAGGAGTCGAAGCGATGACTTCTTTGGATGTAGCCCCGCAGATGTCTGTGTAGTCGTTTCTGTACGGATAGTGCGTGCGAGTTGATCGAGGAGGTATTGGGTGGCTGGGATCCTTGTGCTCTTCCCTTCGGCACTAACATCATCTTCTAAATCGCTCTCCTCAGACTTCTCGGGCTCTTGCGCCTCGCTTGGCTTCTGGTTAACCTCGATCGACAGCGAGTTTTCGTTCACGCATTGACCCAGAAATAAAAGAATCTGCTCCATTTGTGTGCTGAGATCATCGTTCCCGGTTGTACGCCGCAAGATTCGAGAAGAGGTTTTCAAGATGCCGAGCAACTCTTTGGAACCCAAAGAAAGGCCATGATCACAGGCCAGCGGAAGCTTTGAGCGGTCTGCCGAGACACAATGGCTGAAGAATTGAATGATCAAGCTGGCCGATGTGCTTTGTATCCATGCATTGGAATGGACTAGAGATGACCACACGTGCGACCACAGAGGAGCCTGCTTCTGGGTCAATACTGTAGCTGGCAGCGATCCCACCAGCTTCGACAGTAGGAGTAACGATTGGAACCGGAGTTCCCAATCGTCCTCGTCGGTCGTTTTTGTGGCCTCAAGGGTTTTGGCAATGTTGCTCCGCATCTGGTCAAGTTCGTCCTCGGTGAAAGAGATGTCCGTGTTTAAGAGGACGGCGTATGCCTGCATGCTGAGTCTCTTTAACTTGCTGTTATCCGCTTGCTCGATCCAGTTGTCGAGAAGTTCGAAGACATCGTCCAGGCGGCTTCGATCTGCTAGGGCGAAAAGCCGAGACAGGAGGACTCCAGCAAGCTGTCGACAGCCTTCATTGTCATCATTGACCATTTGAAGGAGTATGGGAATGAAGAACGCGTGTATAAGTTCCTGTGCCGGTTCTCCTTTCATCTTCTCGATCAAGGTATTGATGGCTTCCATGACAGATTGCCTGCCCTCAGGGTGCTCATATTCGAGATTCGTCATCAGGAATCTCTGTTGTTTCGACCATCTTGAAGAGCTTTGGGGATAGTCAAGCAGAAAATGGACGTAAAGCCCCCTTGCCACATCTCGTGCCCCCTTTGTCTGATTTGTCACCATCATGGCTCCAATCTTGTCAGCGAGATCGTAAAGCTCCGGCAGCTGTATATTCCTTCCCATGACTGCTCGGATGAAGTTGAACGTCACTCCTTGCCGGTCGGGTGCTTCAATATCTGGAGCAACGCGGTGGAGAAGCTCGGCAATGTCTGATTCTTTGACCGCGACACTCTTGCGTTCACGCAGAATCGCAGCTATTAGTTTCAACGCAGCCTGCGCCCCTTCCTCGTTGGTGCTTGATGAGTTTCTCACGATCTTGACAGCCTCGCTAACGTACAAGGGCGAGTCTTGCTCAAGTTCAGTCATTGGCAGTTTTGTAATGGTAGATAATAAACGCAATGCGGAAATCTTCACATCCTCTTGGCCTCCGACCAAAGCGTCTCCGATAACGGGAAGGAAGCCGTGCACGTTCTCGGCAGTAAGGACTTCTGGATATCTCTGGAAAGTAGACCTTGCCAAGTCCAAAGCGAACTTAGCTAATTTGTATAACAAGGCTGAATTTTGGGTCAGAGTGATTTTGCTCGCCGACGACAGACTGACGAGATATCTCTGCCGATTCTTCTCGTCGTTGGTAGGCGTTTGGACTTGCGTGGTGTTTTTCTGTTGGTAGAGCGATTGAATCAACTGGTATGCGAATGTCAAGACGTCTCGCTGACCAGCTGACTGATTTTGTGACAAACCGCTGCCGATCCTCCGGAGAAGCTCGTCAACTTGTCGGACTTGCTTGGCCGATAGCGTGCCAGACAGAATGGTCTGAATTGGTGCCACAAGCTTTGAGGCAGACAGCACGCTTATTGAACGTGCCAGGAGCTCCATTGAATCAAAGCTTTTGCTGCTCTTGACCTCCTTCATGCTGCTGATATAGTCTTGATTGTCCTTTTCTTGGCCCACAGCACCGAAAATGTCATCCATTATAACAGAGACAAGCTCATCGCAGCAATAATCCAGATCACCGTGCTCGATTTGAGAGACCAGAGCTACCAGAATTGCATGGAGGGTGTAGGACACGACATGCAACTGATACCCTCTGGTGAGAGCTGTGCGCATTTCCCTAAGCACGAATTGCAGACTGCCGGGACCGAGCATGAGAACGATTTCGCAAAGAGCTTTGCGCGCGGCATCCCGGGATTCTTGAGCTCTGCTTCTGAGGATCTGCGCGATATCGAGGGTTACTGGCGCAGCGAGGACTGGGATCTCGTGTAATGGCAGCAGAGTGATAAGCTTGATCGCGACCACCGCGACGGGTAGACGCGTACTTATCTCGGTCTCGTCTTTGTAATGGACAAGTTCGGCAAGTTTGGGTATGTAGTGAAGCCTCAATTCCTCTCCCACTGCGGCTTTTTCCGGAAGCGACACTGCGAGCTGTGGTATCGGTTGGTCTTGTTCTGTTTCGGATTTTTCAGAACGGTGGCTGCTCGCGGATATCAATGCATCAGCAGCACACGAGAGAAGTCGATTGGTCGCCTTTTGGTTCTCCCTGGTTACGTCGAGGTCATTCTTGTACCTGCGGAACAGTATCTTGAAGTTTTTCCAGTCAATCCATTGAAGAAGAGTGCCTATTGCAGTGATGCTCTCGCCTTTAGCGCTTTGCACCGACTCATCCGTGCTTGAGTCATGGGCGAACATCTTCAACAAAGGGATGAAAATCTCCACAATGTTGGCGGCGTTGATCGACCCTTTCTCGACCTCGGAGACAAGGCGTCGAATGGCTCGAAGACGACGGTGTTTTTGGATATGCAAAATGTTCGAGAAGAATGACGCTTCTTCATCATTCCCAACCAGGAGGGGTGTCATGTTCGTCAAATCCTTGTCACCGCGTGCATGCTGCACGAGAAGGCCCAGGACAGTGACGAAATCTGCCCTGACGAGCTCCGATTCATGTCTCAGGCATTTCTTGGTTACAGGAAGGACAGTGCTCACGATCGAGTCGTTCAAGTCGGAGCTCTCGGATTCACAGGATTTGATAATTACCTGTTTAAGACATTCCAAAGCATTTGACCGTATCGTCAAATCGTCACTGGATCGGACGAAGAACAGCAAGTTGTAAATGATGGGCTGATACATTGAACCGTTGCCGTTGAACTTCAGGGTCTGGATTGATTGAAAAGCCTGTAGCCGTCTATCGTAATCAATCATTTCGAGTCGTTCTGAGGACATGGCATTGAGGTCTGAGCATAACCGCGCGATCCGAGCTAGATCTTCGTCTGAAGTAGCCAGTCTTTCCAAGACGTCGCATAGTAATTGACGGTTAGCTCGGTCCCTGAAGAAATTGAACAAAGACGAAATCAAGGCTAGAAGTTGCAGGTGTGAACTTTGATCCAAAGTGGCATCGACAGCCAGAAAACTCTGGACCGAAAGGAGAAGCTGACTTCTGACAATTGGAGGTATCTTGAGCCCATCATCACCAAGAAGAGTCGTCAACAACCTGACAATGGACTGCCGAGACTGTGGAGACTCCACAAATAGGGCGACCTTGGGCAGGATGATTGTTATTGCAGCAAGAATCGGCCTGGGAGGTGTCCGCTCGAGCATAGCTGCGAGAGCCGTCAATAGGCCATCTGACTCGATTTTGAGAAGGTCACGAGCTTTGTTTGGCATAGGGGATCCATCTTCAGACAGGGTAGCCCACGGCAAGACAACCTCGTTGAGTATGAACAGCTTCACTGAGTCTGGCGTGGAATCCGCGGTTAGAGCCTGCCACATGACTCCTGGAACTCGCCCATCGTACTCGCCCAAATAGCCAATGTAATCAGAAGAATGAGCCCAAGACGCAAACAGACGTAGCAATCCAGAAATACCCTGGCTCGTCTCTGAAGCGAATATGTCGAGCCGCGGACTTATTGCATCAGCAAAGAGACTGCGAAGGTATGCAGGCCAGTCGACGCCCTGGCAATGTTCAAAGAGAAGGACGAGACATTGGAAGCCGGTTCGCCGTATACTCCTTGATAATGCCCCTGTACCGGTCTGCTTGACCGCATTTTGACCTTGATGAGAAGCTTTGGCGACGCAAAAGACAACTGCGTCGACAACCTGTTCGCCGTAGGGAGCAAATCGGCTCTGGAATGTCTCCAGCATTGACAACAATAATCGGAGAAATCCATATTGCTGGTCCTCCGGGATATATGCTTGGTCGAGGCTCGCGAGATTCGGAGCGGTTGCTTGAACCTTGACATCTTTCAATTTGCCAAGAGCAATGTCAAGGAACAATGAGACTTCGCTCTCAGGTAATCGAAGGAGAATACGCAACAACGATTTCCTCCTAGCGTCTTGAGACCCGAACGTCCCTGATCGGCCCACAATTACACCAAAGACAAGCCTGAGGGCAACAGGAAGGACAGTGCTCCGATCCACTGATCGGACAGAACTCTCTCCCTCGTCAGTGGTCAGCCATTTACTTATGGCGGATGCGTCCAATTTCCCATCGGCTAATTGGAGTAGTATTGGCTGGTAACCGCCGGGAACCGAATCTTTCCAGGTCAAGATTGCTTGAAGAGCGAGCTTTCGGATGTCCTCGTTCCCATTGCTCAAAAGATCGATGAGTTTTTCGTAGACTTCGGAAGATCTGTAGAGGACACTAGGGTTCTGGAATTGGCCGAACAGGGCCAACATCGCCTTCCTGTCTCTCAGAGACCATTCGTGGTCATCAAGATCAGGACTCAACGTGTGCGATGACGCAGAAGCGTCCGAGCTAGGCTTTGGTTGTAGTTGAGCGCGGCTGAAAGGCGCAGCGAGGAAGATAGGAACCCATGAACGAGACCGGCGCTCGGCTGAGCCTGGCATCACGGATAATACCTGGAGAGCTAGTGATCGAGCTCCCTGAGGCGTTCTTGATGGACTCTCTAGCCGGTGTTCGTCTTCAATCATGGTGCGGAATCTGTCGGTGGAGTTTTCGAAATCGTCTGAGACTGATGAGGACAAGGAGTCGAGATGCGCAAGCATTGGACATTCAAAGGAAGACAGTGTCGACTTTGCCACCTGTGAATCTTCTTGAGGCGATTGTATCAAATCTGCGGGTGACTGAAGCCACTGCACGGCAAGGTTGACTATGGTTTCTTCGGACGGTGTCGTCTGCACCATTTGAGAGAGAAAGTTGCAAACTTCCAATCTTGTTTGGTCATGGTAACAGGGCATCAAGCCAAATAAGAAAAACGGGATCAGATCCTGGAACGAAGAGCCTTCTGGTATATGTTTTTGTTGGTGCAGAATCCGCCTCAGTAAGAACGCAATCTTTCGGGCGTGGGCAGGAGTGTATGGAGTGTTAAGAATTTCCAGAACCAGGCGAATGGTTTCTGCAAGCCACATCATGGTATCCCGCCCACCGAGGGCAAGGAGCAATTCCGCAGACCCTTTCTTCAAGCTGGGGGACGTTGACAATAGATTCTGCATGAGGGTGTAGCGGACGTTGTCGAAGAGGCTTGACTCTACCCCGTCAACTGCAGCAACTTTCCGAAGCAGACGGCCGATCGCATGCACAAAAGCCGGTAGGTGGAAAACAATCGCAGGCATTTTTGGAATAAGTGAAGCAAGGTCTTTGAGCCTCTGGTCATCAGAGGGTGCGATTTCGACGTAGGTGTCAAAGCCCCAGCCCAAAACTGTGCGCTGACGAAGGTCAAGATCGCTCCTGATGTCTTCCAAGACGTGGATGAGCAGATTGTGAAAGGCATCAAGGGATCTAGCAGTATCCTTGGAACTTCCGAGAAGGAGAGCAGCCTTGGAGAAGCGAAGCCGCCCAGCAAGTTGTTCTATTGTAGATGCATCCTCATCTTCCTTCATCGGTAGCTGATTCAGGATGAAATCTCCAAAGTCCGCAGGACAGTTTATTGACCGGGCATCTGCAGACTCACCGAAGCCGATCTTATTCTGTTGTAGTCTCTCCAGCATGTAGTAAAGACTCACCTCATCATCAGACCAGTGTTCCCAAATGTATTTCTGGAGTCTTGGAAGGACAAGTTCAATGAACCTGTCCCTGCCAAGCTCCGCACAAGCAGTGGCGAAGGCATAGAACTCGCGCGGCGAAAAGTGCTCCTCAGCCGAGTCCAACACATTCTGGCACAACTCTGCTGGAGTATGAAGTGCTGGTCGCGGATACACCTGTGGCGACGACGCATATTGAACTATCGTGGCAATGATGATTGCGAGACGCGAATTGAGGTGCATTCTGTTCTCATTGAGACGCCATGCGGCTGCAGCTACCCCTTGAAAGGCCTCGATGCAGATCTTCCATGCACTAATACTCGATCCTCCCTGGGTCCCTATGACAACCAAGAAAAGCCTGAGAGCGAAAGACAACTGGCTGGCCTCCTCGGAAGCCATAGAGCTCTCAAGAGTATCCAGGACGACCCCCAGGACCGGGAGAATTGTTTCGGCATTTGTCTCATGGAGGAGGGCAACCAGAACACCGTCCACGGTTGACTGAACTTGGGGTTGTTGACTCATAGGGAGAGCGCAGTCCAGTAGACACTGTACCAGGGATGCAGCACACGAATGCAACTGTGGTTCAACCCCGCGGGCACTCTCGACGCACAGACTCATGACGCCGAGTTGATATGGACTGATGGCTGCGGCACCGTCTTGCTGCGGAAATCCCTTCAAAAGATGCTTGAGAGCGAGACGCAGGGGTGCCTTGTCTGAGGGAAACTGCATGGCGGCTTTCCTCAGCAAAAACGCAAGCGATTCTGCGCTGAACCGAACGACGTAGTCTTTCTTGGAGGATAGGTAGGGCATCATGACATCGAGCAGGCGTCGTAGATCTTGCACCAGCATTCTGGATAGGTATTTGAAAATGTACGCAAGACAGTTGAAACACCATTCAACCACCTCAGTCTTATCATCAGTGGCAGCAATCTGCGCAACCAGTTGTACAGCTTTTGGGAAGTATGGTTCAAAACCATGATCGAGATCATGGGCAAGTTGGGCAAGGAGACTGAGTAGAGGTTCGAGAGCGAGTTCGTCTCGCTTTTCGATGTGTTCGACGAGGAGCTCGAAGATGGTGTCTGCGTGGTGAAGCAGCAGGGGTAGATTTTCGCAAAGTGGACTCGCCTGGGTGAGGAAGCTGGTGAATGTTGCGGACAAGTTCAATTCCATCCACCCTTCCAAAGAGGTGTGGAAAAAGCTTTGTAGATCGTCTCCGTCATTGTTTGAAGGCCTGACTCTTGACACGGTATGAACAGGGTCAATCCTCAACTGTGCTATTCGCTTTGTAAAAGGCTCGAAGCGGTGTCGTTTCGTCGAAACGGTGGCTTTCTTCGCCCGGCGCGAGGTGCCGAGACGGTAGCCCGGAGATATGGCAGCCATGGTCGAAATTGCACCATCAAAGGCCGAATAGAACTGCTCGACACCACATGGACAAGGCGTGAAGGCTGGGTCGAAGCAAAAGCGGTGCGAAAGCGGCGAGGCTGGCTCGCTGTACTGCTGCACAGCAGAGACGAGGTTTGACTGCGTTTTTTGGGTTCAAGGGTGGGAATCGAAAAAATTCCCCCGCATTCTGCGTGTGCGGTGAAATGTGTCACCGTATCAAGTCCATCGGAGCATTTGCAGCATGAACCACATAAAACTTCACTCCTCAGTTCTGTCACTGCGAGCCTTGCTATTACTTGGACCGAAGTCATTCACTCTCAGTCTTTGTCTTCCTACAAAACCCCATCATATTCACTCCCGTGTCTTAGGTGCTCATGACAGCATGAGAAACTGGTGGCCTTTTCAACCTCACACAAATGCCAAAGCACGCTTAGACAGCTGAGCGGAACCGGTCCTTTCTCTCTCGTCCTTTGAATCTCCCACCTCACGCTTCTCCAGAGCCACCATGGGGACTGCAAAGATGTGAGTCTACGGTGAAGTGAAATTGTATTAGTATCATCACTGACCCAGCCAGCCTTGTTGTCGGCAGCATCCAAGGTCAACTAAAGAAGGCTTTCGACAAGATATCGAAACTGCAAGCCAAACACAACTTCTCGTTGGCCATTGTCGTCGGCGATCTTCTGGGCCTCTCTGACGATGAAAGCAATTCAAAGGAACTGGAGGCGCTGCTCAACGGTCAGATCGAAGTACCTCTCCCGACGTATTTCACGGTTGGCGACTCGCCTTTCCCAGGATCCGTCAAAGCAAAGCTCGAAGACGGCGATCTGTGTTCGAATCTTTTCTATCTAGGCCGCAAAGGGACCGTGACCACTACGGAAGGCGTGAGAATCGTGTCACTCGGAGGGCGATTAGTACAGAACGAAGCGTCGCTCACTGAGAAGCTTGGCCCTTACGACCCATGGTATCTCGACAGCGAGTCAAGAGGACTGCACGGCGCTCATTCCGCACACATTCTCGTTACAAATCAGTGGCCGGCAAACATCACCAATGGGTCCAAGATCGAGTTGCCGGAGGGTGTGGATGGGACGTCTGGCACTCAATCTATCGCCAACCTCTGTCAAGCACTCAAGCCATGGTATCATTTCTGCAGCAGTCCAAGTGCCCTGTGGGAGCGAGAGCCCTTCAAGCATGTGGTCGAGTACACTTCGTTCGATCAACCGAGCGTCACTAGATTTAAAAGTCTGCCGGGCGTGTCCGCACCCACGAAAGAGTGGATGTCGGCGTTTACGCTGGACACCTCGCGTCCTCCACCTACGATGATTTCTCCGCTTGACTCACCCTTCATCAGATCTTCACCGCCAAGGAAGCGACAAGCCATCGACGACAGAGCACCATATCGGGGCGGGGCAGATGAAGGCTATGGTTCATACAATCGCAAGCGTGCTCGGAGAGGACCACGTGGCGACCCTAATGACTGTTTCATGTGTCTCAACAAGCCAGGCACCAAGACTCACCTTGTCGTGTCTCTAGGGGACGAAAGTATGGCAACAGTCACGAGGGGCCCCTTACCGTTGCCATCGACATTTCCGCAGCTGTCCTTTACCGGCCACGTCATGATTATCCCATACTACCACGCAGCAGACGAGTTGGCGCACGGAAAGAGATCACCCGACGAATTAGCCGCCGAATTCAAGGAAATGAACAGATTCCGAAAGGCCCTGAGTGTCATGGTGGGGGCGAAGAGCCACGGTCAGCTAGGCACGGTGTGCTGGGAAGTCAACCGGACCGGCATCCGGCATTTCCACTGGCAACTCGTTGCCTGCCCGGTCGACCGCATCAAGACGGGGATGGTTGAGGCCGCGTTCAAGGTGAAGGCATCGCAGTACGAGTACCCGGACTTCCAATCCTGTGCTGCCGACGCCCAGCTTCCACAACGATCGGATTACTTCCGAGTGTGGACGTGGCTGGCCGATCCCGTGCAGTTGGCCGACCATGCCAACGGCAACGCCAACGAGGGCGACGACGTGGGCGTGGCCAAATCCCTATTCTTTTCGTTGCCCACAAATCAAAAGTTCAACATCTGGTTCGGGAGAGAAGTGATGGCCGGCCTGCTACAACTGGAAAACCGGGTCAATTGGATGGACTCGATCCTGTCCAAGGACGGGAGCGACCAGGCCGCCGAGGAAGAGGACGCAGAGGGTCTACGAGCTGATTTCGAGGAGTTTGATTTTGCGATGAAATGAAAGGACCTGCACGGAGCAGAGGCTCTAGATACGGTCTTGCATGTGGATCGGAGCTGGTTTGGACTCCAGGATTGGATGACGATATTTATCATTTTGAGATACCCTTCAAGGCGTTCAAGGCTCAGGTTTGGTAATTCTTTGGGGGCGAGTCGACAGTGGCGTGGCGCAAGCAGGGCACTGGTCGCGGCCAGGTCTCTCCACCTGCGACGTGACAGGCTCGCTTGGCCTCGCACAGTTTCAGTTCTGAGTTTTTGGGGTTTGCTTTCTACAACAACTAGATCCTGTGCTTCAGAACCAGTTGAACGTGGCCTGCTGGATCTACATCTGGAACTAGATCAGGATAGAGGAATGAATACTCGATACCTCTGCAAATGATTTCCGACACGATGACCTGATCTGTGCCGTGCTAACATTCTCCGCCTTTCTGAAGAAGCCGATTACCTCGCCCATTCAGCTCTTTGAACATCGATGGTATTCTAACGAGCACAACCAGCAGTGACTGACGAGATGTCCTAGATCCATATCCCACAATGGCCATTCTGCCGGCGCGTGTTTCCCCCCTTCGAGGACCATCAATTCCAACGAGGCTTCCCACCCGCAGCTAGCACCCTACCTACAGACAGCCGCAGTCGCGTTCTCGAAGACCAAAATCCTCAATCCTACATCGCGCGAGAGGGAAAACCTGATGAATCGACAAGGGTCACTGTCACTCCGTGGCGAGGGGAAAACCGAATGGGTCGAAGAACCGAGGACTCCGTATACCAGCTTAGAATAAGGACAGGACCCAGAACGTGCAACATACAACCTGCTGCAAGCGCAGAGGTATTCTCGCGACAGCCACCTGCCTGTCTGTGTGCCCGATCCAACATGCTCCGAGAACGGTTGGATGGGGGTTGAAGGATGGACCGACGAGATGAGACGAAGACGGTTGTCTTCAAAGAAGCAAAAGTGATGCAACTGGACAGACACCATACTGGACCACGAGAGCGGTGCTCAAGGTTGGTCCCGGGGGTACAGGAGCCAATCAAAGAGTTATGGTCCATGTCACAGAGCGAAAACGAGTGATTGTGCTCAGATAGAAAGATAAACGTCTACCGGAAATGAATATTACATTGCTGGCCTTCCTTGGGCCGGCTCCAGGCTTATCCTGCCGTGATGGATGAGATCCTGGCAAATAATATCGGACTGCTATTCCAAAACGTGTGCCTTGCCTTTGAAAGGCCTCGCAGTAAAAAACCCAGACATTCAATTGAAAGTGCCGCCACGCATCCTCATATTCCAGTTCTCATGCATGTCCCAGTGGCTGAACCTGTCTAGATGGCAAACGCCAGACACCATCACCAAACATTCAAGGGCTGCTCTATGGTCGTACATTGCCACTTAAATCGTCAAAAGTTGCCGCAAATCACCCAGTGTCGCTGGTATCCGTCAAGATAATGACGATATGTACAAGAGAATCGAAATCGGAAACAGCAAAAGACGCCGATGTCCGGAGCTGTAGGGGTATCAAAGAGCCAGAAACGCTCTGCTCATCCATCATTCAAGACCAACAAGCGGCAAGACGCATACCGCAAAAACACGATTCGTTTCGAAGAGAAAGGACAATATGGATCACCAGGAAGGCTCATGAGATTCGGAAGCCGTTCTTTGTAACGTCGGGAACCCAGCAGTGGGGCGAAGAGATTGTCGTCGTATCGTGGACATCATGTTAGGGAGATCAGACTGTCCTTTCAGCCCACTTTCCATGAAACCTCGCCGCACTCTGATCTGGCAGCGCTGAATTTTTCGACCCGGTCGGTCATCCACCCAGAGGTGTACTCGTCTTTCGAGTCGACCGGCCGACCCATCTTGATAGAATGGCTGAGTTTGCAGGTTCCAGGATGCCACGCAAACTGCATACATTGCCTGTCCTTCTGACAAACCTCGCGACAATCTTCGATGGATTCCACGGATTTCTTCTCGAGCTCGGAAAGATCATCCCACATCTGTTGTTTCTCCTCGTCATTTTTCCAGTCCCAGTCGTTGTCTTCTTTTACGTGGTCCTCTTTAGGTTGCGTAAAAGTCTTGTCCCCAGAAAGGTTGTTCCAGTCTTTCTTGTGCTCAGTGATGTGGGGGCGGACAAAATCTTCAAAGACGTCCTTGTACAGGTATGGGACTGCACCAGGGTCTTCGTCGTCCCAGGTTTTATTGATCCAGTCCTTCTCAAACTGCCAGAGCGCTTCCACCTCGTAAGAATGCACATGGTGCCACGTTATGGCCGGAGTGCACCACACAGTATCGGACCAGACGAAGCCAGACGGAGGGTCTACCTGGAACATCGGCCAGGCACCGCTGACGCTGACTCCTGCTTGGCCCATCGCAACCCCCAGCATGACATCGCCGCAGCAGATCGTTGAGGTCTCCTTCTCCCAATCGGCGATCCTGTCAGGGGTACGTATCTCCTCGAATTTCTGGACCGCATTGCGAGATAATAGGTAGCCCGTGCCACCTTGAGCAAATGCAGTAGGGCCATGCCAATAGACGCACCCTGCATAGAGCGGTTCGTCCGGGTCCATGCGGTCGAGCAGAAGCAAGAGATTCGCCCAGCTCAGATATGTGTCGGCATCGATTGTGACAAACCATTCAGCATCTGGATACTTCAGGTAAGCCTTGTGGAGCATGGGGATGTTTTTCCATTTATCCAGCGCCCAGGCCTTGTCGGATCCCAGCACACTCACGTCGCCATGCGCAACGTGGGCGGCGTGAACTTCGTTGTAGAAGTGGAAGTCATCATGGTTCTCCTTATATTCCTTTCCAATCTCGTCCAAGGCATCTTGAATCCGAAACTCCCCCACTTGCTGCTCCATGTCCGAGAAGACCATGAAATTAGGCACGCACTGAGCCAGTGTAACGAGTTGTTCAGGGACCCGCGAAAAGACTTCGGTAGCCCCTGTCTTAACCATGACCACCACTTTGTCTGCGCCCGGCAGCTGGCGACACGGTGGGATGCGAGGGTCGGTTGCGTATGTGGGAGTTGACACGGGGACAGTTTCACGAGAACTGGATGGCTCTGGTTCGAACTCGGACTCGAACTCGGACTCGGACGCGAAGTCGTCGTTGGGTGTAGGTTCGGGTTCGGGTTCAGGTTCGGATTCAGATTCAGGTTCAGGTTCAGGTGCAGACTCAGCATCCATATCAGGTCCCAGCTCAGGCTCAGACTCTGGTTCTGGTTCTAATTCTGGTTCAGGGCCCGTTTCTGCATACTGCTCCGGTTGGGTGACTAGATCCGGGTCTTCATTGACCTCGTAGTAGCCGTCCTCAAGCTCGACGTCAGCTACATCTTCGACAGCGGCGGAGTGGGAGCTCGAGCTCTTCCACATGGATGTCGAAGAAGTCAAGCCATATGCGGCATCGTCGGGACTGGGAAGGTAGTAGGATCGGAAGAGGAACAGGGAGACCAAAGCGATGAATACAATGAGTAGCCTCACAGGGCCCAATGCTCGAGGAAGGGACATGGACATGTTGTTCCGGGCACGGGGAGGCACTCAACCTCTGGGGAGGACGACGAGGTGATCGAAGGTTGAAGAGGACACGAAGGACCACGAAAGGGAGCGTGCAAGGAGGCCATTTTTGCGTCGTGCACTCCGTCTATCCCTGCGGGCTTGGGTTTGAACAGCTGAGACTCCCAAGCTTCAGGGGATGTGTTTGATAGGCGCATGTTCCTGACGATCAGAAATTGGCTGGGTGGGTCGGTGGTTATCTGACGCTCATCCCTCGCAGGCGCGCCTGGTACCTGAAACTCGCACCCCCCAGCGCCCCCTAGCCAAGGTACCCGAGGTATCTACCAGGTCCGGAAATGGGTCCTGGCGAATGCCCATAGGTGCCTCCGTCCCCCTCCAAAGCCCCTAGAAGTGGCGCTTGATGCCTATCAGCCCACCGTCCTTGCCCTCTTTAGGCGTGCTGCAACCGATCCGAGCCCATGCGACGGCACGCAGCACCCAAAGATAGCCTGCGACATCGAACTCCTCCTCGTCGCCATCGCCAATAAGCTATTTAAATCACGTCCACGTTGACACTAAGTTAGCACCTGGGTAGGCTTACCTCCACTAGAGAGGCAAGCGACATTGTTAATTGGGCTCCCAGCAAGATAAGAAACGCCTTGCTGAGATAAAATCTCCGGATGATGCCATTTCACGCGAGATCACAATATCCACCTTATTCCTTATCGACCTGCTAACTAAAACATTGATGGTGAGTTTGCTTGGGGTCACATTAGGGGCATGGAAGGCAGAGCACACACAGAAAAGCCACAACGACGAGGAGTGTGTGGCACAAGTACCACCCAAGATCCCCAAGTAATCGTACGACCAACGGCGTCGCTGCATCGAAATCCCCATGCTGTGCAACCTGGAATTTATCCATCGACAGTCAAAATCAGCCTCAACCCCGTCGCTTACCTTCTCTCCTCCTTGACGACGCCAATGGCCTCGCTGGTTTACTCGCCCGCTGCTTGTTGACGAAGAGCCGTTCCCTTCCATTGTCCAGCACACTCCAAACAACTCGTCAGCTGTCCTCAGCGAAACCTCCTCGTGTTGCTCACCGACCCAATGATCAGGCGAGCCTTTTTGGGTGACCGAAGTGCCCAATAGGAGCGGCCAGCGCTCCAAGAATATAGGATGCACACAGGAATAAACCAGGGAGGTCGTGCTACTTCCTTGAGTGTCTTTCCGTCCCAATAGAAGAGTATGGGAGCTTCCTCCTCCTCGCGCGTGCGAAAGTCCAGGACGACGCGGATAGAGAGCTCAATTTGACGGTTAGGATCGAGGGCGAGGGCCTGCATCCATCTTGGTAGCTGCGGTATGATTTGGCGGTGTATTTCGGCTTGTTGCCGGTGAATGCTCTCTTCTGTCACATCCCAGTCGGAGAGATCACATCCGGCACGGTCCAGATTTCTGGCAGGATACATGACCTCGTCCTTCTTGCAGACAATCGCCCGCAAATTGGGGAACGCCGCGGTGTCGAGGTAATCGATGTGGCCATTTTCCAAGATGATTGTCTGAATGCTTGCCTGGTGCACCGCCGGGATTGCGAGGTTGGTCGGGCGAGCGCCGTCTTTACAGATCAGGGTCTTGATGCTTCCTGGGCAAGGCCCGCAAAAGCGGTGATCGACGGTTGCGAGATTCCATGCTTGTTCTGACAGGCGCCAACAGACCTTGCTGGGGTCATTGACATCCGGCTCCACGGTAATGTGTCCTTCCGAGTGCATATTGCCGACCATTGCCGGTCTGATAGCTCCAGGGAGATCGACAAAGGTTTGGGGCTCTTGATTGTCATTCATGTTTGGAAGGAGACATGGGCTAATCGAAAGACAGGGTATTTTCAAGCGGATGGCAAGATGTTGGGTTGAGCTGAGAATGAAGGAGTGGAAGAAGAATGCTGGGCTGCTACAGGCACCGATCCTCCTCTCTATATCTAGTCTCTTCCCCCTCTTCGATCTAGGACTGGGAACGAACCATCGTGCGTGCCACCCAAGGATGTGACGACAATGCTTTATGCAAGGTGAGTCGACCACTGTCTCCGACCACTGTCAAAAGGTGTTATAGGCGTGAATGCCCTTGCAGCAGCCAGCCACGAGATCAGGGTGGCGGACGCCAGCCCATTTCACTGGGTGTGTCTATCAAAGTCCACAATGCCGAGAGTCGCCAGTCTCGGAGACCATTCAACTGACAAAGCGAAGTGTGCCAAACCAGCCAACCGAAGATCTGGCAGAGAAAGCTGTCCGGAAGCAGGGAGGGTGAGGCAGCCCCTGATGCATGGGCTCCGGGCCAGTGACAGGCCATTGCCCTCCATGGCATGTGCACTCGAGATGATCACGAGGGCCTAAAGAAGAAGGTGCCTGGCCTGGCCAATATCCCTTGCTTGAGGACTCCTGCACAAGAGCGGCCGAGTCGACCTTCGCTGGGGAACTTCGCCAACCCGAATGTCCTCCAGGCTCAAACAATACAAGGATGGAAACATTACAAGGCTGAATTTTCATCCCTGGAAGATCCCAAGCAAGAGGACGATCTGAGGGGGTGCCCAATTTGCGATGCTACTATGTCTGAGTCGATTGAGTTGGCGAAAGAGTCTTTCTCTCGAGATTGCTACCTCGCTACTGCGGACGCGCAGAGGCTCCCAATCACAGGGTTAACCTGAAGCAGCATCGATCAGCCTAGGCCCACCTCCAAACGAAGCATTCTGCGTGGTTTGCCAGCCGCGACTCCATTGGGGGCGTTACTATTGGGCTTCCCTGGGGGCTCTGGGGGCTAGGGCGGTCGCGTCTCAAGGACCCGATGGGCGGGGGTTGGCCATCCTGGCCTCCAGCAGCTTCTGGGCGTCGACCAAGCCGTTCAGCTCCATGGTCCGCCACTGAACTGCCCTGCAAAGACCGTATAGGCACTTCACCGTCGGCATTGGGATCCCTGCCCTCTCGCCCTCTCTCAGTGCTTCGCCCAGGATGTTCTCGTATTCAATGAACCGCCCCTTGCGCCGATCCTGCAACATGCTTGGAGCACAAAATATCTCCATCGGATCACACTCGACCATCGACTCCACCAGTGACTCAGGCAGCTCAACATTGGCAGCTCCTCTGGCCGCCGCACGGATCTCATTCATGGCGGGCCTCACCAGTAAGTCGAGGGGGCTGGCGGGGTCCTGAGCGTCGGATGCCAGTCGAAAGCGTGTGGTGTCCAGGTCGGTCAGTGCACAGATTGGATTCCACACGGCGTTATACATGAGCTTCCTCCACCGGACAAACAGCACATCAGACTGATACGAGCACTCGACCTTGCCTGAAGCGGAGTATATCCGTACAAACTCCTCTGCAGCAGCGATCTGCTTTTGTTGATCAATCTTAGCCGACAGGAATGGGCCAATGAAAAGCCTATCGACATCGTTCTGGAGGATGTGGCCTGGACTCAGTTCATCGGCACCCATTAATGACACGCCAGAGAGACAGATGTTGTCTGGGAACGCCTGCATCAGTGGCTTCTCAATGTTCAATCCATTCTGGATGAGCACAATGACTGAGCGGCCGGGTGTCACGGCTGGACGGATCAAGTCGGCCACGGTCGGGGGGACATCTGGGATGTTCTTGGTGGTGACGATCACATAGTCGAATGGTTTGGTCGATCCCTCGGGTGCTGTTACGTCTGGCACCTTGGACAGAACTTCGGATGGCCTCCACCCATCGAACTTGCCATGGTCACACGAGTCGATGGTGAAGCCCTTCTCTGTGACCACCTTGTAATTCGATCGCAACACAGCCGCCACCGTCGCCAGCCCGCCCTTTTCCAGATTCACAGCTGTCATCGTTCCTATGCCACCACTCCCCACGAGGAGAACTCGAGCCTTCTCCGCCATTTTGTCCCCACGTCTTGTTCGCTTATGTTCTGCTTGATGTCAATTTGAGCGCACCGCGAGATGTTGGCGGAGGAAGAAGCCTGCGAGCCTGTACTTCAGACAATGGTTTATTTTTGATGAATTTTCCAATGTGCCAGGGCGCAGTGGGCGGTTTCCAGTGCATGATTCGACCATTCCTCGAGCCAAATCAACGGTGACTTCCGCGTTCTGGAGATGCCCGCTCTCCCAAAGTCCAAACAGCCCATGCTTCCTACAGAGCCTTTTTTGCACTTGTGGTCCCTCAAGATACCTATCGATCCACCAGATCGTGGAGAAGGTAACGTGATTGTCTTCATGCAGCATTGCACGCTGGACCGGCTTAACAGATGCTCCCAACACCCCGGTACCGGCCTGCTATGAGCCAATAGCAATGGAATATCCGGGCCGGAGTACTCTCCAGCGCTCTCACAGTAGCATCATATATAATATGTAGACTGCTCTCGCCTGTGTGCGGATGTGCCATTGTTTCTACCTTTCTATACGAACAAGAGATTACAAGAGTAGGCGCTTTTCATGCGTGAGATCTTGTCGACTTGACCAGACCCGTGGACCTTTGCCCAAGGGAATCGAAAGAAGAGAAAGGGAGGGGAACACAATGGCCACAACAGCTCTTCTAGTCTGCGACATACAAAACGGCATTGTCGACCGGGTCCAAAGCCAGGACACCGAGTCGTTCCTCCAGCGCCTGTCCGAAACAATCGAAGCAGCACGCAAGGCTGGGATCCAAGTCATCTACGTGAGGGTGGCATTTCGGCCTGGATGCCCCGAGGCATCACTACGCAACGCGTCGTTCGCGCGGATCAAAGCCCACGGGGGATTCACAGAGAGCGATGCGTCGACGCAAATCCATGCTGCTGTGGCGCCGCGGGAGGGCGACATCGTAGTCACCAAGCGGCGGGTGTCTGCGCTCTACGGCACGGATCTGGACCTCATCCTTCGAAGTCTCGGCATCGAAACACTGGTCATCAGCGGCCTCAGTACGAGCGGCGTGGTTATGTCGACGGTGCGTCAGGGGGCGGACATGGACTACAAACTGGTGGTGCTGGAGGATCTGTGCCAGGATACGGAGCAGGAGATGCACGATGCGGCGATGAAGGTCATTGGGAAGCAAGCGCAGGTGGTCGGCTCGGCAGGTTGGGTTGCTCAGTTGTAGGGGGTGCCGGGGGGGGGTGAGCCACGAGAGATACGCCAAAGAACTTTACCTACAAGTAGGTAGGCATTTAGGCATCTAGTGCCTATTAGGTAGCCTCCAGGCACTGGCGAATAAGGTCCCTGACATGCACGCCTGCACCCCTTGTTCCGCCCCTCACCTTCACCATCACTGTCACCATCCATCCCCCTTCACCTTCAATTGTCGCCTCGCCACACCTGCCCAACTCAGTCTCATTGCGACATCTCTCGCGGGGACGCAACTTCCCCCGCATCGTCGTTATTGTATATATATGTAGCTGCATGGACGCAGTCACTGCAGTCAGAGGAGTCAAAAGCAGTCACGGTGACAGCTGCACCTTTTCTTCATTCATCTTTCACTCAACTCTTTCTCTGTTTCATCCTCCCCGCTGTATCTTCCAACTTCCTCTCTCACTTACCATTCTATCACTCAGAGCTCGCCTTTTTGTCTCCCACATCTGGCTTCCGCATGAGCCTCACTGCCTCCTTACTTCATCGCCCAGGTCTTCGGTACCCCTCTTCCTTTTCCTTTGTCCAGCACTGCTTCGTTCGTGTACGTTTTCACGAGAGTCAGACACTAGCCATGGCGGCTCCTCTCCCTGTTAAGGACATTCCAACTCTCTCCGACCTTTATCGCAACAACCTGCTCCGCCCCTCAACCGCTAAAAACCTCCCGGCTCCAAACCAAGAACACAATGACAAGATCTGCACCATTCAGGGTGATATTACACTGCTCGAGGCCGATGTCATTGTCAACGCAGCGAATCGTCGCCTCGCAGGTGGTGGTGGCGTTGACGGAGCCATCCAGCGTGCAGCTGGACCCGGACTGCTGGAGGAATGCTTGACCCTCGGTGGATGCGAGACAGGCTCTGCCAAAATAACCGATGCATACAACCTTCCTTCCAAGAAGGTCATCCACGCGGTTGGCCCCATCTACCAAGACAAACACACCTCGGAACCTCTTCTGCGTGCCGCATACCGAACTGCCCTCAATCTTGCCGTCGAACATGGCTGCAAGACCATCGCATTTCCCGCAATCTCCACTGGTGTCTACGGTTATCCCAGCCATCTTGCCGCTCGCGCTGCTCTCTCCGAGATCCGTACCTTCGTCGACGAGCCAACCGGACTTCAACTGGAGAAGATCATCTTGTGCAACTTTGTCGACAACGATGTGGATGCCTACGACTCTGCTCTCCCGTAAGTTTCCCTTTGATCACTAACGTCCATATTTCTGACCGGTGATCTGATCTAGGCTCGTGTTCCCCCCGACCGAAGATGACCTGTCCCATACTGGTGAGTATGATTTGTATACAGTTGCATTTCCCACAGAGTTGTTGCCAACCAATGAACAGTCCCGCTTGAGGGCAAAGTCTGAACTCGATGTGACTTCATTGTCACGACAAGAGAATGATCGTCTCATCTACACCCCCGAAAATGCTGGACTTTACTTGGACGGAGCGAGTGGTCAACCCTCTGGCTCTGCGTCTGGCGGTGAAGACAACATGGCAGTCGCCAACAAGGACGGAAAGATTGAGGCGGAAGGAAGTGGTAAAGGAAAGGAACGCGCTAAACCAGGACCATCTGGCCAGGTGAGCACCAAAGCTACTCCAGAGTGCATCTTCTGAGTCGCTCACTCTTGACGAGGCCACGTTCTGCGATCATCGACACCTTGTCATCCACGATGGAGTGTCTTCACAAGGGCTCTGGCCATGCTGCTCGCTTGTGTGTGAATCTTGTGGATTGATTATGCACCGCCGTGGAAAGGAAATGCATGCTCCAAGTCCCCGCCGTGTGCCTCGAGTTTGAGCATGAGAAAAGGAAGAAAGAATTCCCTTTGCGTGTGACATCAGCGGCGGCAGAATTCGAAACAGGTCCAGGCAATGAGGAGCCGGCCAGCACGAAGGAAAGAGTCCTGATCCAGCACAGCAAGCGTATTGTTTATCATGGCATTGCGTTCGGTTCATGGAGGGAGTGCCGGAGTATCGACTACTGTCATCAATCGAACCTGGTGGTGAATGTCGTGGGAGCGAAGGTGTTGGTGGTCATCCGGATCCTGCATTGCAGCATCATTCGACGGGTATCGATAGCTGATATCTCATCGAGATGAGATGTAATATCAAGTTAAGCCCAGTCCCCAGACCTTTCCTCCCTGCGCTTCCCTGCAGCCATAGATTGTGATTGCTCACCTGCAATGTACCTCGACTGCGCTACTGTCTCTGCAGGGTCAGCCTAACCGCCCTTCCCCAATCGGTCCGTCCTTTTAGAAAGTAGATGCCAGCTGATCAGCCTCGACAACGACGCAGTCACCAAGCACCGGTCTCTGCAAAGTTCGAGGCCAGATCTGGTGCCCTACAACCCCATGAGATATGAGAGCAGGGCACTTTGAAACCGATGCTCCTCACGAACGACTTCGAGGGGGATTAAATCCGTTTTATCTCCGCCGACGATTCCAATGGAGATTGGAGGTTATACGGACGTCGATGTTTGTCTGTATCTACAACGTCCACGCAGACGTCAGGGACAAGAGTTGAATGGGGCTGGGCTCGACATATAAAGCCGGCTGGTGTCGCTCTTAGTGGCTACTCACCATGCAGCCGCTGTCCTCGCAACCACTGTTATCCAGTCACCTAGCATTGCTTCCACTGCGCGCTACCGCAAGAACAAGATGGTCTCGCTACCAGACACTCATCATGCGCTGGTGCTTTCCTCCTTAGACGCTCCGCTCGAAGTCAAGTCCATTGCCGCGCCAGAGCTTATCCCAGGAAGCGCCATCGTCCAGGTACTTTCGTCGCCCGTTCTCGCATACGCGGCGAAGCTCTACTCTGGCGCCCTGCAATACCCACTACATCCTCCCATGACCGTGGGCGGCGGGGCGATTGGACGCATTGTCGCGGTGGGCAGCGACGCCACGCACCTCGCGCCGGGCCAGCTGGTCCTCGTCGACCCCATGATCCGCGGCCGCGACGACCCCGCGAAGAGCATCCTGCTGGGCGTCCACGGGGGGCTTTCCGAGGGCGCCGCGCGGCTCATGAAGGGGGACTGGCGGGACGGCTCGTGTGCCGAGTTCGCGCGGTGGCCGCTCGAAAACATCCACGCGCTCGACGAGGACAAGTTGAAGGACGGGCTCGGCTACTCGCACCACGAGATGGCCTACATCATCCGCTTCCTGGTGCCAATGGGCGGCCTGGCAGAGCTGGACGTCCGAGCCGGCGACCGCGTCGTCATCGCCCCCGCGACGGGCCAGTTCGGCGGGGCCGCCGTGGAAGTCGCCCTGGCGCTGGGCGCGGACGTGGTCATCTGCGGCCGCAAGAAGGACGTCCTGGAAGGGATGAAGGCGACGTTGGGCCCCGTGTACCCCCGCAGCCGCATCGACGCGGTCGCCCTGTCGGGCACCGTGGACACGGACGTCGCCGCCATCCAGCACGCCGGCCCCGTCGACAAGTACCTGGACTTCTCGCCTGCGGCGGCGGCCGGGTCGACGCACATCACCAGCTGCCTGATGTCCTTGCGCAAGGGCGGCCGCGCCTGCTTCCAGGGCGGCATCGCGCAGCCCGTCCCGATCCCGTACCTGCACGTCATGTTCAACGACCTGGTCATCGGCGGCAAGTTCATGTACGAGCGCGAGGCCATCCGCAGGGCCATCGCCCTGGTCGAGTCCGGCAGGCTGCGCTTCGAGTTGCCGGGCCTCAAGGCCTTTGGGCTGCGCGAGTGGCGCGATGCGTTCGCCGCGGCGGAACGGAATGGTGGGTGGAGGCAGATGGTCGTGTTGGAGCCCGCGAAGCAATCCACGTAACTTACTATACGTACCAAGGTGTGTAAATGCTTGTGTGGAGGGGGATTGAGTCGTGATTACCGAGTTTTGCCGGTTTGAAGGGTACTGTGAGTAAAAAAAGAAGAAAATCGTCATGCAGCGGCTGGTTGTTCATTGTGTAACTGTTCTTTTGGCTTTTGACAAATGCTTTTGGCTGTTTTCTCCTTCTCGACGTGATATATATATATATATATATATATTGACTCGGGAGAAATACACGAGCCAGTGTGTTATGTAAAGTAGTAAGTCACCAGCCCTTGGAATCACCATCTCCGCTCCACCCTATTCCTTCCCCGCGACAAAGAAGCCTCGCTCCTTGCCCAGCCGCAGGATCTCCTCGCACACCTTGTCGGTCACCTCGTCGGTGCCGGCCTGGCCGCCCAGATCCCTGGTCTTGACGCCCGCGCCCAGCACGGCCTCGACGGCAGCCATGAGCATGTCGGCGGCCTCGGGCTGGCCCAGCCAGCGCACCATCTCGGCGCAGGTCCAGAAGGTGCCGACGGGGTTGGCGACACCTTGCCCCGCGATGTCCCAGGCGGAGCCGTGGATGGGCTCGAACATGCTGGGGTTGCGGCGCGTGGGGTCGAGGTTGCTGGTGGGCGCGATGCCGATGGAGCCCGCCAGCGCGGCGGCCAGGTCCGAGAGGATGTCGGCGTGCAGGTTGGTGGCGACCACCGTGTCGAGCGTCTCGGGCTGCAGCGCCATGCGGCACGTCATGGCGTCGACCAGCATCTTGTCCGCCGCCACGTCCGGGTACTCGCGCGCCACCGCCGCGTTGACCTCGTCCCACAGCACCATGCCGTTGCGCTGCGCGTTCGACTTGGTCACGAAGGTGAGCGTCTTGCGCGGCCGCGCCCGCGCCGTCTCGTACGCGAACCGCAGCAGCCGCTCGCACCCGTGCCGCGTGAACACGCTCACCTCCGTCCCGACCTCCCACGCCTGGTGCAGGTGCGAGCGGCCCCCGTGCCCGGCGTACTCGCCTTCGCTGTTCTCGCGGATCTGGGGGAGGTTGTTAGAATGTGTATGGTTAGGGAGATATATAGACATGTAGAGATAAATACACAAGATATCGCGATGGGAAGTAGCCGCGGTAAGTACTTACAATCACCCAATCCAGCTTCTTCGCATTCTCAGCGCTGCCCTGACACGCCGCCAGCGGCGACGTCACCCCGCGCAGGATCCGCGTCGGCCGCACGTTGGCGTACTGCTGCAGGGGCTGGCAGATGGCGAGGCGCAACCCCCACAACGAGACGTGGTCGGGCACGCGCTGGTCGCCGACGGCGCCGAACAGGATGGCATCGAAGTTCCGCAGCTCGTCCAGCCCGCCCTCGGGCACGTAGCGGCCTGTGCGCAGGTACGTCTCACTGGACCAGTCGAAGTGGGTGACGGCGAAGGTGAAGCGCGAGGCGAAGGCCTGCGAGAGCGTCGCCAGCACGCGCAGCCCCGCGGAGATGACCTCGGGGCCGATCCCGTCGGCGGGGATCGAGGCGATTTTGTACGTCGTTGTCGACGGGGGAGGGGCGAGTGGTTGCGGATGTGAGGAGGAGGAAGATGTGGTCGACGGGGCGTTGGGGATGGAGCCCATGGTGAGAAGGATTCAAGCTGGTGAGGGGGTTAATTGAGTGTCGTTTGGCCAGTCGTCAGTCAGTTAGTTAGACAGTCAGTTCGTTCGTTTGGTCGGTCGGGGGTATAGGTAGATGGCTACGAAACACATCCAAGTATATATATCTATGAGAAGACGACGATGGTGCTGGTGAAGGCGGATTGACGGCAATGCCATCGGGCCTCGTCGGACATTCGCCGCGACTCGCTGTGGTCACTGGTCAAAGGCTCACAGGTGCTTTTCTCCAACACGGTCTCCAATGCCGTTTGCCACTGAGAAACAAACGGATCTTAGTTGCTTCTTCCAGACAAGGATGGCAAGATGGCAAAGATCGTGTCGGGCATTTATTTGGCCGAAAAATTAATGGCCTTGACCTGATGACTTTTTTCGCCAGGCATTGAATGTTCGGTTCAGAGACACGCCTCATATCTTGATTATAGGCCCATACTTAGTGATGGTCAGCGCCTTATTGCCAGAGCAGTTTTACACCTCCTTTCCACCCTCATGCTTCCCAGAATAGACTCTCGTTGGGCCATTGGGAGCCGTCATGTACAAAATCCCACGACAGTTCGTTGGGGAGCGCACCGAGGAAATCATCGTCGGCGGGAAGAGGGCTGTCGACGGAGGTTTCATTGGTGAGAGCCGTTGTGCCAGCACACGACACGTCATGAAGTGCATCGCCTCCGGGTCGCGCATGCAGAGCCTCAACCGGGGCGTGCGAGGAGTCTCGGGGTCGAGGCGGCGTCAAGCAGTCGTACAGAATCCCAAAAGCCTGGGGGGAAAGGAAAACATTAGCTTAATGTATGCGGACTGACTCTCCTCAGGAAAAGAAGAGGGAGGGAATATGTCTTACCCCCCGTCCACGCGTGTGGACGTGTAGGCTGTCCTGCGACCCGTCCTGCAGTCGGAAGATCGAATCGTCATGCCACAGCTGCGAAAACAGCGTTACCACGTGGGCGTTGACATCTCCAAACTGGAGGCTCCGCCGTTTCAGCAGCTTGAGCAGGGCAAAGAAGGTGCGTTCGCCCTGCTTCATGTCGATCCACAATCGGAGATGGCGGCTGTGCGACATCCGCAACAGCATCGCCAGGAGCAGGCAGATGTGGCGGAAGTACGGCTCCGAGGCGTAGAATGCCCAGTCGCTGTTGCCGTCCATTTTCGAGGCCTGCTCGGCAAACTGACGGATCAGATGCGACAACTCGACCAGGCCCGACATGTGCTCCGACGGGTCGGCGCCGAAGAAATGGTACGCGTTGACGTGGACCCTCGCGGTTGTCACGATCAGGGGGTTTGGGAGGACGCTGTCGTCCGTTCTGGCCCCCGTGGCCGTCATGGACGCGTCGGAGCGCATGTCTTCCAGCGCTTTGCGGGAGACCTCGAGAATCTGGTCATCAAAGACGTTGATAAGCGATCTCAAGGTGGCGAGCGGGCCCCCTGAGCGAACGGTGTCGGCCAGCACCTCGTCGGCGCGAGCGACCACTTTCTCGAACTTTTGCATCCAGTATGTGCTGGGTGGTAGTAGCCTCGAAGCATCGGAGGAGCATGGCAATTCGACGTCGAACGCGTCGAGACAACGATGAGGCGGCATACCGCAGGACCAACTTGTACTGCGCGGGAGGAGTCAGCAGATATCCCTAGATCCTTGGTAGAACGCGGAGGTGGACGGCACCAACCAGTGACACGAAAACTCCAGATACGCCCACGTTCGCGCCAGGAAAGGCTCGTAAGATACGTCGGCGACGGCGCCTCGAAGCTGCAGCATGTGGAGTCCGTGCTGCAAGGCCAGCTGCATGGCCGCCCCGGAGTACATCGGAGATGGGTCGTCGAGGATGGTCTTCATGGGGAGCGGCCAGGTGCACAGGATCATGAGACCACGGATGGTTGAAAAGTAGGACGACGTTTGCTGTAGAGCTTTTGATGCCAGGACAGTCACGCCAGGTGAGAGACGGCCAAGTAGCGTCGGGTCGAGCTCGTACCTCCGCGAGCCGGTGATGACCACACACCAGAAGACAAAGGGAGAGAGCTTATAATAGTAGGTGTCGGGGCGGCATGATGCGTCTAATATGGGCAGCATGGGGTGGTAGTGTTTAAAGTACCTGTGATAGGGATCAGCTCCTTTGAAACAGCGATAGCCGCCACCAATCGGTCGGTCTGTGATTCTCACAGCTGGAAGCAATCATCAATCTTGAGGCCGTCCACATGGACGCCATTCAGTGACTGAGACATGGCGCACCGCGGCAATGCGCTTGAGAGATTCGCACCGGTTGATGATGGTTTGCTGATGCGAGGCTCCAAATCGTGAAAGGACGGGGCCAGCGGTGGCCATCCAACAGTATCAGGACCAGAATCCAACATCAGATGCGTGGCGGCATCGTCAACAGGCTCGACCGAGGACGCAGGCCTACTCTCGAAGGATTTGGGAGGAGGCGTTGCAGAAGCGCGGGCAGTTCGTAACCGATCAATCTCGCGTTGCATGTCTGCTTTCCTGCCAACCGCATCAGGGGGGTTTTCTGATTGCCAGCCACCACCACCACCACCATGACCTACGTTCGAGCCTTGACCCGCTGGAAATTGGACGAAAATTGGCACGGGACGCCAGCCCGGACGCACCTTGAACACGCCCTGGATGGGTCGCTGGAGGAGGCATCACATCTCAGCTGCCGACGCTTTAGTCCTCGCGGGTCCTGGCTTGGGGGAAGAAGCGATTTTCAGACCTTTTGCTGGCGACATAACGTACACGCTTTTGATCGTCGGACTTTGCGCAAGGGCGTTGTGGGATCGCCTCCCAACGAAGTGGCCGTGGGTATCTGCGTACGCATCACGAGGAGTGTCGATGGAACGGGGAACTCATGTAGCACATATGCTGGGGAGAAAGAAACGAAAAGGGAAGCTTGCTGCAGTGTGGTTGACGGATCAGTTAGTCCATCGCTACACCGAATTGAGACAAAAGCGGAAGTTAGTGATATGCTCGACCATGGCAACGACATTCATACCCCAGATTGACGGGGTTGAGGGGCATAGGCAGGGTCAGACTCCAGCCATGTGTTCAGCACTCACATGAACGAATCAACCACTCATGATGCCTCTTCTTCTCTGGGGGGGCATTACTATCCCTGCCATAAGCAGCGAGTAAGTGGAAGTCGACATTTGCCCTCGAGCCCATGTTATTGGTCGTGTCGACTCCCTACCAAGGCCGAGTTTTCGCAGTTCTTGAACCACAAAGCTTGACAACTGCGAAAAGTCGGTCCAGGCCCAGACCACGCGAGATCGTCTTTCGGCAAACAGAACCAGACACACTTTACCGTCTTCGCCTCATCCGACGCTTCGGCGGACAGGAGGATGATCACTCGCGTTGCGGAGCTTTCTGCCGTGTATGCTACGCCCGCTGAATGAGCCTCACCACCGGGATTGTGATATGCTGCAGGTAGGTCGTGCTCATAAAGGCTCCCACTCTGCAGAATCTCTTGGGCGTCCTCTACACTTGCACACTGCACGCCGTTCCAGTTTTACATTACAAACTCACATTCACCATGGCCCCCTCAGCCACTACTATTGTATCAACAGACAAGCAAGAACAGGAGAACCATCAGTCTCTTGTCCTGTCAGGTGACGACCTGTGCTATCCAAAAGACTTCGAGTTCTTCAAAGGGCATGTTGGCCTCTTCCCAGGCCAGCCCACACCCATCCAGAGAATCAGGTTTCCAAAGTCAGTCCTTTCGTCGTTGTCCACTTCCGCAGACACTGAATCCGCGCTAGATTCAAGACCTTCGCTGAAGAACGATCCTTCCGCAAGCTGCACCATGCTGCCGCCCTGAGATGGCTTGGGTCGCAGGGCTACGGCAATGAGGGCGCCGGCGGCCACATGACTGTCCGCGATCCCGAGTTCCCTGATCACCTCTGGATCAATCCGTTCGGCCGGAGTCTCAATCACATCACCCCTGATGACCTGGTCCTGGTCAACGATGATGGACATGTGGTGGGAGGCAACATGCACGTTATCAACCCGGCGGGATTCTACATTCATTCGGGGGTGCACAGAGCCCGCCCCGATGTCCAAGCCGTGGTGCACATGCATACTGTGGCCGGCAAGTCATTCTCGCCATTTGGGGAGAAGCTGCAGATGTTCAACCAAGACTGCTGCCAGTGAGTTCTTGACGTTCCTCTCCCTTTCTGGGCTTGTCACCATCCTGACTCCCGTTAAGGTTCTACGACGCACATTCCGTCTTTCCAAGCTTTGATGGGTTTGTCCTGGCGGAAGACGAAGGCAAGCAGATTGCCGAAGCCTTGGGCCCGACGAACAAAGCCGTGATACTGCAGAACCACGGCCTGCTCACCGTCGGAAAGACCCCAGACGGCGCCGCATTCACGTTCGGTGCTCTGGAGCGATGCCTCGAGGCTCAAGTCAAGACCTTTGCCGTGGCCCAAGCCTCGGGCTGGAAGCCAAAGGCCATCACCGAGGAGCAGGCGTTGGGCGTCAAGAAGTTCTACACCGACGAGTTTTTGTACATGACATTTCAACCGGCGTAAGCTTGAAACCCCCGTTTCCATGGGCCTGGAAATGCTAACCAGGATCCCAGTTTTGAGGATGTCGTTCGTGCGTCAAATGGCGCCCTGCCTAGCAGCACAGGAGGCGAAATCTACCCTGCTTGGAATGCGAATTGAGCAGCCCTCTGGGTCCCGGCGTGGTCAGTTTGCTGGTCGAAAGATGGCTTACACACGTGGTAAATATACATCGGCGAGAAGAAGACCACACGATGTTCAGAGTAGATTCTTCTTTGGTCACGGCGATGGTGTATCTCAAAGTCATAGATCTCTGAGTCCTCGACCGTTGGCGTAGATGCCACTAAGTCTTGAAATTCTCATTCCACACTTCTTTATCTGCCAACTTCGCAACTATGACTCTGCATGCAGGCTGGACGTGTCGCAATAGCCCGTCACGTCCCTTGCCCTCGGAGGATGGGTCGAGTCGCAAACCGGCCTATATCTTTTCGCCGACTTTTCGGCCACTAGTGTCCACACTCAATGTAGTCGCGGAGCAACGATTGATTCGAGGCTGGGATCGTGAGCCGCAGCTTGTGTCAGAGAGACATAGGGCCTGGCCATCACGAGAGCCGTTCTGATGTGTGTGATACAGTGAATATAAGCAACCGCCGCCGCCGCCGCAACATGGGCTGCGAGTCCAAAATTTCCTCCTCCTTCCCTCTGCTTACGACGCTCCAACAACACGAACGTCCAGCATGATATCCAAGACGCTCCCCGAGGTCGACCATTTTGTCCCTGTGGGGCCGAGCAAAGAAACACTGGACTTTGCAGACCTCGAAATCCTCGACTTTTCCCAGTATGAGACGGGCTCCAAGCAAGCGCTCGCCGACCAGGTTCACAAAGCCATGTGTACCCATGGATTCTTCGTCATCGTGAACCACGGCATTCCAGAGGACGTCGTCACCCGCCAGGTGGACATTGGCCATACGATCCTGACTCGGACGCCGCAGGAGGAAAAGGAGCGGCTCAAGGCCGACATCCTGGGCAAAGGCGAATACCCGGGCTTCAAGCCCCGCGGCCACTGGAAGTCCGGCGGCGTCCCCGACCGTATCGAGAACTTCAACGTGAACAGAAACATGAGCCTGCACGAGCAACCCGCCGCGCTGGAACCTTACCGCCACGAAATCCAGGAGTTTGTCGACACCGTCCACAAGGACATCCTCTACAAGCTCCTCCGGCTCTTTGCCATCGCGCTGGAGATCGAGGACGAGGAGTTCTTCGTGAAGTTGCATCGGTACGAGAAGCACGACGAGTCCTGGGCTCGCTGGATGGAGTACTATCACGATGATGATGACGCCTCGAACGATTCTAAGCAGCTCTGGCTGGGCGGCCATCAGGACCTGAGTGCTCTGTCGCTCCTGTTCAGTCAACCGATGACGAGCCTGCAGGTGCGCGACTACGAGGACGACGCGCAGTGGAAGTACATCCGCCACATCCCCGGCGCCATCATCGTCAACGCCGGCGAGCCGATGATGTGGTGGACCGGCGACTACTTCAAGGCCGCGGTCCACCGGGTGGTGCAGCCGCCGCAGGACCAAAGAAACCACGACCGCAGCGGCGTCTTCTACTTCGTCGTCCCCAACGACGATGTGGTGATCAACACGTTGGTAGACGAGAGCCCGGTCCTCAGGAAGGCCAACGTCAAGAAGTGGTTCGAGGATGGCAAGGCGCCCACGAGCAAGGAGTGGGTGAACAACCGCGTCAGGGTGACGGGCCAGAAGGCCCTGTTCAAAGACGCGCAGGGGAAGAACAGCGAGCAGCAGCAGATTGGAACGGTCACGACGACGTGGTATAGATGAGAAGGGGCCCAAGATATCAATCAATTCTCACCTTACCGCGGGACTATCTTAGGTCAGGCTTTCCTTCATGTATGTTTTGACTTAAACAATATATGATGTTATGATGTAAGTATTGTGAAAGCTTGCCGCCATCGTATCAGGGAGTCAGATCAGATAACTTGATCTTGTAGAAGGAGGTGGACTCATTTAATCGACGTAAAATACCGGAAAAGACGATATTGTAGAGTCTCGACCCCGAAGGCTCGTCGCGACTTCCACCAATTGCGAAAACTCGGGCTCGAGTGGCGAGCAGGAGGAGCGAAAAGTCGGCGGTGCCCAAGGTTTCTGGCTAGATCTTTCTGGGGAACTCGAAACCAGAGAGTCCATCTCGGCATAACCATCGTCGACGACAACTGGAATGCGGAGTTGCAGGCGATTCGAACCCCGTACCCCGGATGAGACTCGTTTCTCGTATGCTTCGTCACTGGACCTGCTCTGGGGATCGTATAAATAAACCGGCAGATTCCCCTATGCTGCTCTCTGCGCAGACCATTCAGCAGTCCTTCCTTTTCCACGTCCTCGTCCGACACAACATCATCTTTGATCATGGAGAAAGCGGGGATCGATAACGTCCTCGAGACGACCGTCAGCTTTGACGAGACCAGCCACGTCGAGGATGGGCACCAAGAAAAAACAGAGCTCGACCTCATCGCCAGGTCCGCGATCAGACAGCAGCGCTCGTCGATCGAGAACCGCGTGGTGCACAAGTGCGACTTCACCATTCTACCGCTGGGGGCTCTGGCATTCTTTGCCTCGTACCTGGTAAGTAGACGGTGTCTCTCAAACTCCGAGTTTGGACAAACTGCTTGCTAATGACCAGCTCAGGACCGCAACTGCATTGGCAACGCCCAAGTCATGGGCATGGGCAAAGACCTTGGCCTGACGGCGTCCCAGTTCTATGACACTGTCACGTTGTTGTGTACGTTGGACCCGCGGCGTCGAGAAGCTGCCCCCCTTTTCGCTGATGTATATGACGTCCAGTCGTCGGCTACATCATCATGCTGCTGCCCGCCAACATCCTCAACCGGAAGCTCAAGCCCAACCGATCCATCGGGGCCGGCGTCGTCTTCTTCGGCGTCATGCTCTGTGGCATGTCCGCGGCCCAAAACTACGCCACTCTGGTCGTGCTGCGCCTCCTGATCGGTTGCGGGTCCAGTTTCGTCCCGATCATCACAATCTACACCAGTCTCTACTACACCCGCAGCGAGCTGGCCACGCGAGTAGGTATGTTGTCACGCTGAGGGCAGAGAGGTACATCATCGAAAAAGCCTTTGCACTTACTGACACTGGGGAAAATGTCAGCTATCCTCTATGCCGCCTCCACCACGTCAGGGGCGTTTGGCGGGTTGATCGCCTACGCCATCCAGCGTGATTTGAGCCAGGAAGCCACTGGACGCGCGCCATGGCGGTGGCTGTTTCTCATCGAAGGCATAGTGGCCATCTTTGTCGGCCTCTTGGTCATCACTCTTCTCCCACGCTATGCGGACGACTTGCAGAAGCGCGGCAAGCGACATTGGCTGTTTACCGAGGAGGAGATCGCATCGGCCGCGGAGAGGTCTGCAGGCGCGTTGTTCCACCGTGTTCCGAGGGGTTACCGTATCTTACTAACATGATTGTGCAGCGTACAACACCGAAGGAGCAAAGGTGCAGCCAGCGCAGCTGTGGCGGACCCTCAGAGATCCCAAGACGTATCTCTTTGCCGTCTGCCAGAGTGCCTCGGTACTGGGCGTGGGCGTGGTCGGCAGCTTCCTGCCCATCTTTATCCATGACTTTGGCTTTTCAGCACGTAAGAAGCACCCTGGTCTTGTAGCCAGATATGGTCACGCGTCCGGACAATACTGACCGATTGGGGCAACAGTGAGGACTCAGCTATTCACCATCATTCCGTACGTCTGTGCATCCATCATGGTGCTGGTGACGGGGATCTGGTCGGACCGCATTGGTCGCAAGGGCCCATTCCTGCTGTCGGGATACATTGTCTGCATCGTGGGCTACATCATGCTCCTGTCGACCACCAACGCCGTCGCCTCCGTCGTCGCGGCCTGTTTCATCACCGCGGGGTGCTACTCAGCGATCATCATCCTGCCGGTCTGGATCGCCATCAACACCGGCGGCTTCACCAAGCGCGGCGCGACCTGGGCGTTTGCCGAGTGCTGCGGCCTCTGCTTCTCCGTCATGGGGACCCGCATCTACACGACCCCCCCGCGCTTTGTGAAAGGCCACTCGATCGTGCTGGGCTTCAACGCGGTCGCGCTCTGCAGTGCCCTGGTCTGCATTTGGTGGATGCGTCGCGAAAATCGCAAGAAGGATCTCATCGTCCAAGAGTACGCCGGCCGCAACGAGCTGCACCCGCACATCGCCTCCCATGCCACGCTGGAAGAGGTCAGCGATCAGCACATCTCGTTTCGATATATCTGGTAAGAAAATCGGAGAGGAGAGAAAGAACAGCAGGTCTCTGAGGATATGCGGAATATCAGTCAGAGATCTGTACAGACTGCGTGGCTCCAGTTTCTGTTCTGTGGGTTCTTGGTAACCGGTTTTGTGCCTGAAGGAAGGAAACAGACCGGGTTTCGTGTGAGAAGTCAGTCAGGCCCAGCTAGATTACCTTGCCAATACATGTCGGTTCAGATGAGCCAGCGTTGTTACGTTACCTCCGATATGGACAACATTTGGGCCTCGTATCTTCTGACCCCATCTGCACATGACAGGACGAGTTCTTTCCCTTGATATTCGTGACTCGACAAGTACTTCAAAAGCGGCCCTTGGTTCCGTCGAAGGGCAAACACCACTTTCATCAGTGATGGCGGTGGTGGTGCCGACCCCATCCTCCAAGATACACGCCCGGAGCCTAGCGCCCTTGAATCTGGACGGGATACTCCCAAGATCGCAGCGAGGCTGACGACGCAATCAGGGGTTTGAGGAATCATCCAGATTCAAGGCAGGCTTTGCGGGCGGTGGCTCCGATCATCGGACAGATATTATGATTCTTCTGGGATCGGTCTTGTCACCATCGGACGGACCCTGTAGCCGGTATCACACTGCTCCACTGTCCTCACTCCCCTCGCTCGTATTGTGGAAGAGCAGGACGACATCGAGAGGTATCAAGGAAGGAATTATTGAAAGAAGCACGAACACTCTCTCCGCGTGCGCCGACGCCTCGCCCTCGTAGACTCGCAGAGACTAAAAGTGCAGTGCAGTGCAGACAGTGCAGACAGTGTGGTGTCAGCCAGGGGAAGTCCCCGCCATTGAAATCTCGAACTCGGGTTAATGCCCAAATCGGGAATCTTAAAAGCGGGCTTCACGTGATTGTGAATACCCCTTGTATGCAGCCAAGAGAGGAAACTCGGGCGATGCGAATACGAGAGCACATGCGCCCTTCGCTCTGCCTCGTAATACTCAATACATGGATTCTACCACCCTGTCGTGCTGCCATGGCCGTCACCGTCCGCCCAGCCACTGAGGATGACCTGCCCCAGATCCGGGCGATCTTCGAGCACTACGTGCTGAACACGGTGGTGTCGTTCCTGGTCCAGCAGCCGCCGCCGAACTACGTCGCCTCGCGGTTCGAGGATAGCCGCGCGCGCCAGCTTCCGTACCTCGTGGCCGTCAACGACGACGACGACCACCAGGGCCGGGTGGTGGGCTACGCGTACGCGTCGGCCTTTCGCGGGTTCATGCTGGGGTACGGACACACGGTCGAGATCAGCCTCTTCTGCCACCCGCGGCACACGAACCGGGGCGTCGGGAGCCAGATGGTCGCGCGGCTGCTCGAGGCGCTCCGCACGACCAAACACCTCACGCGGGAGGTCGGGCACGAGGACAGCCCCGTCGAGGCGGACGTGCGGAAGGTCATGGCGATCATGGCCGTCGACGAGACCGCGCCGGGCCAGGGCCTGGCGCTGCGCGACTGGTACAAGAGATGGGGGTTCATCGAGGTGGGCAGGCTGCAGGGCGTTGGGTTCAAGAAGGACAGAGTGTATGATGGACAAATATATCCAAAAAAATGGGCCCGGATGACTGACGTGCTGTGTGCTCAGACTTGACACCATATATCTGGAACTGCATCTGCAGTGACGGACGGGACCTGGTCATCGATAGAGATTGGGTTTGGCCCCTTGACCTCATGCCCACCGAGGAGAAAGCGATTTTCGCTTCAAGCCATGGCCATGGGCACTTGGACTGTCTTGTCCAGATTATACAGTAGGGGGTTTCTTGATTTAGGTGGTTGACTTTCTACTAGATTTCGTGCTAAATTCATCCATATTCTCCATTCTGGTCCATTTTTCACGCCCTACGAAGAGGGTTTTCTTTTGTTTTGGCGCTCGCCGTTGATATCACGCAGAGAGGGCAATCGAATTGGCCAGTCCGGACTTCGGCGCCGTCGTCCTCCGAGCGAGAGAAGGGGCGAATTGCTAGCCGCTTTGGTGTTTGCGACCGGACATCTCGATCTCCCTTGCCCGGCCTCTATGTCGATGGATATCAACATTTCTTGACAAGGCTGTGAGGCAAGATACGCCGCCAGAAGTCCCTGTCTCTCGATCGACAACCATCTTGCCCTGCCTCTTGTTTCCCATGTTGACAAGACTTCTTGTCTCTTGGTGTGTTTCTATCTCCCTCGGTAGCCGCGATGACTTGCCCGACAGATTCCCCTTGATATCTGCTATGACGCGGGATTTTCGCAAATTGCCGATCGACCACGAGCATGTGGATGTCGAGGTGAGTCTTCTTGACCTGGTCGAGCGGTCAGTGCCGCGTCGGTGTTTCCGACCAACAGCACATGTGTGGAATTGGGGCTTGATGACCAAGGAGGTCTCCGCCGCGGCAGTAAAGGTCGCTATCATAAAGAGGGGGATTCGTGAAGCCATATGGAGCGCCTGGAATCAAACACGCCAAGTGCTTCAGCCTTGTGAGTGATGGATCCATGGCCTGAACGAGCAACTCTGTGCGCTCGAGTGGTTCGTGTGAGGCATGGCAGACAGATCCTGTCTCAGCGAAGATACCCGTTCCCTGTCTCAGCCTTGCGCGAACACGGCCTGATTGCGGCGGGAAGTCTGGACACCGCAGCTGTGGTAGCACAGCTCGATTCCGCTCTTGTCACGCAAGCACAATCAAAGGGAAAATGTTGTGATGCTGGGGTGTCCAAAGGCAGCGGTGGAGAACAGGTTAAGCCCAGCTGGCTCACGATGTCGCCATCAGGCTATCTGCATCCTCAGACTCGTGCTCAACATCACCTTTCTCGAGGAGTAGCTTTACTACTGCCTTATGTCCAAACGTCATAGCGCACCGTAACGCCGTCCTACCCCATCTGTCCTTAGCCTCGAGCTCAGCACCCTTCTCGAGGAGTAGCTCTACTACCTCCTCGTATCCGTTTCTCGCGGCTAACGATAGCGCTGTCTGGC